TCTCATTTATTTATGGGGCAATCGGTCTTCAGCGTTAAGGATCAACGGTGGTTACGTGCTGCCAATCCGACTAATAGTCAGGTGCCACTGATGACAATGATTGGTTTGGGCACTCGCCTCTAGTGTTCCCGCAGGAAGACCAAGTTCTGTCAGAGTCATGCACATCTTGCCACAAGGTTTCATCGTAAGCGCTGCCTTTCTTGAGACACATCGGCAGTGTCATTACTTTCGGTAAATTGTGGTGGGCTTAACCCAACGCCGGGTTCACCATGGGTTCCTTTTCTGACGCACGGACAACAGGAACCGATCTCGTGGCGAAACAGGCCAAAGGTTGGAAAGTTCTTAGCCATGTGGCAAGGGAAATGTTTTTAGTCCCCTGTCATGCCAAAATAAGACCGAGCAAGAACGATTTTGTGCCGTTCAAACCCTGCGGCTTGTGCGGAATCATACCTCCAGCACTTCGCCATTCCGGATGGGTACCGGTTCCGAGAGATTCAGCTTGGGGGGATGACACCCGATTATTACACAAACCCAACCTGAAAAGGGAGAAAGAGAAGCCTGTCCATTGGCACGCGTATACCTGTCCACCTGTCGTTCGGATCACGTGCCGTTGTGCTATTCGAGTTGGCCACCGACATAGACGAGTTGATCGATGTTCTCAGTGGCTATCGAGTGAGAGGGAAACCCCCGAAGCCAGGGCGGCCACATACCGGTTGCATTGGCATCGGTGTGGGCTGAGCAGCCTGCTGAGCAGAAGAAGGTACCGATGGTCCCCTCAAGTCGTCCATGTTGTCTCTTCCAGCGGTGTAAAAGGGTGTCACCATCGTGGAGTCCCTCACAAACGCCACAAGACCAATACGGTCTTCTTCATCGAGCCACGACAGCAACATAACCTCAGAACACCCCCCGCCCCCGGCGAATAATCCAAACCAATCCTGGCGCTACAGGCGCCGCTGCGGCTGGAACCATTGCAAGCAAACGACACAGGGCACACAGCACCATCGCTCCCTAGCGTGTGCCCTCCGCTAGCACCGCTCACTCGCATCGAATTGCCGCGACCGGATAGCTTCGGTTCAACATCACCTGTGACACCGGTGGGCAGGAGAGACGGTAGAGACGGCGGCATGCCTACACCCGTCAAAAGAACAACAGCAACCGTGACGCCCCCGTTTTTTCTCCCGCCGGCGTGTACAGAAATGGTTGCCAAGGCTGTCTGGACATGCGTGGGTGAGAGCAGCATCATTGGACTTTGACGGCATGAGAAATGTGTCGAGGACTCTGTTGGCTTACTCGTCGTTTGTCGTCGTCGTATGTACAGCTGCGGAACAAGTACTTGAAACGCAGTGCATGGTAGCACCAAACCGATGGAGATACAGCAAGCGTACCACCGAGACGTACCTGAAGGCAAAAGTGAAATCCATACAAAACACACGCGTACCAACCACGTCCTTGCATTTTCCTGTCTTCACCGGTTCGAAAAACAGATCCGATTCCAGTGCCTGCGCCGCCGGGACAAATCGCAGTCCCTGTCATATCTCGCCGTACGTCTCCAATGGAGCTGACGGAGGAGGCTCCCACAGCACTCCCATGTGTAGAGGTGCCACCATTGTTCTCCAGCATAGTGTAGTTTTTCATGTGTGAAGACAGTTTGTTTTTAGTTTGAAGTATGGCCTATGAGATGGCGCTCCCCTAATAAACGTCTCCTTGCCGACGGGTCGGTTGTGGTACGTGCTCGTTGAAGTTTGCGAGAAAAAATTCAGCCGCCATGAGCCCACGAAAAATCGACGTCAATAGCAGTCTATACGCGCGACGCTACGGATCCTCCAAAATCGCCTCGTTGCCACCGTGTTTGTGACTCACCCCGGAATTTCAGAGATGGTCGAATCTTCTAGCGGCTGTGAACGACCTCCCTCGCGTGTGCCCCCGAAGTAACGAGACCTCCGCGAATAAACCAGTCAGAAGAGCCACTCCTCGCCCATTTCCTGGTGCACATCGCGAGACGGGAAGCAAGAGAAGGAATGGCGACAACGGCGATGGGAAAGGTGTTTCCGGCGTTGTCGCCATCTTCGGCAAAGGTCCTGCTGCTCTCGGCTGCCTGAGGAGAATACAGGTTCGAACAAGTATCACGAACGAATGCGAACATACGCCGACAAGGCGATTCCAAACGACTCTGACATTGTTGTTCGGCACGTCAAGTTTGTAGTATCACTCGTACACACTTCATTCACCTACCACACGTAAGATCGGTGGACGGACAAGTAATGCTCACGCTTTATATGATGACCATCACGATGACAGGAGGCGATTGACGACGTTCCACGCGGCACGTTTCAGCTACCTGGCCCACCCTCGACAGCACCGTACGTACCCACCGTACCGGAGCCTGCGCCCGTGCTTGGCACAGGGGCGGCTTTGGCAGGGACAGACTGTCCACGGTTGGTGGCTGGACTTGACGGGGCGGCTTCGACAGCCCTCCAGGCTCTAGGCTCTGGATACTCGGAGAGCTACGGTGTAGCAGCAATGCCACCACAACCGATCGACCATCGATCGGTTGTGCAGCCGAGGTGGGCAGGTGTTGAAAAAAGAAACAACATGTTGCCTGCTTGCCCGGTTCCAGCTGCTGCAGGAAGCGAACACAGAAAGCGGTTTAATGCTGCTGCGAGCCAGAGATAGCAGTGATTAGAACGGGAGATATAGATGCACAAGGGCATGACCCTTCGTGACTTTGTACAACGAAATCGTAGTCGGCTCAATCTTTCCTCGCCGTTTGTCCGCTTACCTCGCGACATGCCCTCACCGATTGCCCTCCGCGACTACCTCTCTCTGCCGTCACAATTGCAACCCAGATTCGGCTGTTACTCAGTCACATCAGCAAGCCGTGCCCCTCCAGGAATGTCTGGGCGAGCGCCGCACCTTCCGTTGGGTAAGATGATTTCCCGGGAACACAATAACACCCTTGAGGAAGAAGTTCCAGTCTGGCGGGACTCTAGCAATGGCCCTCGGGCATCCCTACCACCACCTGGCCCGGTGTGGCGCGACTCGGACGAACTGTTGGAAGAACTGAGAGCCTCCAGCACTCGTGCTCCATCCGCGGTTTCTCGTAGGCGGGGACATCGCGACAATCTGCGTCAACTGCCGCAAAAAAAGTTGCCGAAAAATCGTCAGAAGAATGTGGGAGACGGCAGGCGTGGGAAGAAAGACGTCAACAGAAGGACAGGCACCACTCCAGCCCGCAAACAACGCGCGGCGGTGTGGAAAGATGTGGCCAGTGCGCCGGGAAGAGTTCTTTTTGGCCCAACGAGACTCTCAGACATTATGTTGGATGTCGAGGTATTGCCAAGCAAGCCACCTAGCCTTGCTGAGGCGTTTCGAAAGCAACCCGAACTCTGGCCGTCCGGCGGCATGGTCGGCGCGACGTCCATTCTACCACCTCCTCCGCCCGAGAAAATTCCAAAGACAAGCCAACATTGGCGCCACAACACTCAACCACTGCTAGCGCGGAGAAGCACTCGTGAGGGACTTACACAGTCGCCGACGTTAGAGGGCAACCTGAGGCCGATCACTGTGAAGAGTACGGTAGGCCGCCCAGGGCTCAAGTCGCGGAGTACTGAAAACATCAACAGCAGCGGCCGTTTTCTATCAGCAACGACATCGTCATCATCCACTTCCTCCTTTTGGAAGTCGATTGCGTGTATCCCGGAGGATTCTCCACTCCCACGTGGTCATCGGGCTTCTGCTGGTAGGCGCCCGCACCCACCTGGTTATTATGGTAACCCTAGAAGGTGGCGGCGGCGACAGCGGTTCCCGGGAAAACGTCGCAACACGGCAGTTGGTGATGACTTGCGGACAACACTCGTCCCGCCGAGGGCACCCGCGTTCGAGCCACGAGAATATTTTGTAGGCCACCACTGGCCAGGGCAGCAGCCCGCGCCACATGGTGATGATATCAAGGGCAGCCGAGACAGCTATCAAAGTGTAGGAAGTAACAACCGTAAGTAGTAGCTCGTAACGAGCGTTTTCGGATACATACATACGCAGGACGAGAGAAACGATAGTATAGGAGGAGGAGGAGGACGATCGCCCCTTAAGCGAACGGATGGAGGAGCCCGGGTGGCACGATGGGGCCTATTCTAGAAATATAGGTCGGGACGCGGCGAGCGGATTGATCACGAAGAGGCGAAGTAGAGACGAAATTTTGCTCGCAGAGCCGGAGAGGAAGGGTCGTCGTCTCTGTTCGCCAGCTAAAGAAAACGAAAGACTTGGGGCTGGGATTGATTTCAGTTTGACAGTAGTGGGGCAACGGAATCAGCCACGCCGCCGCTACAAAGGAGACGGTACTTGTAGTATGTTGTGCTGAGTGAATGAGGCTCACATTTCATTGACCTCTACTTGGCCAAGAGCCGGCCTTCGTTCAGAATGTCACGTTGTCAAACTGCATGCGCCTTCTTTCGAGCGACTGGCGACAAAATTTGGTACACGTCAACCGATAATTTGATCAACGAAGATCTGCGAAAGGGTTGAGCCAAAAGGCTACAAACCAGACGAAGAAGGGAAACGCGACGTATCTATTACGGGAGAACCAAACAATGCTCTATACGCCGCACAACCGCTTTTCGCTACGCTACTACAACACTGGCCGTACTCATCAAAAGCTACAACGAATCAACTTGGAAGCAACCCTCGAGGTTCAACAGGGACATCGATCACCATGACAACGTTGATATATATATCTGGTACGAAGTAAACGCATACGACCCCCCGACGTCCAAACTAACAAAATACTTTGAGTTTAAATGTGTCTACATCCATCCTTCTTTGGGCAATGCTTACCTCAGAAACCACATGACCTGAGAAAACACAGCATCACCTTACGATGCACATGGGATAACGCTATCTGACCTCCGGGATAAGCGGAGCATGCCCTCAACCACGACAAGAATGCACGCAATCCACTGAGTGCAAGCGACATGGTTTTCTCGACATACACCGGTCCCTTGGGCACACAGCGGCAGACCGCGCAACCAACCCTGCTCGTCAACAAAAAGGGTATTTTGAATAAGTTGTTTTCCGGGGGGGGGGCGACCAAAAAAAAATACAGCCACGCGGCAGAACGTGAAACAATTTGGATGGAAGAAAACAACGCTTGTCTGCCACAGCACCAACGACTGGATGCTGGTTTACCATAAGCGACCAGAACGCTGAAAAGTTCTCGCGGCTCCATACTACACTGAACACAACACGTTAAAAAGTATACATAATCCAAGGAACACGACGCGTTGCTTTAAAAAACAGAGTAATGCAAGGAATATACGAGAAACGGAGGGTGTAGAAAGAGACAGGTGGGGAGAACAGCCAATCAAGGCAACTTCACTGCACACATCTATGGCGTCACCCCTGACAGCGAGAGTGAATACTGCAAGCACTCTGACGGACAGACACAGCACAGGGCCCCGATTCACACAAAACAATTCGTGGCAATGATTGGCACATATCGACCGATGATGCCGAAGGTTACTTGTAAATTGCGTCGAGCGTTTCCAATGGCTGAAGCCTAGTCTACCGCTGGCGCCTATTGACCGGATCCTGCAGGGGAAAAGTCACTACCGAACGTGAAGGAGCTGTTCGATGCCGGCCGGGGCCGCATCCGCACCGCCTCCTCGGACTGCATGACGGCAGCAGGACTTCCCTTCGGCACGTACCCGCCGTGCCGTTGGTATGCCTCTCGGACTGCCGGCGTTGCAGCGTTTCTCGCCACAACGGAGGCGGAAGATCCCCTAGGCACCTGCCCTCCGTTCTGCACGGCGGCCTCGTGGTACGCGAGGCGAACATTGGTCTCCGACCTCGCCCCGGTGGCATGATGGTCTTGTTCCTGGTCTGTGCCGCCACGTTGCGCTTCGCTGCATAGACAGATTGGTATAGGTAGGGGTGCCGTGTACGCGATGATCTCGGCGGGTTATAGTACGTAAATCGCAATATTCCCGACAGTCAAGATTCATGTCGTCAGGGTGGTCCGTGCGCTTTGCGTTTGTTTTAGTAGTCTTTTTTGTGGGATGGCTCCAAAAATTGTTGGTAATTGTTGCATACATTTCACCACCGGCCTTCAGGTTACGGAGAGGCAACACAAGGGTGCGCTACCCACTGGCCTACGGGGGAGAGGGACCCCGCATCGGATATCGGACAGCCTTCGCCAAAATGTGCATATTCATGCGCAAACGTTGCGCGTCATTTTGCACACATCGGCAGCTATCATAGCACCATCGGGGAATTATTTCTCTTGATTATACAATACACATACCCGTGTCTCGTGTTTTCACCTCTGCGACCTACGGGTCTGCTTGTAGTCTACGAAACCTGGTATGTATGAGACGGTATGAAGTTGCCGCAGCAGTTATATGTCGACGTTTGTTTCTCTTCGAATCTACAGGATGGCACAGTAGCTTTCTTTGCACCTCCTTCCGCAAACTTTTGCTTCCCTCCCTCGTCGCTTCCCTCCAGGTAGGCATTTGATTTGGTGCGCTACATGCCTTCACCTTCGGAGTTCGTGTGATTGCTTGTTGGATCAGGCATAACAGGTGAGGCAAAGCGCGCTGGCTCTTTACCAGTCCCTAGCACAGCAACAAGATTGACCGGTGGTAGGGAGACGTAGGAACCCCCCCCCCCCGACTCCGGGGATTTTCTATGTGGTGTGCAGTTCGTTCCTCCTGTGGGTTTGTCGATGGCAGATCGGGCCCTGTGTGTGGTGTGATGATCCTCTCTATCAAGTCGCCTGGCGCACTTGTATCCATATGATTCAGAAATGCAGAATGTGGCAAGTTGTCAAAGAGCGATCGGATGGGTTTTTTTGTTGTCTCACCTTGTTCCGATGTGCTTTGAATCCGAGCGGGCGAAGCAAAAGAGACAACCTATTACCACCCCCAGGAAGGTAAATGCAATCCATTGTGGTGTGGTGAATCCTGACATGCCTTTTGAAGGGGCCGTGTTGGCTGCGCGAGAGAGGAAAGAGGACCGAAGGGGCTCTATCTCGCTAACATGTTGGCCCCCACGAGAACGAAAAAAGATTCGATTTTGTTCGTTCACGTACGTCTTGGCTCGGTTCGAACCGCCTCGCAAGGTTATCCCAAACCCCAAACTACAGGTGACTTACGGGAGGAGATCTGCACGCGTTCTGGCGACAACAACACTCAACAGTCAACACACACCCGGGCTTTGCGAGCACAGGATACACATGATAACAATAGCTAGGTGTCAGCTGCGTGGGGCCAAGTTCCCCACCAACGCACGCTTTCCTGCTAGCCGACGTCAAGCATGGCCAACGACAAGAAGAGCAGTAGCAGCAGCAGCGGCAGGGCGAGACTTTCCAGGCCACGATCACGGCCAACCTCCATTCGATAAGATCTTGATCGCGAACCGAGGCGAGATCGCTTGCAGAGTCATGGCGACCGCGCGAAGGATGGGCGTGCGGACGGTAGCTGTTTTCAGCGATGCGGACGACCAGGTATGCGTGGAATTCAAGCACCAAATGACCAAGTGCGGAGGGAGATGCGACTATGTATGTTACGTGTCGACTCACACCTCAACTTGACGTTGTTTCGAAACTACTGCTGTCGATGCGGTTGTTCCTGTACGGCAGGCTGGGCTGGTGCCATCGTGTCTTCAGCGAACAGCTGGTTCCATGATCTTGTACACTCTGTCCTAGGCGTTGTTTTACCTGTTTTGTTGTCCCTCTCCGCAACAAGCTATCACTGGCCTACGAACAATAGAGAGCTACCGGCTATTTAGCAACATTGCAACGTTGAATCTTATTACGCCGCATGTTTGAACTGCGCGGTACGGTGCGGTGCAGAGTGCGTTGCGATGCGGAAACTGGGCGGTATATCCCAAAGTTCACCGGTAGCGTCTTTGGGTTCGTTGATTGGTTCCCACCACAGGACGCCTGAGTTGCATGCAGCAGCAACGGCAAGGTATGTATTGCTGGCGTATTCAAGCAGCCGTGCCAATCTACCAGATGCCCTTGCACCGGCTCTATTGTTTCTAAACACGATGAACAACCTTTTGCCTGTGCCCTCATGTGCGGAGGCGAGATGCTGATAACTCCATGGTGTTGTCTTAGAGTTCCAAAGGACGCTAGGCTACGAGCTGCAGCCACAGTAACAACAATAGCAGGCGTTTGACACTTCAAAGGAGCTGGTGGCGAGAAGTCAAGCGTCGTCGTGGCACTGGCTCTCTCCCCGTCTGCTTTTTCTTTTTTCCTACAGAAGCAAGAACGATTATCCTATCTTCTTGATCTACTACAGATAAAGATGTGCAGGATATTATCAAACGTGCAACATGCCTTGAGGGTCGATTGAAACGTCTGTGTCTTTATGTTGCCTCTATGAGATGAACAGCCAAGCTGTAGACGGTTTAGTCACTGCTGTCCATTGGATGTTTGCTGTGTTTCACGCAGGCACTGCTGTACAGTACACCAGATTGATGTCCCTCTTTTTCCCTTTGGGTCTCACCTCTCTTCAGCGTCTCTTGCGGTGCCAGCACTACGGGTGGCTACAGATACACTGAATAGCTCACTGACGAATGCAGCAACCTGCACGCTCCCCCCCCCACCTACAAACACGCCTACTTCCATTTAACCCTCTCTCCGCCACAGGCCCCTCACGTGCGGATGGCCGGCGAAGCTGTCTGCATCGGGCCGCCAGAGGCGCTCAAGAGCTACCTGGACGCAGATAAGATCTTGGATGCCGCCCTCAGGACGGGTGCTCAGGCCATCCACCCTGGGTAAGGAGCACTTCCAGCAGGCAAAGAGGCACAGATAGAGATAGACAAAGGCATAGGGTGATAAAACTGGCGTAGGGGATGTACAGAGGTAGAGTTGCTTGGTAGGTGTAATCCAACCCGACTCTCCCCTCTCCCTCAAGCTCCGATGCTGACCGTGCGCGTGTAAACCGGGCTATCGTGTGTGTGTTTAAGGTCGTGACAACTTCGGTTGAAGCAAACTGCAACCTTCCATGTCGACAAATCAATTCTAGCCGCACACGTGCGGCTATTTTTGCTTGTAGGACCTCAGAACGTCACGTCCCCCCCCCCCCAAAAAAAAAAATGTAACTTGTGCTCAATTTTAGATATGGTTTTCTGAGTGAAAACGCCTCTTTCGCGGAGGCCTGCGAGCAAGCCGGCATCGCTTTCGTGGGGCCGCCTTCGGGCGCTATCGAGAGCATGGGGGACAAGATCGAGTCCAAAAAGATCGCGGCGGAAGCGGGGGTGCACACCATCCCGGGGTTCAAGGTGCGGTGTGTTTACCCACCCACACCCAAGCAGCGGGAAAAAAACAAACAATAGGAAATCGTGCAGCAGTATTGAATTCATTCCTAATCTATCCCGGACTCTTGTCCGTGGATGAGATGAATTTGTTGTGTTTTTGTAAGAAAAAATAAAATCCGAGGTGCTGTAGTGTTGACGAGATTCGTTGTTAGTGGTACATGACAGGTGGTGTTTTCTCTACCTGGGAAGGGGGTTCGAACGGGCTTGGCCGGACGCGGATGACTCGCTGAACGAAAGTCGGAATCGTTTCTCGTAGTCGACGAGCAGCTGCTCCCGTTTACTGCTGCTGTGCCAAGCGCTGGTGCGCTCCGTTTCAAGCCGTAAAAACTCGTGTGCACTCTTGGACCCTTTGGTATAACCGTAGGGCATCATCGAGTCCGGCGATGAGGCGGTGAGGATAGCGGAGGAGATCGGGTACCCGGTCATGATCAAGGCAAGCGCCGGCGGTGGCGGGAAGGGGATGAGGATCGCGTACGGTGAGAGCAAAATAAATCCAAAACGAAAGAGAAAACAATCTCGTGTTTGACAAAGAACAGTGTTGGGTGTAACTCCCGAGAAGAAACGTTCGTGCGATATTAATCTGTTTCGTGCCGCGGGAGAGTATACAACGCGGATGAATTGTTGCTTGCGGGTGCACTATCGAAAGGGTTGCCCGCCCATCTTGTGACTTCGTTGTTTCCTGGTTTTGACTCCCGAGGCGGCGTTTTTCTGGCCTATGGTACGTGATACGTATGCCCTCTTAGATGCCGAGGATGCGAGGAGCGGTTTCGAGAGGTCCACGGCCGAAGCAATCAGCAGCTTCGGCGATGGCCGAATGCTCGTCGAGAAGTACATCGAGGACGGCCACCACATCGAGATACAGGCGAGAAAAATATTTCTACAGCGAGCGATGATGCATACAATGAGAGCCAGGAGAAACACGCACGATGTTTCCCCAATGCTGTTAATCACTGGCGGTATGTTTGGCTTATACACCCTGTCAGCCTGCGACTTTGGACATTCGTTTGTCGCCGGACCGATCAAGAAGAAGACACTGGGTAGAGATTAGAATAACGCCACTGCATTGGAGGGCCCTCGGTAGTGTGTTTTTGCGTTGTTGAAATTGCGTGACACACCTTGGGATCATCAGGTTGCTTAATACTGCGAAAAGTTTCGGGAGCCCGCGATAGTGGCGATCAATTTCAACGGCACTGTTACTGAGGATCCCCTACCGCAGCAGAACCAGCAAGAGCAACTACAGAGGGGACCATGAGGGACGCTGTGCGTGGGAGACACATTCTCCAGTCTTGGCCGTAGCTTTGTTGTCTACACCTTGGTAGGCCGCGAAAACTCGCGGGGGACGCCTGTCTGTCGCCCCCCCCTGCCGTGATTTGGAGACGTTCGGTCGGCTACGAACGCTCGGCAGTGGGCTTGTCTCGTATTGGCCCAGGCACCATGCTGTTTCAAGTACGCGAAGTATTGGAAACGCCAGTCGTAAGAAGTGTTTTTGATCTCAAGCTATCTCTCTAATCCTCCCCCGGTGATGTGTCCTGGTCTTCTGCGGATCCCCCCCCCTCCCCCCCCGCCTCCGGGGCAGGTGTTGGCCGATTCTCACGGCAACGTAGCGGCATTTCCCGAGCGCGAGTGTTCCGTACAGCGGCGGAACCAGAAGGTCAGTCAGAAGACGGCCCGTCTTCAATTCTCTCGCCCTTTCTTTCGTCTCGTGTCAGATGGTGGGGTCACACCAATCTTTTGTGTCAACTCTTGCGGTAAGCTGCTCGTGTGCGAGCATTCCTCTCGAATCCTGCCAACCCCACCTCCCGTGTTTCTTCCCTGAAAGCACGCATGTCTTCTGCTCCACGCTGGCTTGTACCGTATGTTCTGCGTTGTCATTGTTGGCTGTGCATTCCAGCAGAGAGATGAAATTTGAAAGGTTCGCGTGACGGTTAGTAGCTGTTGATCCCGGACGAAACGGTTGCTGGCATGGAAAATCGTTCGCCGTCCGATTCGTTTTGGACTGGGCAGGTCCTCGAGGAGTCTCCGAGCTGCCTCATCACGCCTGAGGTGCGAGCGGCCATGCAGGAGCAGGCGATCATGCTCTCCAAGGCGACGGGGTACAGGTAAGACTAGTACGGGTTGTGAATGGCGTGCGTGCAGATGTCGCTTTTTTTTTGTCTCCTGCAGCAGGCTGCCATGGAGCACCAAAGCTTTGTGTAACTGTCACCCTCAGCAGAACAAACCGAACATGACTGGTATGTGGCACGCCAACAACTACCATCGGCCTCTGCATGGTGTATTTTTCGTATTGGGTACAAATATATGTATGTAATGTATGTGTCCCACAATCGATGACACATCCTTGTCCTAATAAACAGGTCAGCTGGCACGGTGGAGATGATCTGCGCGAGTGACCTGTCGTTCTACTTCTTGGAGATGAACACCAGGCTGCAGGTGGAACACCCCGTCACAGAGTGCGTCACGGACGTCGACCTCGTCGAGCAGGCAAGCCGACAAAACAGACACCTTTCGACGCGATACGTACACAAGTACCGATGGTGTTGGTACGTGTGTCAGCGAGAAACGATACACACGCATACAATACCGATGGTCATGGTATGCGTGTCAGCAGCAAGCGATACACATGCGCGTTGCATATTGGTCTCTTGTTACGTGTGTTACGAGCATGCGCTGCGTATCTTTTGTTCCATTCACCCCATGCGGCGACTGCCGTGCGGCGCGCTGCTTTTTCCTGCCGCAGCAGCGGTGATTGTTTTTTTTTGTTGTCGAACGATTCATGTTTTCGCCTAACCCAACGGCGCTTTTCCTCGCTTCCTCCATTCCTTCCTTGTGTGCCCACCAGATGCTGAACATTGCGGCCGGTCGACCAATGAGCGATCACCTCATCAAGCAGGTATAGCCGGGATCACGATTGCGCATTTTAACCTTGACTCGATTTTTCTGACATGCAGCTTGATGGTGCTTTCCCCGGACTTATAGTCAGTCGCTGACACGAGCTTGGCTTTTACCGCTCTTGCTCGCCAGATTTCCATGCCTCCTCGTCCACATGGCACATGACTACGTTTACGCCACCCACTGCGAAACCGACCGCGACTTTACTATCTCTCTTCTCATACCTGTAGCCTGCAGCCCCACACCTTTTCCCTCCGACCCATCAATCCCCACGCAACCTTCACTTTCCCTCGCTCGGCATGCCCCCTCCCCTCCGCGGGCGCCCTTCCCTACCGTGGTTCCCTACCGCGACAGCCCCACGTCCCGTTCTACCGACACGCCATCGAGGCGCGCGTGTACGCCGAAGACCCGTTCCGCAAGTTCCTCCCGTCCACCGGGCCTCTCGTGACCTACCGAGAACCGAGGGTCACGGCGGACGGGGATGGAGGCGATGCTGAGGGGGGGGGTGGCGGGGCGGATGGCGTGAGGGTGGATTCCGGCGTGGTGGAAGGGTCGGAGGTGTCGATGTTTTACGACCCGATGATCAGCAAGCTTATCGCGTACGGGGAGACCAGGGAGGTCGCCCTCGGACGTTTGGGCTCGGCGCTTGACGGTGGGTGACCATACCGGGACAAACTTGCGCGCACCCAGCGGGAACCAAAGCCGGTCATGGATTGTGCTCTTCGTGGTGTACCGGGATTGTTTTCGCGTTTGGCAGAACTTTTTGTTCCTGTTCTTGTTCTTGTTCTTGTTGTCGTTGTGGTCATGGTTGTGGTCGTGGTGGTGTTGTCGCGGCAACACACGTTGTTGTTGTTGTTGCTGTCGTTGTCGTTGTCGGTGTTGTTGTTGTTGTTGTGGTCGTCGTCGTCGTTAGTAGCAGTAGTAGTTGTCGGCGTTTGCGTCGATGCCTGTGAGATACTACAAGTGGGTTCATTCCCGCGGCCACCGCTCTCATCTGGCACTACCGCATCGCTACTGCTACCGCTTCGGCTCATGTGTTGTGTGTTGCGCTGTGTCCGCTGCGCATCGCTGTGACGCCCTAAGAGTACGTGATCCAGGGACTGGGGCACAACGTTCCTTTCCTCAGAGACGTCGTTCGGAACAAAGACTTCGCCGATGGGGAGTACAGCACGTCCTTTATCGACAAGCACTACCCCGAAGGGTGAGCTTGATGCCTGTATCTTCTTCTTGCTGCTGCTGCTGCTGCTGCTGCTGCTGCTGCTGCTGCTGCTGCGGCGGCTGCTACTTCTGCACGGTGTACGTCCTTTTGTAGATGTCAACGGCTGCGTTTGTTTGCGGCCGTTTGTGCGGACGATCAAATGGACCGGGGTTGGGGTGCCCGTTCCCCACTGACGACGCATTTCCTCTCATGTGTCGCGCGTTCCGCGATATGGCTGGCTCCCTCTGCGGCGCTCTGCCTTGTCCGACACGCTACTTTTGCAACGACACCGACCGGACTTTTCATCTCATCATCCCGCCATCAGGTGTCTAGCTCCCTTGCGCTCACCTGCCCCAATACCAGGCCTCTTGCCCTCTCCGCCACATCACATACATACCCGCTATCTTTTGGCGTGGGCTTGGATGGCCCCATGTCTGTCTGTCAGGTTCACGGGCGTCGTGCTGTCGGGTGACGAGGAGGTGAAGCTAGCGGCCGTGGCGGCCGCGGTGCGGTGGGTCTGCCGAGACGTGGAGGCGTCGGTCGGACCGAGTCCTGACGTCACCAGGCACGGACGTTACATGACAAATGATGTGTGTTGCTGGTTGTAATGTTTTCGATTGAGTTGCTGCGATTTTGAAGTCGCCACTACTCTTTTCACGCCATCAGAGGAGCTTGGGAGTTACTTCCGGAGACACGGCCGTACGATTGCGACGCTTTGAGGGTTTCAGGCGAAAATACTCCTCAGGAAGACGTACGTGCGTCCGCAACATGGTTTGAGGACAGAAGTTTCGATTAGCTTCACGAGGCAACAACCGATACCGTGTTGATCCGCCCCACCGTCAAGGAAGTGCAGCTTGCCTGGGTGCTCTTTGTCGATCGACGAGACCAAGCTTGGGCGGAATGATGTACAGGTGGCCACCACGCTGCACGAGGATGCTCTTTCTGTTGCAACCAAATGGGCGATAGTGAAATGGATCCGCGTGGCTGTTCGGGGTTGTCCCATCCGACACCTCAGGACCCACCTGTGTGAAATTATTTTCTCTGACGTGTGTACTCTGTGTGTGTTTCTTTTTCATGGCACGGCAGACCTCTTGAGGAGTGCATGGTGACTCTCGGTGGGTACGGCGGTCGAGTTTTCAAGGTGACTCCCGACGGTGAAATGGGGAAACCGCTAGCCCTGACAATTACGCCGCAGAAGGGGGGGAAGGCGGAGGGCGGGGACTCCGTCAGGTAACAGTGGAGATCGACTGCATGCTGGTGTCATCCCTCTCGTCGAAATCAAGGCGTTGCTCAAAACCGTGCAGCTTTTCCGAACGCCAGTTATTGTCTCTTGTGCACCCTCCGCCATCTGTACTATTAGGCTTACGGTGGACGAGCTGGCGTGGAATGTTGGGTTTCCGTTGATCAAGGTTACCGTTGACGGCACGCCGCAGGTGCTGCAGTACCTCGGAGCCAGTGGAGAGGTGAGCGAGCCCCGATTTCCCATCTCGAGTTCTTACGTATTACGACTGGTCCGGAGTAGTGACCATCGGAAATCACGCGAGATTGAAAACTGCACACCAAGACCAACCGTAGGAAAAGGGGCTCCGTGTTGTTGGCTCCTACGTAGGGTGCGTCGAGATCACTGTTGTCCGTGGGGATGCCTCCGCCGCTTCTCGGCCACCGCTGCGCTTGTGATTGCGTTGGTGTTTGGTGGCGAGGCAAGTCTTCGGGTGGTAGCCTTGATCTTCGCAAAGAAAGACCGGCATCTCTCTGTAGAGACGGTGGGCTAAAACGCATCTGCCGTTTTATCATCTTTGTGGCACCCGACCGTCTCTTTGGTGATCGCTGGCTGTTACACGCCAACTCCTGCTGCTCCGCATTTCGCAGGGGTACAACTTGGTCATGGCAGGCTCGCACCAACACGTGGTTGTTCGCTCCCTCCGGGAACAGCAACTCTCAGCCCACATGCTACCCCCCGCGTTCGTCGATCACTCCCGCAGTCTGCGGTGCCCCATGCCGGGCCAGGTGAGCCGCACCCCCCACACACACGCCGATCCTCGTGTTTCCCCTCTGGAATGCTCGTCATGCAATAGTGATGTGTTTCAGGTTTCAGGCTGTTGTAACAGCAGTGTTAACGCTATCGACTCAGGTTCACCCCTGCGTTAGCTTAACAACAACTGGCTAGGTTCCAATTAGTTTTGATCAGTTTCATCAAGTTGCATGAAGTTGCATGAAGATCTTAACATTTGAGTCAAGGCGGGGCTAGCAAGGTGGGACTAATCAAGGTGGGACTAGCAATGTAGGACTAATCAAGGTGGGGCTAATCAAGGTGGGACTATTCAAGGTGGGACTAATCAAGGTGGGACTAATCAAGATATCTTCCGTTCGGATTGGCCGTATCAAGTAAACACGTGAGGAACGGAACCCTAGGGGGGTCCCGTCACTGATTCAGGTATACCCGAAGGTATACCCTAGCCCTCCTCAAACCATGGCGAGATGGAATGAATCTTAGTTTTTAGCGCACGTTCATGCTGCCGTGACACTGTGGAGGGAAAATGTTTTCTTCCTGCTTTTAATAAACAGTGTTGGGGCGAGGCATTGTGTTGTAGTTTCTCCAGGAGTTTTAGTCGGAATGATTATGGCTCGTTTTGTTGTGTTTTCGGGGGGAGTTCTTGGTGCGGTTGGTGTTCCCCAGTGCGTCATCTCGAACGAGAGGCGTTTTACATACCAGAAGAATGGTCGAGTGGGTGTTTAGACAAGCAATGCGTGAGTTAGGTAACCCCCCCCCCCCGCGCTGTCCAACTCAACACCGTTGCGGCAGGTGGTATCCCTCTCCGTGAAGGCGGGGGACCGTATCGAGGAGGGCCAGCAGCTCGCGGTGGTCGAGGCAATGAAGATGCAGAACGTGCTCAAGGCGGAGAGGAGCGGTGTGGTCTCGAGCGTCCTCTGCGAGGCGGGCGAGACTCTGCGAGTCGACGCTGTCATCATGGAGTTCGACTTCGAATCGTAGGATGCTTACGTTGTTGTTGCTGTCCGGCTTTGTTCCACGTGCCACCAGAAAACGCGCAAGTCGTTGTCGTTGCTGCTATTCGCACTCTGTGTTGGTGAGAAGGCCGTGCTTGAGTTGGGTTTGGGGAGACATCCGACGTTGTGAGGGAAGTTCACAAAACGAATTGAGCCTCCTTCACAGTCGTACGCGTTATTCCCCCCATGTCTTCCCATTTCTCCTCCAAGCTTTGGTCGGTCGAATGGGGACACCATACCGGTAGCAGTAGTAGCTGTGCTGTGCGACTTTATAGGTGGACGCGCCCTCTTCAATAGATGGACGTGCTCTCCGAAGAGTAATGGATCAAAACGCCTGTAATATTCCTGTGGGGAACTTGATTGGTTTCCCCGCCACACCTGTGAACCATGGTAGGTAAACGTAGACGAGCGAGGGCAAAGTAAGGTGTGAAACAGCACGCACTTTGAACTGGGCTTGAGCACACCGCAGAGGTCGTCAGATCCGCGCGGAAGAGCGCATGCCATCACCGTACCCATCCGCACTACGCGTGGAGTGTAACACCCGGTGTTGTAGTCGGGCAGTAAGCGTAAAGCGTGGCGTCAAGCCACAGGGTGCTGGCGGGACCGGCGTGTGCACTTCGTTGATGGGTTGTTTTTGGTTGCCACACAAGGCATCGAGAGACACGTGGAGCGAACGCCAGTGACAGCCGACATCTTGTGCAACAAGTAAACCTTTTGTAAGATGCTTTCTTTTGCTTCACACACAGATGCGTCCTCCTGTTCGCAGGGCCCATCTCGTGTTGAGTGTCGTCGGTCGTGTATGGCCCATTTGGTGCAGATTGGGTGGTCGTTTTCGAAGATGGTGCTTGTCTTCCAGGAGGCGCTCATACGGCGCAACCAAGCGCCCGTCGATTAATCGCGGAAGGCTGCGAGTGCCGGAGACTGAGACCAGATCCACCCGACAAACGACGCGCATTCTATTCCGGCGAAAGTACTGACAGAATGATCACGCACGTGACTTACGAGTACAATACTGCTGGGTGTTGACTACTCGAACTATGTGGCAGTTGCTATTTTCTTAGCAAGATGTATCACTCAAGATTCACGGCAGTGAAAAACATGGGGGATCCCCGCGGTTTCAATCGTGACGTTGTCATCAACTCACTATCACAGTGCAGCGGTAAAAGTATTTGCGCCGGTTGGCCGAGAACGTCCTCGCACACGGTAAAACAGACGCACACCCACAACAAGCGAAATAGGTAGCCCAGACCGGTTCATGAGACCCTAACTCCATTGACTAGACTTGACGCAAAAAACGTCTAAAGCCTTTTCCCCAGTGTCCAACCCCTTTATCTATCCGCAGACAAGGCTTCTCCGATGCAGTCCAAGGTTAACGGCTGTGCGTTGTTCGAGCACCTGAGCAAATAGTGGCCGATCGAACCACAAGCCTGAAATCCGTGGACCTCGTCAGCGTCCAACGTTATGCTCGACAACGACGGAGTTTCCGAGGTTCTAACGCGACTTGTAAACACAGCCTAGTGACGTTCGATAAATGTTTACAATCTCCTGTTTGTGCTACAATCGTGCCACGTCTAGCGCGGCGCTTTACCGCGCGCGTTCGCAGCAGGAAACGCATCGACCGCCAGAAAAAATAAAACCATGAATCAACGCAAACATGCACATGTTTGCCGCTGGAGATACAAACGCATTCATTCGTCAAGTGTTCGTTCGCTGAGGGAAGCTCAATACAGCCAGCAGCAGCGTGTGGGTGTGGAATGGAAAACAACCATGTGCGTGACAAATGCGCTCGCAGTACGTACAAACTGATACACCAAATCTCGTTCCCAACGTTATGCAAAAAACTTGGCACGACTCTCTTCTCAACATAAACACTCTCGACACATGCACACACACTCACGCAAAGAGCAACACAATCACACGAGAACCGCAATCAAACACAAACGTGCGGTCTAGACGGTCTTCAGTGCACTCTACCGCGCGGGTTATGAAGGGAGAAGAAAGTTACAGCGCCCCGTTCCGTCCAAAGAGGAGCCAGACCCACACCCACGTGTCCATTTTATCCACCCTACCAAATGTTTGCGCAAACACCTACTAAGAATTAAATAATACCGTAGGTTTCAAATTAATTCACCCTATCAAACTGGTGCACGCCAGTTGTGCCTTTTCTCCTCCCCCGCCAACCTTCACAAGTAAGATCGGGCAGTAAAAACAACAGTAACACCCAAGGTAGATTCGATAACATAAGGGTAAACGACTCCGAACTACATGTGGCACTTCCAAAACAAAGCCCTACCACAGCCACTGTTCCATGCCAAGTATGGCAAAACTTGTTGTCGCCAAAAACACAACAACCAAACACACAAAAAAAAAATCCTCTTAAAAAAAAGACGGACAGGAGCGACCGACCACGCACTGCCGACGAAAAAACGGAGCAGAAAAGAACCAGCCAACATGCTTCGGAAGCAAGAAAGAACCAACGAACGTGCTTCTCTCTTACTCGCCCCGGAGCACCCCCAGCGCGGTGGTGGTAGTCGTGAACACGCAGGTCACGGCACCGACGAAGCAGAGCACCTCATCGGCGGTCTTCTCGGCGCTAGACAGCCTCTCCCCGAACACGACGCGGTGGAACAGGGGCGGCAGGACGAAGGATCCCAGGGTCACGGAGAACGACCCCAGGAGGGTGATGACCACGCCGAAGTTGGGCACGATCGTCGCGCAGACCCCGGTGAAGAGAACGAGGGCGGCGCGGAGCCCGTACCTCAGCGCCGGAGATAGCTCGCCCGACGAGTGGCTCTCTCCGTCCTCCTCCTTGGGGGACCGCGGGTCCGTTCCTGTCTCCGCCGCGGTGAGGGCGCCGTACCTCTGGTCGTCGCCGCCGACCCGGGCGGAAGCCTGACCGAAGCCGGCCTTGATGAGGGCCTGCTCGAAGATCGAGGAGACAGGCTGTTGCCGCACAGCAGCGCAGGTTCGTTGGGGAAAAGGAGGGGGGGAGAGAGAGGGCAATGGAGGAACGCGCTGCTGTCAGAGACTCTCTCCGCAACGGGAAAAAATATGCTGGCGATCGCGGAGGTGTTTTACATTGGTGTCACTGCTGTGGGGATTGGAGCCCTTTCGTTGGAAACGTGACAGAAAGAGGGTGGGTAGCCTGAACACGCGTGAATCAAGACATAGAACAGTCTATCCAGTACAAGCTCCACGTGTGAATCAAGACACAGAACAGCAGTCCATCCAGTACAAGTTCATGGGTTGGAAAAGCGACAGCAAGAGCCTTCTTACCCCCGTGTGAATTAGGCTTGTGACCACGAGGCGTCCGTGTCAGTTGGACCGGTACGGACATTAGAAGGTACTGAGCGGAGACCGGAACGGTTTTTTTATGTGAAGACAACAACAACAACAACAACAACAACAACAGCACCAGTCCGTCCAGTACAAGATGGATGATGCTTTGGGAAGCGACAGCAAGAAGCAGGGTAACCTTTGCACGCGTGAATCAAGACACGAAAACAGCCCATCCAGTACACGTACGGCTACAGGAGAGCCGGGCCGCGACCAAAACCAACCTGCATCGCCAAAGGGTACGTGAAGAGCGTCGCCATCGTGATGAAAAGAAGAAGAGGCTCTTGGGCGAGAGAGTCGCTCGGCAGCTGGCTCATGATGTTGTCGGAGACGGGGCCGTCCTGCTGGAAAATGAGCAGAGCTACCCCACCGAGCACGGAGTAGGAACTCCAGATGATCCAGAGGGAGGTCTTGAGGGCGCCGATAAACTCTTCGGTGTTCGCCATCGATTCCTGAGTGAGGGGTTCAGTCGCCGCAAGGGTAGGCACCAACACGATTGGCGTTGTTTCACGGTCGGGGCAGCGACGGTGCCTGGGTGAGGAAGGGGTGGCTGGGCGTCGGGGGGGGGTCGCCCGCCTGCCGCCGGAGGCACGTACCCACCTATGATACCATGCCACCGAAACCAGACTGAAGTACTACAAACTGTACTATCATACCACGAACATCAGGCATTGTTGCCTTGGTCGAGAAAACGGCGATGTCATTAACGGAATCAGGGCTACAGTACTGTTTAGATATTCGGAGGTGCCAGCTGATGAATCCTGTCGTGCATGGCTTGCCTGGATTTCGGGGATGATGATCGTTGCCCCGTAGGAGAACGCCGCCACTCCGAAGAACGTGCTGAAACCGTCGAAAGTCTGGGGGATGTACAAAGCGTCCCACGAGAGGACCTCCTCCATCGGCGGCCAGCCGTACCTACACGAACACGCCATGCAAGGTGGTGGTGGTGGTGGTTGTGATCAATGTTGTTGTTGTTGTTATTGTGGTTGTTGTTGTTGTGGTCGACATTGCCGTCAGTGACACATCCATGCAAGATTTCGTTCGAGTAGAGGGGGACCGGCAGCGATCGTCCAGGTTAAACAATGGAGGGGGTCCCTTGTTTGTTCTCTCCGACAAAGCTAACTCCGGTCCATGGAAACAACGCCAACGAGTTGCTTTCTGCTGGGGCTGCGCACGGCCGAGCGTCTCGCAGGGTCGACTACGGAGCGACCTTTCCCAGCCCGTCACCCTCCGAGTGCTTCGAACCCGCGTCAAACCAGACGACTCATTGGTCTCCCACACAATGATGCTGGCTGTAAACGTCAAACCAAAAGGCCGAACCAATCGGTATCGAGCGCCTCCAAGGCAGTCCTGAAACGCGTCTGCGAATTGCTATCAAAAAGTCCCAGACGACGGAGTGGGACTGCAGTAGGTGGAAAACACGCCAGCAAGGTGCTAGCCCTTGCCAGGGTCAGATGCGGTATGCCACGAGAAAGCGCTTGAAGCCATATGTACGGTAATCCCACGCCAGGCCCGCCACGCAGTATGAGGTACCCCACCGCACAGCCGTGAGACTTGATTCATCCATCCATCGGCAGCCTAGTCTAAGAAACCCGGTAATCGCCTTGCTCACATCTCCAAGCCCAGCTTGATGATGACGGCAAACCCGGCGACAAGGGCGACGATAGCCGGCAACGATAGCCTCGACAGAGGCGCTAAGGACCTGACGGAGGAAAGAAACGCAGCCAGGCGGGAGAAACAAGCGTGAGGAAATTACCCCCGGACAGCTTGCGCACTATACATAACACGCAAATACATTTCGGAACACCTTGAAGTTTCTTTGCATGGAAGAAACACATGGCGTCACACCAGGCGTGAGAGATGCGTGGTGTGGTGCGAGTTAGGTTCGTCCCTCGGTGTAGCCTGTGTTCCAGAACCCCGCAGGATGTGGCAGTGGATGGTGCACCCCGTCACACGCTCGCAGAAAAAAAAAAATGTTGCGGAAGACGCTGGTCGAGTGTGCTATGCAACATGATCATGGTGTGATCGTTTCGTTCAGTGTCTGAAGCATCGAGACTACCTTGCCAACACCACGTCCTTATCTAGGACTCGTGGGCTAGCGTGGTATTCTTTGTGTCAAACACGACTCTTGTTTTCAGTTCCCGCACAGGGTTAAGTTCAAGGCACAGATACTCACTTGATGCACGTGAGCGGGTACATGAGGCACATGTAGATGAACGTGTTCACGTACATAGCCGTCTCCTCCGACCATCCCGGGTTGAGGTAAAAGTGAGTCGCCCTCAAGAGCTCGTTAGCGTTGATGAAGTACGCCGTGGCTGCACCCAAAAGTGTCACCACCACGCTGGAAAAACGGGGTTTCCAAGACAAGAGGGATGACGGGCGCGCCAGGGGGGAGGGAGGTGGAGTGTTTAGCATGTGTGAGACGTGCGGAGTGTGCACTAGGTACACGAGGAAGTTGTGGGTGGTGCAGAAGGATAGTAACACCGCGATGGCTGTTAGTTTGGTCCGTTCGTGAGGGCTTTGTGGCTCGCCGATGCGCTCCTGGCAGCAGGGAGCCTCTCTCACTCATGTCTTGTTGTCATGCCCGTCCAATGGCAAAGTCTTCCTCAAGATCTACGGCACACCCAGTCGCCGTCTACGCGTACAACGGAAGCAAGCCCTACGCCGACAAACAGGGTAGGTGGATGAGGCACAATCTTGCGATAAGGAGCCTGCGAGACCAGAGAGCACGACATCGGACCCAGTTCATCGACATTTGTACACGTGTGCTGGGTCCCGGCCGATTGTGTTCAGATTGATGATTCGCCACTCCTGACACAACAACAAGCGGGGAAACAATTTCAACCAGGAGAACCTTTCTCGCTCAATTCTTACCCCATGTTCGCGGTGTACGTATCGCCGTAGTGTTGCGGGGTGGATCATTCTTCGCAAAATGCACCTGAAGAACGCGAGGAGTACCGTCCGTAGCCGTGGTGTTGCCATGTGGAAAATATTACGCAAAACTTTACCTGATGTACACGAGTATCGTCCCCACAGAGCCCATGGCGTAGCTGCCGATAGCTGCAAACGACACCGGTGTGCCCAAGTCCGCGGAAAGCGAAGTACCCTAAACACGAGTACCAACGTTTCGTAGCGGTGGACGGGCGGAGGGACGAATGCTAAAGTACTTGAAGGCGGGGGGGGCGCGGCCTCGGAACGGGGGCAGGTGAAGTCAGGGGCGAGAGCAGCTTGCGCCTGTTGCGACGACAGCAACGCCTTCGTTGGGAGGGTTAGAAACCCCTGTCACCACTAACTGATGTTTGTAGTAAGGCATCGACTGGTCAAGGGAAGCACGTCCACTACGCGGTCCCAACGCTAATACTATCGTAAGAGCCGAGAAATCCACTCGGCTCTCGACAAAAAGATGAAGCTTTGCCAGGGACAAACTGGCACACACGTTCCGCGAGTGTGGTACCTAGGAGTGAGAGCTACCTCTTTGCCAGTACGCCAGACAAGAGCAAAAAAATAACACACCATACAAATGCGGACGGGCTAGAGAACCCGGTGGTTTCGCTGCTTGGAACATGCGGCAACACAGCAAGACCAAAGAAGGGTGAAACGGCTGTTGTCTCGAATGAAGCAGGGTTGACCAAGCTAAGCTTTCAGACATCGGATTCCTCCTGGGAAACGAGGTCGAACCAATCCGCGACCTGCGGAACGCGACACGCACACACCTTTTCCGCCTCGGCCCTAGCAATCAGGACCTCCTTCCTCAACTTCACCAGCAGGGAGCAGCAGAAAAAGTTCCAGAGCAACACGATGCCCAAGCCAAAGGTCCCCGACACCAATCCGCTGCCTTGGATGGCGTAGGGAAGCCCGAGCATTCCCGCCCCGAAAGCGATGTTGACAATGTTCATGATAGTGTCGGTGGAGGTGCCGTCCCCGCCCTCGCCATCGGAACGTACCTTCGGAGCAGCGGCGGCGGTCGCCGCCGGGGGAGCTGCAACGAGTCTGCTGCTTTCCGCCATTGTGGCTGCTCGTTGAGACGCTCGGCACCTCTGCTTCAGCGTATGTCGGTCGAGAGATCAGCGTCCCCTCGTTCACCGTTCGGCGTGCGGTCTGCGTCAACACATCGCAGTACAACAGGAAGGGATGAACAAGTGTCGGATTCGAGTGTCGCGTGTTCGGTGGGCACCTCTGAAAGGTCGACAACAAGGTCGGCGTGCTTGGGAAGAGCCCCAAGCCCGGAGAGAGACCACAATCAACATGTGTTAGTCAACTGGAAGAAGAAACGCAAAGACCCGAGTATAGAAAAGAATACATAGAGAACGAACCATCGAACCGTTTTCTCGGTGTTCCTATATTTTTTTCGTTTTTTTCGTTCGCACAATCGATGATTAACTCATCGCCAATTATCCTGAACTCTTTACCTAATAGATGGCCAGAGAAGAATTTGGTTCGTTTGTGTAGCAAGAGGAGTAACAAAAAGTGTGCCTAGAAAGATTTCAAGTTCGTTTTACTCGGTTTTTGTCGACGTTTATCGTACAACATGATGTCACAGCAGCCGTTTCCTATCTATCTGTCTTTCATACATAAACCTAACACACCCAACAAGCATCACACAGATTTGTTGCTGAGTCAGACTAATATCATCATGCTCTCATGCACCTTCCTACCACCAGACGTATGAATGATGATCGTATGCATAGACGAACGTCACTACTTCACGCTACAGCGAGCTTGCATGGCAACTAGCCTAGACATACAAAGCAGGTGGCACCCACACAAAAAAGCACCCACTAATTCTCCTGTCGACCTTCCCCTGCCAACTTTTGGGGCTCACGTAGAACAGCAGAGTAGTGTATATCTCCGCTCCGATCGCATGCGGTCATCATCACGATACACATCCAACACATGACAACACACGATGTACAATGCATATGATGCTTTGCATACAACAGAGTTGCACATTGTTTCTTGCAAAATACGGTACAAGTAGTGGTCCCGCTATAGTGCTGGTGCGGTCCAGCCGACTTCACCGGCATTATAGCAGGCCCCCGGCATAATATACTGCTGTAAATGCCTGAATAGTGCCGGTTCCGGCATTATTCAGGTTCTGAGAAGTCCGCTATAATGCCGGTACGGCACTATTCAGGAAATCATCGAGTTATTCAGCACGAAAACGTGATCATACGCCAGCATGTACACCACAAGCATCGCGAGATGGGGAAAGAAAAGTAGATGCAGTGTCAAGAGGCTTGGGAAGCATGCTGCGGCCGAGCATCATTCAGAGGCGCGTGCATCGATGGGCCGTATCTCATACACTCAAACGTATCTGTAGGTCCGCTGCAGTTTATTCACAGCAGCGTCTACTTGAATGCACAAACTCGTCCTCCGATACCCTGAGTTGTCGTTCTGACCCGATGCCATCCCCGACTCGCAAAACACACGTAAGATATATCGTAACGCAAACATCGGAAAAAAACAAAGCAAAAAAACCAAGAACATCTGAACACACTCAAGTGCAACCTATTAAACGGGATACAAAAGATCTGAGGCACCCACCTGTAGCATACGCATATTTCACCGGCATTATACCGGGCGACCGACATTATTCGACCGGCATTTACCGGGACAACTACTGATGCTTCCATCATACATGTCGAATAAAATGCAGGGATGGTCATCTTCTCGCATGCTACCGGCTACCGGCCCGACATCGTGCCAGCACTCTAGCCAGTAACTCGTCGGCCGATACGTCGATACATAAAGGGACACAAAAGACACTGCTGTGTGTATGCGGATTCTATGAGGTACTTGTAGGGCAAGGGGTGCTTCTTACAAGAGGAATCCGCACGTACGTGAAGAAGGCCGTGTTGCATGATCATAAGATTCTGCCGGCCCTCCTCGAGAAGAGCCTACTACTGCGGTACTCTCGCTCGACACAAGCTCTGTCTTTGTTTTGGAAGCAACTCTCACTTGCTCACACTGCTCGGCTGTCTCGGCAACTCTCAGCAAACATTTTCACGTGATGACACATTTCTTCCTAGCTCTCGGACCCTCGGACCCTCCCCGCAGCGGGGCGGAGAGTTGATGTTGCGAACGTTCCACTTGTCACCCAGCAGTTCCGCAGCAGCACCTGGTCTAGACGAGACATGTTACCTGTCGGCGCCGCAACAGCACCAAGACGGGGGCCCACGATACACTTCTCTCGACGCAACTTCTGTGCCTCCAGAGCAACGGAAGCACTTCTTGTAGCAAGCATACGCATACCGTATGAACTGTACTCCTGTTGTATGCATAGCACACAGAACACAGAGGCCACACCTCGAAGCAACCCGTAACGGAAGTCGGCGCCTGTCTGTGTCTCCCAAGCGGCTGCGGAACAGAAAACCGCAGTCAAGGAGCGTCCGTGGATTCAACCCAGGGTTAGGTGCTTCCAGTGTAGGCCCTCGACCTCTCCGCGCTCTCTGAAACACGCAGGATGACTCCACACTCCACACTATGTTTTCTATTCCGTTTCTGCTTCCCAGCTACTATAGCCTCCCAGCAGCCCACGGATAGATCCACGCACACGGTGCCTCCCGCCCGTCCCACCCCCGGGTTCACGTAATCGATTTGACGTGCCCCCCATTTTCATTTTTCCTGTGGTTTCGCCAACAGCAACCGCTGTCTCTGCTCGGCTCTGTGCACCCATCTCTCATCTCTCTGCGTAGAGGCACAACGAGGTTGGGAAATTAGCAGACCGCTATGAATCCGTCTCTGACAGGTACCGTGCTGAAAAATAAATGGAAGCTGGGCGCTCTGGTGGGATCAGGAGGGTGTGCGGAGGTATACGAAGCGATCGACGCCCGGGCAGAAAGCGCGGGAGCATCGGATGGGCCGTTTGTTGCCAAGATCGCGCCTCTGCCTGTGGGCCTCCCTCCCGCCATGACCAAGGGGAGGAAGCGAAAGAAAACGGAAGAGGAGAAGCATGCGGATATGATCTACTACGAGTACACGCTGTACAAAGGTTTTCTAGCCGAACACGGAGGGGTCGTTGAGGTGCGTGCAGCTGTGTACAGGAACATTCTAAATACAATACTTGTATGTGTGCTGCGATGTCGCATACTTCTACTTACACTCAGCCGTAGCAACCGAGGCTGCTCGTCAGCCAACGCTGTAGCACGTGCGAAAGGTGCTGATGGCATCGAGTTGATAACCAACCGAACAATTCGTGTGGGTCTACCCGCGTTCAAGCGTGAGTGTCAGGCCACAGCACATTGTATGCACCTACCCATTCCACGCGGAAACCAGCAGCCACCGCGGCGTGCGAGTTGGCTTATTTTTCAACGGACCGGCAGCTTTGCATGCCGAGGGGATGACATGTACAAGATGATACAAGACGATAGCCAACTTCGGTTCCTTTATTTCTTTTGTTCTGTTGCAGCAGTCGCGGCTCCTCTGTGCCCCAGCACCCTACTGTCCTCGGGGAAATACGGCACAGGCGGCCATTTCGACTCGGCACTCACACACGTACAGCGGGTGATGTTGCCCTGTGACAACCCGCGGACTTGGTGGGGATGGGGAAGGAGGCTTTAGACTAAGGGGGACAGGGGAACGAAGACTAGACTTGAACAACCGCGGTTTTGACCAATCACGAACGTGTGACAGGTCGCTGTCACCTGTGTCGTTGTATATAGTGGGCATACCATAAGAGGTGGGAACGCCTAGACGGATTGATTTCAAAGCTCGACTGCTCAACAATCAATTGTGCCAACACCAACAACTGAGAAAGCTGCATGTAGTTTTTGGGAAACACCTTGTCGAGGGCTTTCCGTGGAATTATCGGGCTCTTTCCGCTCTCCCCTTGGTTGTGAGAAATCGAGTTTTGAAAGTCGGTCTATAGGGGGTGCCGTCTGTCCACCTCTTCGGTACTGGTCGAGTGTGGAGCAGGCGTGCCGTTCGTAAGGAAAAGCTACGTCTACACTTGCAGTTCCGCCACGCGGAAGGGTGAGGGATAAGGGTCGGTCTCAACGAAGAAATCAGATCTCGAAATCACATTCAGATTTGGTTAGAAGACCGTAAGATCCACAGAACTCTTTCGTTGATTGGCTGAAATGTTATGGAACCCGTCGAACCTTTAGGACTTGAAACAGGACGACCCAAAACCAAATCGGGATTTGAAAAAAGGTGAAATAATTTAGTCGGATCCCGATTTGGGTGAACAGCGTCCATAGTTGCGGGACCACGGTCTACTCGCATGCACGGCGCGTGCCCACCTACCCCCATCCACACGAACTCCATCCACCGCCGAGCACAGACGAAAGAGAGAGCAAAAAAAGCCAACCCAAAGGGAGGGTGACTGCGCATCGTTGTTGCACGTGACTGGTGCCGAAAAAAACGTGTGTGGGATGTGTTGGTCTGTGGGGCAATCTCCCGTGGGTTGTCGAACTTCAAATGCACAGACGAATTGGCGGCTTTCCGTCGGACGAGGCTCGATTCAAACTCTCACATGCATATAGACATCGTGTCAGTACCGCACAGAGGCCATGTACGCGTTTGTGTGTGCTTGTCGGGAGCGATAACTCCTTATGTGGTGCGGCCACGTCATAACAGTACGTTACGACAGCAATCTGGCAGTTGGCAAGCGGCGGACCTCTCGGGTTGTTCGCGGTGGACTGCAGAGATTCGTTTCCATTTGGCAGATCTCCCGTTAAGACACACAGGCCATTTCTGTCCGGATTTGGGTAGATCCGACTCTTTTACTCTTATATCGAAATGTGATTTCGAGATCTGATTTCTTCGTTAAGACTTAAGACCGACCCTAAAGGGGTTAGGTTGGAACCGTCGCGCGGGAGGAAAGACGGAGGGATTGGGAAGGCGAGGAGAGCGGGCGAGGCGAGGGTAAATGTAAAACATAGAGAGAGAGGAAACATCTTGGCGTTTGTCGCCACAACAGCAGCACCGGTGGTCAGGAAAACCAGCACCGAGACCGAGGGACCATACCACGAAAACTTCTAGCACTAACTAATGACAAACGCTGCCAAACCCGGTGGTGAACCCCTTCGCCTCCTCCCAGCCTACATCCAATTGTGCCTACAACAATCTGCCTGTTTCCATTCCGTCCAGCAGTGTGATCCATTCATGCCAAACCACGGCTGTCTTGTGCGAGAAATAAGACCATTACCCAATGAAAAGATGCTGAGCCGGTCTGCGTTGTGCAGGGCACCGGCCGTTGTCTTGCTCATCACCACCGTATCCGTTGTGTTGCTCTGGTCACCGCAGTCTGTGGCTGACGGCGTTGACAAGCCCTTTGCGAAGAAACAAAAAAATAGGCTACTCACGCATCGGGTTCTTGTTGAAACAAGTTGTTTTCGAAATGCTGATCTTCCCCGAAGATTTACCCGAAATTCCTTGACTTCTTCCGGGTAAAGAAAAGTAAACATCGTACACAGCAGTTTTTTTTTTTTTGTGCCAGCTTTCGATAGAACGTTCGTTGAGGGCCAGCCCGCCTTCTCTCTTACCTACGAATTCGATCTATTCCATGTCGCGCTTATCCTTGGGGATTTCATTTCCCCCCTCTGGAAACCAAAACAAACGAAAACAGATCCCACCCGGGGGCTACGGCGAAGACCAGAACCTGCGTTACCTCGTGATGAGCAGGCTTGGTCCGGACGTGGAAGCCGCGCTAAAGAAGAGCGAAGGCTGGTCGGTGGCTCGCAAGGCCGGCTACGCGAGACAGATGCTGGCCCTCCTGCGCACCCTGCACGAGAGCTGCAGGATGGTGTTCATTGACGTCAAGCCAGGTGCGAGGGAGTCGCGAACGTAGACGGGGGTACGAACCATCGAAAGCATGCGAGTCTATTGTGGCCGTGGTAGAAGGGTTGCGCGGTTTCGATGTTGATCCTTGAGCATGGGACGGGCGCTTTGCGGGGTGCTGTATAGGTAGGTAGGTTTGGAAGCTGATGTCGCGCGGCGTGGTGGAAGAGGTATTTGTTTCTGCGGTCGAAGTACTCGAAGAGATGGCGGCAATCGAAATCACTGATACTTCAGGACGAACGTTGTGTTTGCATAGTGTTATATTTAATGAACTTTATGTGAGGCTTGTGGGGGTTGCTTGGCTAGGAGTTGGTCGGTATGTACGGGAAGAGCGCATGGCCTTGTGTTTTATTCCAGCACCAACCTTGGGAGGTGAAAAGGGTTCTCATCCTACAGCGGTGCAGCTGATGGTGGCGAGAGAGAGAGAGAGAGAGAGAGAGAGTAGAGAGAAAGACCGGGGGGGTCACACAGAACCGAAATAGCTGCATCACTCCCAACACTGCCCCTCGCTGCCCCCCCCACTTGCTGCCGCGTCCCATCGTAGAAAATTTCATGTTCGGGGTGCCGGACTCAGCCGATGAGGATAAGATCTTCCTGATCGACTTCGGGCTCAGCGCGAGGTTAGTCGCCGTAGGACCAACGTCGGAGAAATCAGAACCTCATTTGGTTGTGTGTGGTGGGACCAAGATGTTGCTTGTTTCCTCTTTTCGCGAGAGTGAAGCTTTCTCGTGACGTCGACACGGTCCATGCTGAGCATATCATAATTGACCACTCCCCGACTTCCTCTAGAGAACGGTGCATGTAACAGCATTTCTTAGGCCGACTCGCATTTCAACAGGGGGCGCCATTCGCTCAGCCAGCGAGACAGATTCAGGCCAGAGGGTAGATACACGAAACAAATCGACCTTTGCCTTGGCATGATGCGCGTCCTTTTGGCTGGTGCTTGACACCAGGTATACCGGACCGGCAGGCGCAATCAAGCCCCAGGGCCAAAGCGCCCAGATCCAGGGCACCCCGGAGTTCCTGTCTCTCAAATGCCATGGGGGTGCCAGCGCTGGAAGGTATGGGAGTCAGGGTGGACCTTGTTAAAAAACTGTTGCATCGAAAATCGAAATCGAAATCGAAATTAGATTTGATTTTCGATGTCGGGTTGGCTCTACACAGCGCAGGCGGGGTATCGAAATCGAAAATCAACCTGGAAGAGGCGAACAAGGCCCGTACATGCCGGTTGCGATGATTCAAACCATGACCATGAGAGCCAAACGGCATCCAAGACAGCGAACGATAGCTCCGAACAACGGCCATAATCAGGCGGGTTGGGGGTCTTTGTCTCGCATCGATACGCTTCGAACTCAGCGAGCAATATGTGATTGAATGGGGCGTGCTGATGTAGGAAAGCCAAAATAGCTGCCGTTGAACTGCGTTTACAAAGAAATAATTTCACGGCGATGACTCTCTCTCTCTCAACTTAGGGCAGATCTCGCTCGCATCACCAAGCAGTCTGTAGGTGGCTAGACGAGTATGGAGGCATGTACGATTCTGTGAGGGTGTGGCAGCCAGCTTGATGTTCCGGTTGGCATTTTCAATTTTCGATTTCGAGTCTGTTCGTGCTCGCTTATGATTCTAGCATATCGGAGAATATTCGGAACTTTTATCCCCAGATCGAAAAACCGGCGGCGGAACACTGGAGCTCTGTCCAATCAGTGACATTTTCGATTTTCGATTTTCGATTTTCGACGGAATAGTGGTCTGACAAGGTCCACCCTCAGTGAAGAGGCCCCAACCGCAATTGAGGCTCGAAGTAGGATCGGTTTTGCGCGGGGGGCTGGCGGGACAATTGGTTTTGTTGAGGCGCATGTCTGTCGACGTTTACCGCTGGCGCGCTCTTTTTTCTTGTCTTGTTTTCCGTCCGCTCTTTGCCACACCCCCTTGTGCTGACACAAAGAAAGGTGTCTGTTGCACGGTGTACTTGTATGCTTTTACTGCCCGAGCTATTATTCGCTCTTTGGCCCGTGCCCCCCATGTTGCGGTGTGAGTTTTTGCAGCACGGCAGATATATGTCCTGTGTCCGCTGAATTTCGGTTGACTCCTTCCGATTGGATCGTGTGTGTGTGCGCGCGCGTGCAGGTGCGACGACCTCGAGTCTCTCGGCTACGTGATCGTGGCCATGCTGAAGGAGGGCGACAGAGCCCTGCCTTGGAGCGGGTCGACTAGCGTCAAGGACGGCCTCGCATCCAAGAAGTCCACCACGCTCGAAGAGGTGTGCGAGGGATGCCCGGCGGGCATGCTCAAGTACATGAAGGCCGTGCGCGGCTTGGAGTACGAAGAGACTCCCGACTACGACAGCCTCGACGCCATGCTCAAGTCCATGGAGAGCGGCGGGGCGGCAGCAGGCGGGGCGAGAGGAGGACGCGCCGCACCTAAATCCAAGACTCCGGCCGCCGCCGCTGGCGCTTCGACCCGCGGATCATCTAAGGCCGCGTCACGGGAGGAGGAGCGGGACGTGGGGGCGTGTGTCGACGACGGGAAGGGTAAAGGAAGGAAGGGGAAGGGGCGAGGAGAGGCGTCATCCGCGAAGGCGCCGCCGCCGGCACCTGGGTCTCCCAAGCAGCGCGCCACGACGGCGGTTCGGCGTAGCCGCCGGCTGTCGTCGCCGAAAGACGGGGAGGAATTCCATGACGCGCTCCAAGAGCACGGCATGGACGAAGGGGAGGAAGAGGAGGAGGAGGACCTCCAAGTCACGAAGGTTGTGAACGGGGCGGCGAATAAGGGGACAGGCCGGCGAGGCACCAAACCTACGGAGAAACTATCAACGGCGGCGGCGGCGGCTGTCAAGAAGAGCACTCGCGCCAAGGCTACAAAGGCGAAGGCTAACGGGGTCTTCCTGCTTGAGGTGTGTTTGCGCCGAGGCGAACATGGTGTCAGGACGGTTTGTGTTGGTGGTTCGGAGGGCGCGAGCGAGGTCCGGCGGGGGGTGCGCTAGAGAAGCACGTTGTACGGGGGGGTATGAACGTGGGTCGTTCCAATTCTTGTTGCGTTGAGTCTACGACGACTTCCCAAACAAAGACAAGCGCCGATGGTTGCTCATTGACCACGCACCCAGAGGAAGAGAGGCTTCCACTCGTCATTACGTACCCAAACAGAAGTGCCTTCCATACCCAAACGGAAGCACTTTCCGTACCCCACGGAAGCACGTGCAATTGAAAACAACACCCGGCTGGTATGCATACCGCGCGCTCTGTCGATGGCTACAGGTGGTTTCAGGTCCCCATGAAGGGGAGACGCTCAGGATGAAGGCGAGCGGTGCTGAGGTCCGCGTTGGGCGGAACGCGCCCAGGAGGAACGGCCTGCGGCTCGACAAAGACTTCGAGGTTTCGGACAAGTGCGGTCTGTGGTGCAAAGCCGTCGGGCGTTGTCGGGCTTCCCGTCATTGTTCTCTTTCCCGACCTCGCCGTAGAGAGTACCAACATGTCGTATTGTGCTCATGCCCTGTGCTCATGAGGAGCATGCCGACGAGCGATCCATCCGCGCCACAAAGATTTAGATTTTTTGCTTTCCGTGAAGTGGAGGTCGTGCTCGTTTCCGCGTGTGTCCTTTTGAGCGATGACTTCTGAGCTCCACTCCAGATTGACCGGATGCTCTGTAAGGCCTGGTTGGGCTCGTAAGGATGGTTGGTGACAACGAGTCGCCCGCTGGTGTCATTTCGCCAGGTGCTGCGGCAAGCTCGGGCTTGCAACGAAACCGGCAGCAGTTTCGTACGTTGGCGCGCCAATAATGAGCCTGTTTTCCGCTGGTTCTTTGTTGACGCGTGTTTTTGTCCTCGGTGGTGCGCCCTTTCCCCAGGCACGCCATCTTACGCCCAGGTGCAGATGGGATCGGCCTCGAAGACCTGGGCAGCCTGAACGGGAGCTTCGTTAACGAGGACCGGCTGGAGGGAGCCGCCGTGCTGCAACACGGAGACGTGCTGCAAGTCGGGCAATCGATCGTCCAGATCACTGGCTAAGATTTTTGTAGCCTTTCTGTCGGTACTCTTTCGCTGAATTTACCCACGTCAGTATCTGTTTTATCACGCAAGTGACGTTAGCCCGTACGTAGGCCGTGGCGTGAATTATTTTCAAAGGACATGCAAGAGAAATGCTGACGCATTTCCCTTTTTTTGTCCCCACCGTCTTAGGTCTTTTGGCACCGCGTTAGAATTGGTGGAGGTTGTCGTTGCTTGTTTGTTTTGATGGCGTATCCGTGCAGCAACTGTATCAAGCACATTGAGTTCGTCTAATATGTTGTGAGGGTAGGGCAGCTTTCATATTCCGATATACATTAGCAGTCGTGACTTTTCTCCTAGAGTTTATGTTGAAGGCAGCAAGTAGAGGATGCTTGAGTCGTCCCATCGGAGGTAGGCCCCACGGAAACTTTGAAAACCTTGATGTTTCTTCTTTGTTTGCGTCGAATCTGCGCGCGCCATGTATGTTGATGTATCATACGTTGTGCCGAAAGTGAGCCATGTCGCTGGAAATCTAAAAAGGTGTGTGTACATTTTCTTGTACGAGTGCAGACGAATGCGAGTTTGTACGAATTAAGATGTTCCATTTGCGGACATCTTGTCGTGACGGGATCAGATATCTTCTTAGGCTGCACCGACCCCCTTTCTAGTAATGAAATCAGCGATTACACTATATATCAGCATTTCTGCCGTATGGGAGCTCCAATCCGTGCTTGCATTGTCAGTATTGCCTCACTGTCATACAGCTTGGGCTGGTCTGCCTCCAACAACTTCGCGAGGACGTTGCAACATCTACAATCTCGTTAACGTACACGACAATCACTAAGGACGCATTTCTTTTTGGAAAGCATCCAACGACGTCCCTACGTGACGTAAGATATCGCACTCCCTGGACTGATTTCGAAGCTCCAATGCTCCGCAACAAAAAGAGTGGCGGTGCAAAAAATCGTCGCGTTAGATTGTGGTGGAGAGCTTTCCAACAACATATCGTGTGATTTGGGCATCCTCTTTGTCGTCGAGTAGCCGAGCGTTGACAATCGGTCCAGCGGTGGTGATATCGTCTGTCAACCTGGGAAGAAAGTGATGGTACGCGGTTTCATTCTGCTCGGAGCCACGGAACGAGAAATCCTTCTACACAATACAACCAACAACCAACAGAGGCGCGTAGCATGTACTCTTCTACACAATACAACCAACAACCAACAGAGGCGCGTAGCATGTGCCAATCATAGAACTGCCATCCCCTAGTATTTTCGAGTGCATTGTGGTTGACTTGTTGGTCTGGGCCTGTCGAGAGTGAAAAGTAACCGTGTGTCTGCCCCTCCAAATAAAACATAAAAAAAATGGTCCATAAAACATGAAACCGCAAGGGGCAACACCGCGCGACGATCTACCAGATCTCCGGAGAACGGAGATCTCTCGCGTATCCAACCAAGATTTGCGCTCGACCAACGCCCATATTACATGCCGAACGAGTCCTCAATGGTAGGGCAGGACCAGCTGGCCGTAGACAGCGTGGAGTCCAGCTTCAGAGCGGCCGTCGCCAAGCAAGAGGACGTGTTCACCCTCACCGCCCTAGCACACCTCCTCGCCGACCTCGGTCGAAACGACGAGGCTGGATCGTTCTTCGAGAAGGCCCTGAAATGCCCCCACCACGCCACCAAGCATGGATCTCCGTCGTCCGACGGCGAGACTAGAGGCCTGGCCATGGGGTGGTACGCGGCGCTAGTGGAAGGAAACGGCAGCGAGGGGGCAGTTAAGGCCGAGGGGCTGTACAAGCGGGCGTTGCGGATTAACGACAGAGATGCGTTGGCCATGGGAAACTACGCCGTTTTCCTGCACAAGATCAAGCGGGACCACCGTGTGAGAATTTTATGCATGTAGCCGGGACTGGACAGCAGCGTGAACTCTTTTGCGACCAACATGCGGTTGCCAACTCGACGTCAACGAGCCTGTCGCAGACTGCTCTCGTTTCTTAGGAGACGTCGTGCTCAAAAGGAAAGACTTCATACCGGAACGATGATGTTTGTTTGCCGTCCAAATCATTATTCTCTCCCCACAGGCCGCCGCAACCGCATACAAGAAGGCGGTGGAAGCGCACCCAACGCACTCGTCCATATTATGCAAGTACGGGGGCTTCGTAAAGCACGTGGAAAACGATTACGAGAAGGTATGCATACCTCAAACAAGTCCCTGCTAGGGTGTCGAATCTCGTGCTGCTGTTGTTGTGTACAATCCGGTGCCTTACGAACATACGTTACCAAGTCGTGCCTCGCACGATACGGCAGAGTCACGCGGACAAAAAAAATGAGCTGCACATTCCATAGCGCACGACGAGTTTCATCACTTTTTCTTGTGTAGGTGCTAGGTACGTTTTGCTTGGGTGCACTGCACTGCTCCACTACACAGACCTATGTACAGACAAGAGACAAGTGTTTTTGCTTTCCTCTCCGTTTTTGTCTTCCCTCTCGTGTGTCCTACCAACTCCACGAAGCACCTTGCTTGCTTCATGATCGGGATCAGGAACTCAGAACATTATTGGCACCATCTCTACACTGACCCACGAGTTGCCTCTTCAATTGAAACGCGGTGTCACCTCATTGTATTCGCTCTAAAAGGCCAAGACGTTGTTCGAAGCAGCCATCGCCGCAAATCCGTCGCATGCGGAAAGTCTGGGCAACCTGGCGGTGTTGCTGCACGGGCAGCTCTGCACCTCAGCGCCGCTGCTCGACAAAATCGAAGGGTTGTACAAGCGTGCGGTGCATGCCGATCCCGTCAATGCGAACAACTTCTCGAACTTCGGGCTTTTTCTCGCTGAGGTAAAGAAAGCGAGTTTGGGATCATTTGGGCACGCACGGATCAAGGCTTCAACAGAAAATCCTGCACGGTAGTCTACTGACTACGGTTGTTGCGTTGTGATAATTTTCAGCCAGGTGACGGCGCTTGCAAACCCACCGAGAAACCCTAGACTACTGCTGTAGTAGTGGATTGGCACCGTCCGATCATTGAGATATGGTCATTTATTTGTTGCCATCGGTTTTGATCTCTCAGACACGATTGAGGGGCGCACAGAGAAATAAGAAATACTTGACGTGGGCATTTTGAAGAAGAACCACCTTCTGTTTGTACGTGTACGGAACAGCAACTCGAACACTGCCTATACCCAACCCTTTGAGCCCCCTGCCCGGCGGTACCGACCATTCTGCGTCTGAACGCACAATGTGTACCTGTTTGCCCCACTGATGCCTCATCACCCCTTCCATCCCGAATTCCGTCGGTCTGGGTCGCATCAGAAACGTGGAGATGTTGTCGGAGCGGAGGCGTTGTACAAGAAGGCTCGCGCGATCGACCCCTTCCATGCCAACTCAATCTATAACTACGCCGTCTTGCTCGATAGTAGCCTGAAGCAACAGGAGGTGAGGACCTCTCATTTTGTACCCGTTGCTATCGCCTAAGAGGGAAGAAGGTAGAGAACGTATTTCCTAGAGGCTGAGTAGAGACTACCCTGCCACGTGTAGTGGACGGTGGACAGACAAGTGTGTCACCCTAGACAACGGCTCCGTGCGTAGGAGAACAAGAAGCCAGTCACAAAGCTGAAACAAACTTGAACGCGTTTTTTCCGCATGGCGGCAGGGAGTTCCCGCCCTAAAATACCAAAAAAAAGTCGAGTGACGTACCGTTTGTCACGTCGACAGCAAGACCACCCACCCCATCGTTCCGTCGCCGCAACAAAAAACTCTCCTTGTAGCTGGTAAAGAACCTGCATCCCGATATCAACGCGCGATCCAATACAGCAGTTGCATGCTCCTGGCACTTTACTGGTAAAGGTGTCCGCAGCCACTGCAAACATTGCGAGGACTGTATCGTTCTCAACCGCCGAGGATGGAACCGTGCTTCAGATCGCTTGTCCACCCTCCCTTCCTTCTGTTCACAACAACCGGCTTTCCAGCGGGCCGAGGCGATGTATAGACAATGCTTGGTTGTCAACTCGGAACACAGCTACGCTCTGTACAACCTTGCCGTCCTCAAGGAAGAGACCACGAAGAACGGCGACTATTCTGAGGTAAAGGCGGACGTTGAGGTCAATTGTGGACATAAGTTGTTTGGCACTGGTTCGTTTGGTAACCTCGCGACCTCCTGACGTTTGGGCACGTGAGCTTGGAAGTCGGTACAGTGAAGGGAACTGGGAGCTTCTCTCATCTTCATGGGTCCGAAAATGTGTAGATAAGGGTTACTTCATGTGTCGAAGGTTCGCCTTCACGGTCGACGAGGGAAAGGAACAACGATTTTAACCCTTCTCGCGAACAACAATACTTCTAGTTGTTGACGAGAGCGCCGCGCAACTCAGCTGCGCTGAATATCGCAATAATACTTTTGCCACCTTAGGCGAAGCAGCTATTCGAGCGAGCGGTGAGATCTAGCCCGTCTGACGCGTTGACACGAGCGGACTATGGGCGGTTCCTGGCTATGGTTGAGAATAACTTGGAGGGTGCACTCGAGAATCTGAGGGAGGCGATTCGGTGCGATCCGGACTGGTGAGTAGAGGTCAGGTACACCACCTGTTACTCCTGGCGAGCTCGTACACTATCGCTGGTGCCACACAATCTCTGCGCCGAGTAAAAAGAATCTCCTCGCGGCGCCCAACCTTCAATCCCCCTCGCAGCACCACAGCGCAATTCAACCTCGGCAAGCTCCTCCTCCAACGCCGACGTACAGAACCCGCCTCAGAGGGGTCCGGTGGCATCAGACGGAAGGCTGCAGGTGGCGACGCGCGAGAGGCCAAAGTCCTGCTGCGGAAAGTAATTCGAGACAACGAGGAGCATTCGGGGGCCCAACTTTGCCTTGCGCATGCCCTTGCGGAGGAAGGAGGTGCGAGATCCTCGTGGGGTGATGCTAATAGCACACGTTGATATCGATGACATTGCTCGTTAGAGATGGGTCCTTTCTGTCTATCCTTGAAGTACGTGCCTCACTGATGGAAGACTGTACATACTTGAACTAGCGCGGCGTGCCTGAACCCGCTCTCTGTCGTTTCAAAGAAGCGGCCCTCGTCTTTATTTTTTGGTGTACGACTGAAGCTTGCTCCCACCCCCGCCCGCGCCCCCCTCTTCATCGATATTCATTGTATTTTATTTCTGCTGAGTGAAGACTTCGAAGACGCCGCAAATCTTTGCAGGGCGGCGTTGAAAGGAACGGCGTGCACAGACGTGGCGGCCATGTCGAACCTGGCGGCGTTGCTAGGAAGGAATGGCATGTCAGACACCGTCATCGCAACGTGAGAGACCAAACGTGACGGCAAGCAAAGAGTAATTACGTGATGTTGATTGACCAAGGTGAAACCACAGTTTTGTGTTGGGTTGAGCATGTGTAATGCGACACTGGAGCTAAACACTTTGTTGTTGTATTTGTAGGATTTACGTTAAACAGAGAGAAACTTGTCCGTTTGTCTAACTTAGGGCGCATAGGATACGTCCGCTGAAAACCGACGGCGATCCCTTCTCTCTCTCGAAGGAGCCCTTCTCAGCTCTTCAAAAAGCTTAAGAAGCCATGAAACCTTTCTTTCCGAAAGTTTGCGCGAGCAGTTCACGGGGGTACAGAATGCGCACCAACGGCAAGAGCTCCCATCACAGTTTCCTCCGTGAGCTACTTCAAATGACATGTGTCAGTGGACGACCACTCGTGATGAACTTCCCCCGTCTTGTGTCACCTTGTCGTCCTTCGCCTCCGAAACAAGAGCGGACAATCTGTTGCAACATGCAACTTCACTGTCCCCGACAAACGAAAGCCTGCTTCAGCAGCAGCTTCTGTTCCTCGAAGAGGTTAAACAAGACAAGCGTAGGAGCGAAACCGTGGCTGCGGCGTTGAAGAAGTGTTTGTTGTTGGCGGGGTATCGTAACTCGAGGAACTCGTCGTAGCGGTCTTGACGTGGTGTCAACGGCGAGCACAAGCATTAGTAACAACAGGAAGGCCTCCATCGATTCGATTGTGGAGGGCGACGAAAGACAAGGGGCGGGGGCATGTTTGTGTGCGGCGTGCCATACTGCCCTGGCAGGCAAGTTCACGTTCCGTCCTTGAAGTGTCAGTGTCTGGTATGTATCTATTCTTGAAACTTCAAATAGTCAAATAGCCTTGAACATGAAAGTTTTTCTTCACCTTTCGACGTTCTCCATCGATTCCTTGGTACTGTATCCCACTTGCACCCCGAAGGATTTTTCATTGGCAGAACTTCGCTAGCGGACGTATGGGGGAGTCTCACGTAGCAAGCGTCGACGTCAGTTCTGCATGCACCGCGGGCAAGTGATGGATGATCTTGCGATGTGCCCGTCTCAGCCTAGGGAAGCGTGTCCTAGGTGCCACCCGTCGCCAACCTAGTTTTCGATTTGAACCGAGTCTTTCGGGTCTCGAGAACCCTGCTCATACATGTACTGCAGTACAACAGAAACACTTGTGTGTGACACGGATCGGAGCGCTTCACAAAGGGTAAGTATGTAGGATCGTGCGAGCATGGATTGTTTTTCGGGATGAAGGACGAGAGAGAAAGCGTGAGTAGTGGTACATGTTGGGCGGTGTTTCGCTGGGAGAGAGTTGGCCGCTTTCTCCTGTGGGCTTGACATGTTACTTCGCAAAGACAGACCTCGATTCGCACCTCTCTTATGACTGGGCGGCGATGCCTTTTGGAGTCTGGAGTCTCTAGCGGGCAGCAGTCTCCCTTTCTGACTACGCTACATTTGACATTGATGATTGTACATACTGTATGGCAGGGCACGCGATTCTAAGCTACATGAATATCATCTGAGTCCCGTTCCTTCGATGTTCTGGGTAATCTCAATCAGGTCGTTACTCTGGGTCAACGCGACCAGGTGCAATGTATTGCTTCTCCTCGCTAGGCCTGGCGGTACATCTGTGCTACATTGTCGTTGAACTTTCCAGACTGCAAGAAAACTACACAAAATGCTTCCTGCTCCAAAAACAAACGATAAACCTGAAGAATCTATCCTCGTACCCCAGCAAAATCGGGGAGCGTGCATCATCGGTTCTTTTTCGCCGACCAGAGGCCAACACGGGTATGTAGGGCGTGAGGAGGGCTTGATACACAAAATGAAACTAGGGAAAGTCGTAGTTAACCACGCGCACACCCCGTAGCATCGCACGTCCTGCCCTAGGTAGCATCTCTGCCTAAAGCTCTCTGTCGGCCTCTTCATCACTCAGAAAAATCCTCTCTCGCACCCACATTTAGGGCGTGGGCTGGTGGTCAGGCAACAAGGACTGCCCCGACGATTTCCTGAAACGGTGCCAGGAAAAAAACAATGGATGCTACCAAACTCACGGGACACCAAAGGAGGCACCGGCTAACTCACAATATCGGCGCTACGAAGTTCCGCATCAGTCAACGGGACATGCCCAGCTCTCGCAGTTCTATTTCAATCGATGGTACGTTATGAAGACACCACGGTTACGCCGTACAACACCCATACCGAGCTGTCGTTGGTCAAGCACCTTCAGTACGACCAACGCACAACGTACAACTATATTCACCATGCACCCACCACGTCGCGTGAACGAAGCAGTTCATCGCTCTTCATGCCAGCGCGAGTGGTGACCAACCTGGGTGTACACGGGGTGCAACATCCGTTCACAGCCGCGGAGTCCGCCCTCTGTACAAAACAGGATCGAGAAACACATGGAAACACATAAACGGAACGAACAACGAACGTGAGGACTACAATAGTGCATCCACGATGTTTCAGTCTTTGTTCAGTGCGTTGGTTCCATCTAAACTCATAATCCAAGCGACAGACGCACCACCTGCCTTGCACAAGTCTCGTCAAGGACATACCAAGCTCTGCTTGACGCGGAACCGTTCCATGGTAGATAAATCATTGCTACATTTCGCGAGGCTATCCATACCCGTTTGGGTTTGGGGATGTGTGGACCATTGCATTATGAAAGATCAACGGATTCGGGTGATTCGCGGACATGATTCCGACATACACCTAGAAGACACCAACGTAAAAAAAATTGTAGAAGTATGCCCTGTATTTCAATGTACAACTTGGCGAGTGCACGCCCGACAGGGTGGGCGATCACAGTCCCAACTCTACACGCAGGCACGTTGTGAGACATATGCAACCGAATCCTGCTGTTCACCCAGTTGTACAGCAGGGAATTCAACTCGTTCGCTAGATCTACAGCTCGTTGGCGCTGGCTCTGAATCAAAATTCGAACATTATGAGATGTATCACTCCAGCATTTACACTTGACTTGACCCAAGCATAGGAATAGCGAAGTGTTCTTCTATTGTCGATTGATCGGTGGCCGATACGCCTAACCCCCACCTTCACCAACGCTGCACCATTGCACCAACCCCCCACGAGTGATGAAGTACCATTACTACAATGCATCGCTGGTTGGTGGCCATGTGTGCGTGTTTGCTTGTTCGTTAGTGGTCTGTCTACCGTGTGCCTTTTTCTGTCTCTTGTTTCTTGTTATTTCCGTCCTGGTCCTTTTTTGTCCTCGCTCTTTTTCTTTTTTTCTTTTTCTCTTTCCTTCCTGTTTCCTTCCTGTTTCCTTTTATTTTTCTCTTTTTCTCTCTTTCCCCTTTTTCTCTCTTTTTCTCTCTTTTTCTGTGGCAGATGGCCTTGTCTCTTCTTGCGTTGTAAAGTACCAAGATTGAACCAAGGGGTGTACCTCTTTCTCTCTGGCCCGTGATGCTGACTCCTAGTCTAGGTTGTTACCTCGCATAGCGCGCAGAGGGAGCGGAGGACTCCAGAATATTTGTCGTTGATTTCTATTGACTTGCAGACCCCTCGGGGCCAGTTTATTTGAGTGTACCTTTTTAGGGTACGTTAGCCTGTGACCATGGGCATCGACCGCGTCAAGTGTTGGATCAGTACGGACATATGAAGGTACTGGGTAGAGACAGATCGGAACGGTTTTTAATGCGAAGACAACACCAATCAACAACAACCAACGCTTTGCATTGGCTGCTATTCCTCACAGGTGGGCGAGAAAAAAGTGGGGGACAGGACACAATCTAGTTGACGCGGACGACAAACCAATGTTCTCGTAGTGAATCAATACCCTCGCGAATTCGGTCTACCACAAGTTCCAGCCGTTGAAACACGGAACAGACGATATCTACATACGTTGCCGCAGTGCATATGGACCTGTGCATACACTCCGACTATACAGTACTTCTAGAAATCTGGCAATCACATCTCACCTCAGGGTCTACACGAACTCCATGATGGTCCTGAAGACGCCATCCTCGTGCAAGCCAACCACCTTCGCCACCAGCGCACTCAAGCCACCAGCAACAACACCGTGCTTCTCGCGCAGCAGTGTGCCTACTGCGACTCCCCCGGCTTCTCCAACAGGAGGGACGCTGCCGCTGCCAGACCCCGACCCAGCACCAACGCTCCGTGCTCGAACACTCCGGCCAGCCCCGGGACAAGTCCCAGCGTTGTCCGCTTTCAGCCGCACGCTGTTTGGGAAGGCACGGCACAGAACTAGCCAGCCACGTCGACGCCACGCTTTGTCTCTGGGTGCCCGTTGGAACATCTTCTTCACAGATTGCTTGTTCGCCCACGAAAGCGTGTACATGGACTCATTCTCTCTCCAAACGGTTACGGGGGTGTTGCCGAGTGAGTCGACCGCATTCTCGTCAGCACCCCATCGTAGCAGCAAGTCCATTGTCGTGGCCATCGCGGAATCACCGGAAGTACACTGGTCGTGGGCTGCCGCCAGGTGCAACGCTGAGAAGCCGTCGTTGTCCGCTGAAGAAATGTCCGCACCGCTCCTTAGCAACATCCGCATGGCGTTCCATTTATGGTTGATGGTGGCGAGGTGAAGAGGCGTGCGGCCGTTCCTGTCCTTGACATTGGTCGAGGCCCCGGCACTGATGAGGGCCTCGATGCATACCCCGTTGTCGTCTTGCGCGGCCTTGTGTAACGCTGTTCCACCGCCCTTGGTTTGCACATTCGTGTCCGCCCCGTGCAGCAGTAGTTCGGAGAACATCTCGGGGTGATCTTGGGAGACCATGAGTGGAGTGCATTCGTCGTCGGCACGGACGTCAAGGTTCGGACCGACAGCAAGAAGCTCCCGGAACACGGAAATCGGGCATCCGCAACGTATGAAGTAGTAGAGCAAAGAATTCGGACAGCCTTTGTCTATGTTGCCGGTGTTGGGATCGGCGCCGTGCTTCAGCAAGGAGACCATGGCCGCGAAGTCCCCAGCACCACCGTTGTACTTCTTCCAACGATAAACGGCCTCCCGAAACGCGACGGCGAGAGGCGTGCTCTTGTGATTATCCAGTGCCTCGATGATAGCCCCGGCCGAGATCAGAAGATCGACGCCGTCAACCTCGTTGTACATAGCGGCACGGTGCAGAGCGGTGAACCCATCTGTGTTCCTTGCGTTTACGTCGGCTCCGTGCTGAATCAAGATTTTCATAGTGTCGTCCACGTACTCGCTCAAGGTGGCCAAAGACAGAGCAGCTGATCCATCGGTGTGGTCAGCGGGAGCGTTGACGTCTGCCCCAGCGTCCAACAAGACTACCGTAGCATCTTCACAGCCGAACTCGGCGGTCAAGGCGAGCGGCGTGCGGCCTTTGGCGTTGAGCGCTTTGATGTCAGCCCCGTATTCTACAAGTGCGCGAATCCCTTCGGAGCACCCAGCACTGGATGCCGCGTGAAGAGGCGTGTCACCACAATTGTCCTTCACGTCGATAAGAGCCCCATACCGTAACATCGAGACGACAGCTCCTGGGCAGTCATTCATACACGCGTGATGGAGGGGTGTTTTGCCGTGGTGGTCTGCCATCCCGTTCACAGAAGCCCCGGCTGCCACAAGCTTATCGATCAAAGCTGCGTTAGTGTCATGGCTGACCTTGAACAGCGCCGTACACCCACGTGAGTCTGTGGCGTCGACAAACGCTCCGTGCTGGATCAAAGGTTGTCACAATGTCGGCGTGGCCTCCCTGAAAAGCCGCGTCCAACGCTGACTTGTCTGAGTATGCTGGGCGAAGGTTGACATTCACGCCGGCAGCCAGAAGCGATGTCACGATCATGGTGTGGCCACGGCCGGCAGCTAGGATGAGAGCATTGCCGCAACTCCGCCCCCACCTGGACATCCTCCCCGACCTGTGCACGTCCGCTCCGTGCTTGACCAGCGATAGTGCGGCTTCGGACGAACCCTTCTCGCTCGCCACGTGCAGAGGTGTGTACATTTCTCCATCCTCGCCACCCTGAGCGTCGATACTCGCCCCAGCCTCGATGAGCACGTCGATCGCACCCACCGCATCCCCGATCGCAGCCGAGTGCAAGGCCGTGCAGCCGTTCGAGTCGGGGGCATTAACGTCCACTCCGTGCCGAATCAACGCTTGCATGACCTCAACATGTCCACCTCTAGCAGCCAGACCCAACGCCGAAAATGCCTTGCCCTTCCCGTACCGCAAGCTCGGGTCTCCACCGGCCGCCAACAGAGCTTGAACGGTGGATGGAGACCCACGCTCCGCCGAGAGATGAATTGACGTCCGACCCTTGTTGTCTAGCACATCCACCTCAGCCCCGTCACGAAGAAGCAAGGACACGACATCGCCGAGGCCACTGGCGGCAGCAAGGTGGAGAGGTGTGTCGCCGTTGTTGTCTTTCGCCTTCGTGGGAGCTCCCAGCCTTAGGAGCTCTTGCGCGAGTGCGTCCTGGCCTGCTCTGAGTGCCAGATGGAGAGCACTCCCGCCCGCCCCGGCTCCCTGGAGCTTAGTCACGAGATCAATGTTGCCCGCACCGGCGGCGTGTTCCAGCGGAGTTCGCAGCCACTCCGCCCACTGCCTTCTGTTAGTCCCAGCACAGACGAGATCGAAGATGGTTTTCTCCGTCCCCTGCAGGTTCGCCCTACGACTGAGCTGGTTGCTGGATTCTGGGACCCTTTGCTGCTGCTGTTGCTGTTGCTGGCCTTGGTTTGCCATGGTGCAGGTTATCTCCGAGTACACTTCATTCAGCACTATCCCGGGTCGTTGGTGAAGAGGCTCGAAGAGAAACCGAGTCCACCTTGGGTCCAAAAGGCGGTAGCCAGTTCCTAATGATGTGGTGGTTGAAGGGGAGGGTAAGCTGCAGGGGATATCGTGGTGGTGTCTCGTCGTGCGCCGTGTGCGGCGATGACGACCACGAAGTTCTTGCCTCCCTGCCGCTGGCTGTTTTCAACAGTCCCGTGCGCGTTGTAATTGTCCCGCATTTGGTCACCTCCCGCAGTTCTGCAGTTCTGCAGTTCCGCAGCTCCGCAGCCCTCAAGGTTTAGTCTAGCGGCTAGCGGCGGCGAGGTTGTCAAGCTGTGGCGTAGCTCGGGGTGTGGGGGAACATGCAACCATATTACCCGAACACACAGACAAATAGGCTGTACATGATGCCAAGAGACAACGACGCAGCCTCAACACAAGAAGAAAGAGCCAGCCGGTGCGTGCGACCGTGCAGCCGTGCAGTCTGCGTCCTGGTTCCCGCGTCCACGGTCGTGCAGTTGCCAAGAACTAAGATTCCGACTCAAAGGGTTCGTTGGCATCGGAGGGAAGGATGCCGGAGTTGACGTGCTAGAGGCCCTGCTACGGAAAGTAATTCGAGACAACGATGATGAGCTTTCGGGGGGCCGACTGTGCCTCGCGCACTCCTTGCACGGAGAAGAAAGTCGATGCGAGATCCTTGGCTGCTACAGCAGTACCGCCGAACGATCGGCACGAAACAGCACGGCCGCTGGCATAACTGAAGAGTGGTGGCGGACACGAAAGCACTAGATAGATAGACCCCATTGGGCAGCGCGGTGTGGCAAGTGATAGGAGCACAGCCGTTCAAACTGAGCGTTCTCTGACGCGGACCATTTCTCATTATCTCAGCTTCATGTTTCATGTCGCATTTTCTAGAGGCGGCATCGTTTGCTTCCCTCGTCCCCCGTCCTAGTATTGTTCGGAAAAAAACGCCATACCTAATTATGAGTCTCATGTGACGACTGCGTCAGTACCGACGCCTCGACTTTGCTCTCTGCTGCTGCAGCAGCAGCAGCAACCTCCCAATTTACAAGTGATTATTTTCACCCGTCATCGACAGATTTTTCATCGGCAAGAAGCGCGCATCGTCAAGAATCCTTGTTGTGTAGCCAGATAGCGGGCACTAGGTCTGTTGGTACTGCTGTACATTCACACACGAGAGTGATTGGGCACGGCGGGCATGTTTCTGTGGATGTGCAAGACTTAGCTGACTGAGTGTTGTTACCACTGTTTTTTCACCAGATTTGAATTCTTGTGTGTGGCATCTCCCTTTTCGTAGTCCGCTTTCTTGAAAACCCCGGTGGATGCAGCGTTACCTGTCTCAGGATCTCCAAATGCAAACGCCTGTGAAGCGCGGCCACTTCTTGTCAGAGCACCAGCAAACCCCGGTTTGACGAACAGTGCCCTGTGTCTCTTCCTCCGGTGCCCTATAGGTCTTGTTCTGATCGAAAAAGAGGGTCATGTAGGTCGCCCGTGTAATCAAGTGTGGGTCCCTGCATTACGTTGGAAATTGGAAGAGGCCGACATACGAAACATTTTCTATCCCTCCTGGGGTGAAGGCACCATCAAGGTCGCGGCTCCGCGGCTCATTGTGGGTAGGGTTCCTGAGACCCCCAAGTGAGTCGTTGTCCCTTCTAGGTAGAGGAAAACGAGATGGGCGACAAGCAGGTCGCACCGATGTTCCGAACTGTGTACTTTAGGAAACAACCATTGGGCACAATCTGACAGAAAGGGGAGAAATCCCGTCGCAAGCCGCAACACGCGACTTGCTGTTGCAGCTTCCGTAATTTGGAAACTGAGAACTTCAAGTAGCCGCTAGAAACAGCCCGAACGCTGATGTTGTAAGGCCATTTGGTACGGTGTCTTTTTTTGGAGATCTTATTTCCCTCCAAAGGGAGGACCCAAAAAGGGATTACAAAAAGAATGACCGCTTCTTACGGTGCTGGTCGATCCTTTTTCTCTTCCGAGTCATCGACCGAAAAAAGAGACCTTGCAATAGCCGTTCGTCACACAACATACACCTTCCACCGCTTCGTTTTTTCGGTGATATCTCCGCACAGAGTGAAGCAGCAGCAACTGTACAGCAATTCCCCGCGAGCTGTGTGTATGGTCCGTCTTGGGTGGTGGCTGATAGAGACCACAGCGCGATTGGAGGCACGGAAACTGCGGTGGCGAGAGTCGACAGCACGCTGGACAAAAAAACACCGCGCCAGCACCATTTTTTTTGCTCTTTCGCCCGTGTCCCAACTATGATTTATCGATGCTCCGTCGCCACCCACTCAAGCAACAGCGATGACAAAGGTATCCGCCATGAGCTGTGTGTTGGTCCGTCTTGTGTGGTAGTTGATACAGACCAGGAGGCTGAAGGGCGCTGAGAAGTTGTGAGCGCGAGAGTCGTGGACAAGCATGAAAAATGACTTGCCTCTTCCAAGCAGCTTTGTTTGCTGTTTCGCCCGTGTCACAACTTTGGTTCATCGATGCGCCCTCGCCACCCACTCAAGCAACAGCGATGACAAAGGTATCCGCCATGAGTTGTGCGTATGGTCCGTCTTGTGTGGTGGTTGATACAGAACAGGAGGCTATAGGGCGCCCAGAAGTTGGGTTCGCAAAAGTTGACAGCACACCAAAGAAGACCCACCGCTACTGCGTCCAGGCTCTCTCGGCTCGTTTGCCCCTTGTTTGGCGCATACATCGGGTTGTCCACCTGGTCCCAGCCCAATGAAAAAACAACGCTACCGCTGATGCTACCGACTCTGCACCAGTCCCATGACACAGCTCGTGTGAACACTGTTAGAGTTTGCGGGGATCAACCGTCGAGAGATTCAAGTTTGTAGGTAAGCGTCATGTGGTTGTGACAAAAAAAGACAACATTTTTGGGAGCCACACCCTGTCCAAAAGCTCCTCAAAAAAAGACAGGATGGCGTGGCTAAAAAGGGTTGTCTATATTGTCGGTAATTTTCGCTGAAAACAGACACGGTAAGAGGGGTTCTTTGGCCAGTTGTCTTTTCTTTGTGCTTGCTGCAAAAAAAGAAAAAGACAGCCAACAAAAGACACCGTAAAAAACGGCCTAAAGGGTGATAGGGAAAACGATCTGAACACCACCTACTACGTCCTCTTCCGTGAGGTTAGTAGTAGGTTCTCTCAAAGCAAAGAACCGAGCTCACTCTGGCCACGAGATCCTCGAAAACAAGGTGCAAATATATTGAATATCCAGAGATAGTCCCACCACTCCGCGAAATCAACCAAACAATTGGAATAAAATAAGGCCAGGTAGACACACATCAAACAAGACATGGAATGGCAAAGCCGAAAGAACAGAACATTAGCCCATGGCTTGAAAGAATACAACTCGGAAGCAGGGTCAAGATTTTTTTTCGCAACGACGGCTGCTGCTCCTAGCAAAATAGAGATAAACAATCACAACCAAGCAAAACCGGGGGAGTACATTATCGTTTGTTTTTGCAAACCAGAGACCAACCCCGCTAGTGTAGGGCATGAGGAGGGCCTCATACGTCATACAGGGCACGTTGAAATCAACGACGCACACCATCTAGCTGAGTACGTGCTGCCGCAGGCAGTATCTCTGCGCGCTCTATCACTATGCCAGAAAGCTCTCCTTCGTTCTCCTTCATCACCCACACACAAACACTTCCCTCGCGCCCACATTTCAGGGCGTGGGGGGTCGTCAGGCAAACAAGGACTGTCTTCTCATGCAACTTCGTAGGTGGGCTAGTGGGTACAAGAGAAACAACGGATGCCACCAGACCCAGCACAACAGAGAAGCCATCGGATAACACAAAATGTCGGTGCTACAAAGTTCTGCCTCGCTCAACGGAACATGCCCACCGCTCCATGTTCTACTTCCATCGACGGTACTATGTGAACGAAGACACCACGGTTACGACGTACAACATCCACAACCGAGCTGTCGTTGGTAAAGCACCAACGTCCAAACTTCACAACTTACATTACAGACAATACACCAGGCACCCACCACGTCGCGCGAACGAAGCAGTTCATCGCTCCTCACGCATGCGAACGTGGTGACCAAGCTGGGTGTGAGGTGGGTGCCGCAGTCACAGCCGCAGGGCCCGCCTTGTATCCGCAGTCACAGCCGCAGGGCCCGCCTTGTATCCGCAGTCACAGCCGCAGGGCCCGCCTTGTATACGCAGTCACAGCCGCAGGGCCCGCCTTGTATACGCAGTCACAGCCGCAGGGCACGCCTTGTATCCGCAGTCACAGCCGCAGGGCCCGCCTTGTATACAAAACAGGATCACGAAGCACACGAACGGAACGAACAGCGAACACGAGGTTTGCAGGGGTACATACAGGATGTTGGGTCAAGGTACCTTAAGTCTGTTGATTTCACCTCCATTCTATCCAAGTGAATCAGGTATTCCCTGCTGCCGACCCGTTGGCTAGTCTCGTTAATGATATCGTACGTCGTAACAAAGCTCTGTTTGACGCGGAAACGTTGTGTGGTAAATAAGTCATGACTACATTTCACCAGGTTTTCCATACCCGAATGGGTTTGGGGATGTGTGGACCATTGCATTATGAAAAAATATCGGATGGGGGTGAGTAAGACATGATTCCGGCATACACCTAGAAGACATCAACACAAATACATAACAATAATGTATGCCCTGTAAAATGAACAACTAGGCGAATGAACGCCCGAAAAGGGTTTGTGATCACACTCCCCCTAAATCTAGACGCAGGCACCCTTTGAAATATACATATAGTTAAAAATATATCCAATTACCCTGTTGTTGACCCTATTGTACAACAGGGAATGTTCAAAACGTTCGCTTGTTCTCATTTCATGGCGCTGGCTCAAAGTGAGTGCCCGAAAATACAAATAGAGAAGGAGACGTGTCATCCAAGCATTTAAACTTCACCAAGCTAGGAAGGGCAGAGTGCTCGTCGACTTTCAATTGATCGACGGCTGATGCACTTTGCCTACACCTTCACCATTGCTTTGTCTTGTTTTCTTTCCCTCGAAGGTGAGCGAGAAAAAAATGGGGGGCAGGACACAATCAAACTTGCCGCGGACCAACAAACCGAGCCGCAGCATCATTCGTAGTGGTTCAATACCCTCGCGGAACCGGTCCTCCACAAGCCCCAGCCTTCTGGGCACATACGGCTTACTTGCGTTGTCACAGTGCGACAGACCTGTGCACACCCTGCAACCATACTTCGCACACCTGGCGGTCATATCTCACCTCCGGGTCTACACGAACTCCATGATGGTCATGAACACGCCATCCTCGTGCAAACCCACCACCTTCGCCACCAACGCACTCAAGCCACCAGCCATCTTCTCGGGCGGCAGTGTGCCTACCGGGACTCCCCCGGCTTCTCCGACAGGAGGGACGCTGCTGCTGCCAGACCCCGACCCAGCACCAACCCTCCGTGCTCGAAGACTCCGGCCGGCCCTGGGACAAGTTCCAGCGTTGTCCTCCTTCAGCCGCACCCTGTTTGGGAAGGCACGGCACAGAACTAGCCAGCCACGTCGACGCCACGCTTTGTCTCTGGGTGCCCGTTGGAACATCTTCTTCACAGATTGCTTGTTCGCCCACGAAAGCGTGTACATGGACTCATTCTCTCTCCAAACTGTTACGGGGGTTCTACCGGCGGAGTCGACCGCATTCTCGTCAGCACCCCATCGTAGCAGCAAGTCCATTGTCGTGGCCATCGCGGAATCACCGGAAGTACACTGGTCGTGGGCTGCCGCCAGGTGCAACGCTGAGAAGCCGTCGTTGTCCGCTGAAGAAATGTCCGCACCGCTCCTTAGCAACATCCGCATGGCGTTCCATTTATGGTTGATGGTGGCGAGGTGAAGAGGCGTGCGGCCGTTCCTGTCCTTAACATTGGTCGAGGCCCCGGCACTGATGAGGGCCTCGATGCATACCCCGTTGTCGTCTTGCGCGGCCTTGTGCAACGCGGTTTTACCGCGCTTGGTTTGCACATTCGTGTCCGCCCCGTGCAGCAGTAGTTCGGAGAACAACTCGGGGTGATCTTGGGAGAGCAGTAGAAGAGTGCACCCTTCGTCGTCACGGACGTCAAGGTTCGGACCGACAGCAAGAAGCTCCCGGAACACGGAAATCGGGCATCCGCAACGTATGAAGTACCAGAGCAAAGAATTCGGACAGCCTTCTTGTATGTTCCCGATGTTGGGGTCGGCTCCGTGCTTCAGCAAGGAGACCATGGCCGCGAAGTCCCCAGCACCACCGTTGTACTTCTTCCAACGATAAACGGCCTCCCGAAACGCGACGGCGAGAGGCGTGCTCTTGTGATTATCCAGTGCCTCGATGATAGCCCCGGCCGAGATCAGAAGATCGACGCCGTCAACCTCGTTGTACATAGCGGCACGGTGCAGAGCGGTGAACCCATCTGTGTTCCTTGCGTTTACGTCGGCTCCGTGCTGAATCAAGATTTTCATAGTGTCGTCCACGTACTCGCTCAAGGTGGCCAAAGACAGAGCAGCTGATCCATCGGTGTGGTCAGCGGGAGCGTTGACGTCTGCCCCAGCGTCCAACAAGACTACCGTAGCATCTTCACAGCCGAACTCGGCGGTCAAGGCGAGCGGCGTGCGGCCTTTGGCGTTGAGCGCTTTGATGTCAGCCCCATGTTGTACAAGCGCGCGAATCCCTTCCGAGCATCCCTCCGTCGATGCCACATGAAGAGGCGTGTCACCATCATCGTCCTTCGCATCCACGCGAGCCCCGTGGCGTAGCATCGAAATAATTGCTTCAGGGCAGTCATTCATACACGCGTGATGGAGGGGTGTTCTACCTGTAGCGTCCACTATCCCGTTCACAGAAGCCCCGGCTGCCACAAGCTTATCGATCAAAGCTGCGTTAGTGTTATGGCTGACCTTGAACAGCGCCGTACACCCACGTGAGTCTGTGGCGTCGACAAACGCTCCGTGCTGGATCAAGGATGTCACAATGTCGGCGTGGCCTCCCTGAAAAGCCGCGTCCAACGCTGACTTGTCTGAGTATGCTGGGCGAAGGTTGACATTCACGCCGGCAGCCAGAAGCGATGTCACGATCATGGTGTGGCCACGGCCGGCAGCTAGGTTAAGAGCGTTGCAGCGCCTCCGCCGGCACGTCTTCCCCGACCTGTGCACGTCCGCTCCGTGCTTGACCAGCGATAGTGCGGCTTCGGACGAACCCTGCTCGCTCGCCACGTGCAGAGGTGTGTACCGTGCGCCATCCTCGCCACCCTGAGCGTCGATACTCGCCCCAGCCTCGATGAGCACGTCGATTGCACCCACCGCATCCCCGATCGCAGCCGAGTGCAAGGCCGTGCAGCCGTTCGAGTCAGGGCCGTCGACGTCCACTCCGTGCCGAATCAACGCTTGCATGACCTCAACATGTCCACCTCTAGCAGCCAGACCCAACGCCGAAAATGCCTTGCCCTTCCCGTACCGCAAGCTCGGGTCTCCACCGGCCGCCAACAGAGCTTGAACGGTGGATGGAGACCCACGCTCCGCCGAGAGATGAATTGACGTCCGACCCTTGTTGTCTAGCACATCCACCTCAGCCCCGTCACGAAGAAGCAAGGACACGACATCGCCGAGGCCACTGGCGGCAGCAAGGTGGAGAGGTGTGTCGCCGTTGTTGTCTTTCGCCTTCGTGGGAGCTCCCAGCCTTAGGAGCTCTTGCGCGAGTGCGTCCTGGCCTGCTCTGAGTGCCAGATGGAGAGCACTCCCGCCCGCCCCGGCTCCCTGGAGCTTAGTCACGAGATCAATGTTGCCTACACCGGCGGCGTGTTCCAACGGAGTTCGCAGCCACTCCGCCCACTGCCTTCTGTTAGTCCCAGCACAGACGAGATCGAAGATGGTTTTCTCCGTCCCCCGCAGGTTCGACCTGCAGCTGAGCTGGTTGCTGGATTCTGAGACCCTTTGCTGCTGCTGTTGCTGCCCTTGGCTCGCCATCTCCGAGTAGTCTACACTTCAGCATGCAGCGTACACCCCTCACGAACAAACCGAGAGGCCACCTTTTGGGTCCAACTGCTGTGAACGGTAAAGAAAATGCCCTACCTTTGTGGTGGTTTCTACTTTTTAGGAGAGTGTAAGCTGCTAGGTATATTGTGGTGTCGCGTCGTGCGCCGTGTGTGGTAACGACGACGAAGACGACCACGAAGTGGGTGCGAACGAGCAAAGCCCGCCCAACACGCAACTCGGGCTCGGGGCTTTCCGATGCATGTTTTCACAGTCCCGTCAAAAATTTGTCCCGCGTTCGACATTATTTTTTTTTTTCGTAATATGACACAACGAAACCATCTCTAAATTTATCATAGAAAAGTAGAAAAGAGTCTGAGACAGATTAGCAATGGATTCAAAGCGTCAGAAAGTACCTGTATGTCTACATTATTTGCATACTTGTGCCTGCGACATGCGACATTTGCATATTTGTATGCTCTGTATTTATCTCTTCGCGTCCTTGCCTCCAGCAAGCCCACACCGTCAAAAAGTCCCTCGCCGGTAAATGCTGATTTCCACCTTCAGTTGAAGACGTGTGTTTAGCTACACCGGCTGTTGTGCACAAAAACCGAGAGCAAAATCTGGGGGGGGGTTGCGAGACGGCCCAAAAATCATTCTTGGCCGTTCGGCGAAAGCGTTTACTGTTTACTTTCTAAAGAGTGAGAACCCCCTTTTTTTATTCTTTTTTTTTTCGCCTGCGCAAGACCGACGGCAAAAATGTGCGGGCCCAGTTGTCGATATGCGGCAGGACGGCACGACGCATGCATATAGCCTCCCAAAATGTGTGGGCTGAGGGTAGAGTTTCGGACAAAAAATGTGCGGAGCCCCATACCACCGCACGCCCTACTGTTTGTGGTCGCAAGAGAAATCGATTCCCCTGCAGACTTCAGAACATTATCACAGCGGAAACATGGTACAACCGAATCCGAGCATACTTTTGACGTCCAAGTTTGGAGGAGACGTTGGGAGACTGTTGCGGTGTGAGCTAAAAGAAACATACATATGCCACGTCGAGGGCCTGGACCCACTTGGGTAGCTCGAACTGCAAGACCTCTCCCACTTTAGTCCTCCTCATACTGCTGCCATCCTCGGAAATACGTGGCATCAGGCATGCTACAAACGATTTGCATAACACTGCACGTGGTACATTTGGCGCGTCTTTTGCGATCACCTGTTGTGCGGGCCATCTCGTGTTGACGAGAGGTCAGCTGGACACCAGCCCTCAACCCTTGCTATCGCTTGCTCCGACTCCACGCAAGCAAAATTGCACACAGCTCAGTTGTACATGTGCCATCCAACCATTTTGTTGTGTTCAAAACCAACGGGAATGCTGTGACGCTATCGTCACTATCGGCAGGGCTTCAAAGGCTACAAAACACGCACGGATCGGAGCCGCAAAGCCAATTCGACCTCCCGCGTCGTTTCCGACTCTTTACTAACTGCAGGGGGCTTCAGAACGGCACGCGCGAACTTACGAACCCCTCCGGTAGTTTGAGAACCAAGCACATACACACCAGGCTGAGCCAGGCCTCGGGCACAAAACGACGACGCCTGGTCTCTGCCTGGGAGCAACGCGAACTCGCACTTCGAAAGTGCCAATGCGTCCCCGTGGTCGTGGTCCGAGTCAAACCGCCTCAGAAAATCCACAACCGGCCGCGCAACGGTGCCACGTAAACAGCACAGGGGCGGAGCCAAGCTGGCCCGGTCAGCATGCCCAGCCGCGGTCTACTGCTTGTCGTCCGTTTACTTTGTAAAATGTACATGCAACGCTCAGAGGCGAGCGCGCCACGTTGAGTGCCCTCCACCGCCCCCGCCCCCGTACTTGGCCATGAAGCCCCTGTGGAATGACGTGAAACCGTCCACAACGGACTGGAACGTGTCCTCTGCGGGCAGGATAGTCGTGCTGCCACGGTGGTCGATTCATGACGCATTTTTCAAATGGCGGACAACAAACGAAGCGGACGGGCGGGGTACGAGGAGGTTGAAAAAGCACCGAATGGGGAAAATGAACAGAGTATCTACCAGGTCGCTTCAACAAAACGCCGTACGAGGCCGCCTTACGGGGACGACCTTCACTTGCGTTGAAATCTCAATTCTTCGAAGTAAAATGCCGATGATTTGGCGGACACAACGTTGCCACAACAACGCTTCCCTCCGGAAGATAGCGGCATGTTCAACGGCCTAGGCTGGTGCTCCGTCGGTGATTTCCGAGTCAACATGCTGGAATTTGTGTGTGGAACAACAGATTGTTGTGTCTTAATCGAAAAAATCACCGATTGAGCACCAGTCTTTTCTACGGCGCCAAAAAAAATATGCGGCAAACAAAACGCCTCACCGGAAGTGATACGTTCCTTCTGCCTGGCCGAACCCTGAACCCGGCACACACGACAGGCCGGTCTCCTTGAGCAGCTCGAGGCAGTAGAACACGTCGGGGGCCTTGCCCGCGGCCTTCGCAGCGTCGATCGCTGCGCGGGGGAGGTCGATCTTGGGGAAGGCGTACAGAGCCCCCTCGGTCTCCTCGCAGGTGACGCCGTCCAAGCTGTGGGATGATAACGGAACGGGAACAGAATGTCAACAGGGCAACGCAGAAACAAAACACAGAAACCGCTACAAGGAGAGTACGGTAGTAGGACACCGAGAAGGGGGGTATGGGGTAGGGAGGGGCGGTCGGTTGTGCGCAAGTGTACTGTGCTGGCAGACCAATGGACAAAAACACAATAGACAGGCGGGACCGTGGGGCGCGGGGCAGCAAGACCAGCTTCCTGGGGGGGTGTAAGGCCTGTTTGACAGCGCGGGCGGTCGTGTGAGCACAAACCCAAGCCGAGACATGTCATGTCAACCAAAAACAGGCACACATGAAACGTAGGGTACGATAAGACGCAATGCGACGCCGTCTGCAAGGTTGAGTGCGTGTACCTCTGTATGCATATGGTCAAGGAAACACATAAACACATCAAACCGTGTACCACATACTTATCCCGCTGCGCGGCTGACGTCTCTTCTTTGGTCAGCCCGTCGGCGGGGTCGATGGTGATTAAAGAAGCACACAACGCTTGAGATTCACACGCAGGAAGAATACAAGCAAGAGGGGAGCCAAAAAGTGACGTACACACCAGTGACGGTTGCAACCGTCAGATCCTGCTATCAGCAGGGGTTTCTACTGAATGTCTTCTCACGCCCTTCGTTTCTTTACCCGTTAAAGGCGTCCACGATGGACCTCGCCCTTCGGATGAGCGACTGCAGCAGCACCTCCTTCTCCCGCATGTGCAGAGCGTACGATTCCGACCCGGGCTTTGGGGGGTTGCACATGATACCCATGGCCACCTGCCCCGTCACGTTCGGAGAGAGGTTGATGGAGCACAGCTTGTACATCTCGTCCGACACCCTGCAAAGATCAGAAAAGAAGAGAACAGCGTCAACTGGGGGGGGGATACTCATGTTTTGCATGCCATAGCGGTCACACCATTGACCACGCGTCCTCGAGAGTACGGAGCATTGTTCTACATGGAGGGGGGGAGGGACTAGCGCGTGATCTCCGCAGTACGCAACCTTTCGCGCCCAGAGCACCTTGTCCACGCGCGCAGGCGAGAAAGAGGGAATCCGTCAAGAGGCCTTGTACCTTTGATCGATGTTGGTGAGCTCCATGTAGCCCCCCCTCAGCCCGCACTCTCCGTACACGCCTTTGGAAACCGTGTGGAAGGACACCAGCTCCACGCTGCTCGAGTATGGGTACCCCATTTCGGCAAGCACCTGCAAACGCGGAAAGTTGCCCTTCGTTAGCAAGACATGCCTTCGCCACACGCGACCAGTACCTACCGACCAGGGTTGACTATGTGTGCGAAACACGTAGCGCAGTTCGAAGTCTGTTTTCCGAAAAAGAAGTAGGTCGACCAACTTCTTGGTGGGCCCACCGCTTGAGATCTGAGGGTTCTTAGAACAAAACAAAACCAACCGTAGTGAGGTTTATTCGCCGAGTGGCGCAAGGTGTTGCAACAGACCCAGCCCCCGAGATCTCCGGACGAAGGGCGGCACACCGGTGCTGGAACCGACCTTTTTGCAGGAGGTAAAGGGCGTCTTGCTCTGGTAGATGTTCTCCTGATACACCTCGTCCGCCATAAGCACCAGCCTGGGCACAGCCGTTGGAGAATATCAACCAAACGAGAGCGCACGCCAAACAAGCGCTGGTGACGTCAATCAACCGCAATTGTTGAGGGCGTTCATCCCAGTGAGCTACCCTCTCGCGCGGTCGACGCTGACAGCACACACGCAGTAGTTAGTCTAGGCAGGTTTTTCAAACCGAACTAAGTAAGAAGATCGGCGAAGTTGGGGGTGGGGTTAGGGTCTGCGTGCACCCTCCCTGGCCTCTCTTCGTAATAAATTATTTTCTCCCCGTAGGCAGTCCCACACACGCAAAAAAACTGTCATGGCAAGATCGCCTGCCTGTACGGCATCGCCAGTATGCACCGACTTCTAGCGTGAAGCGCGCGATAAGCGCATGAGCATAAAGGGCATCAGCTGGAATGCAAGACACAGCAGCGCAGGTAGGAGCGCGGCGACTCGAAACCTTTCCGTATGCTTTACGCACGGGGTCGTCCAGAACAAAACTCGAAGACATTCAGATGATGTAAGGAATCCTCGGCAAGGGACCCGCAATGTGGCCACTTCCGCGACAAATCAACACCAACACGAGGAGCGCGCCTTAGTATCCTTTGAGCAAGCTCATGATCTCACAACGCGTGTGCTGAGAATAGGGGGTCTGGCAACAGCGGGTTGATCAGGGGGGGGCGGGGAATAGGCTGGACTCGAAACGACTCCGCTCCAAAACACTCCTCGCGCGGGAGGGTGTGGAGTGCCGCTTGAGAATCACGCGACAAACTCCGATTCTTGAAAAAGAAAACTTCTGCTCAGGCTTAGTAAAATGCTTCCAAACAGACAGCGCGTGATGTAGACTAATAGAGGAACGGCGACGGCGAGGGCACAATATTCCCGTCTCACCTGTTGTCGTACGCGAATCGCACGAGCTGCCGCAAGTCCTCGACGGTAAGGCAGTTGCCTGTCGGGTTACCGGGGTTGATGAACACCAAAGCGCGGAGCGTGATCCCGTTCCGCCTCGCCTCGTTCAACGCGTTGTTCAGCGACGCCGTGTCAAGCCCCCACCCCTACGTACAACCATCCACAGAACAAAGTGCAGGACACGTCAGGCGCTGTTGACCGCGAGAGTGGTTGGTGACGTTTCTGTCTCGATGCCGTTCAGCCTGCACGAAAAAATTGCCTCGACAACAGCAACTGCAATGCTTCAAACGTCACAGCGTCAATCGTAAATTGTCAACTCGAGGTAGAAGTAGTAAAGAAAGGGACAATCAGCCACAGCTATTGGACGACGGCAGGACCAGGCTTCACGCTAGCCACTTGTGGCCCACCCAGCACACACGTAGCCGAAGCAGACCGCCGAAACCGAACAAGATCTAGCCTATGACTCTGGCGTTAGATCGTGGACCACAAACGACACATGAAACTACTTTGGTCTTTGAGAGTCGTGAACAACACCGAGGTAAATGAAACACGTCCGATTTCGACGATAAACCTCGTCCCGTCTTGCCGTTACCTTGGCCTCGCAGAGGTTGTAGCCGACGAAAGTGCCACTGTAAAGCGCTACCGACGCCGAATAGAGCGGGTACTGCAGCGGCAGCGGCAGCAGCAACAGCATCATGGGGTGGACATGATGCGCACGCAGGAGAGATAGCAGTACAGGCAAGGAAGAAACGGTTGAAATTGGGGGAGGGGGCGGGAGCGCCGTCATGTTGATGCGCTCGCAACTTTGCCCAGAGCATGAAAAAAAGTCGGTGCAGTACACAAGAGATGTCAGGTGCCCATTCGCCGCACGAGACCAGCAGGGCAAGAGGGCTTGCGGATCTCAATTCTGGACGCACTGCCACAAACTGGATTAAGGACCAGATCAGGGGGGAGGGGGGTCTGTTATCTACCGAAAATGGAACTTCAAGTAGGATTATGTGTAAAGTACAACCTATGTTTTTTTATATTGTGTAGGATTTAGTATGGGTAAGCATAAACTAATACACCTCTTACTATTAGGGGTTTTTAGACTGTGTGATACCGTTGTAATCGTCAACACATAATCCCATACACACGTCTTAGTACATAAAAGGTTGTTATACTACGATACTAAATCCTATTGTTAGGGTACTTGGACCCTTGGACTAAGATCAACGGTCTTGGGGGAAGCGAGCAAGACGGCCGATGTGCACTTGGTTGGGTGCTAGCCCTGTTGCGGCGCTCACGGTGTTGTTGTAGGCAAATTCCACATCCGGGAGGTGTAGACCCTAGTCATCTTGCCTCTCATTGACGGACACAGCTAGCATTTGAGCCATTGTGTGGTTGACGCGTTCCACGCCGCCGTTGCCGCTACGGCCGCCAAAGACGAAGAAGCCGCCGCCGCCACCATACACGCCCGGGAACCCATCCAACAAGAGAGCGAGCAGAATGCAAGCAGTCTTTCTGCTCCCTCTCGTGTTGGATGGGTTCCCGCCTGTGTTTGGCGGCGGCCGCCTCTTCGTCTTTGGCGACTGTAGCGGCGGCGGGGGCGCTGTTGACCGCATGCTGCTGGTTTTCGAGGGCGAGTTCGCCCCAGGCGTATCCTCGAGTCTAGAGCCGATGCTTCAGATGGATTGTTATCTCCCCCTCTCGCGTTCTAGCCTCTGCGTAAATGTCCCATCAGGGTGGGCTAGTGTTATGTACGGTATGGTATTCGGACCCTTGGACTAAGATACAATCTGGGCGGGTATATCTTTCAGGAATATCCCGACCACTTGCCCAGATTCCTGGTATTCCGACATTAGTCAGGTAGCAGTACAATGGTTACTATTAATAGCAGCAGCAGGCGACGTGCAAGCGTTCCCTCTTGCTCAGTGCTGCCTCGGAGAAAACAATAGCGAGCGACTGAGAGAGCAAGGAAGATAGGAAGGAAACAGACTGAAGAAGCGAAGCGGCTCCAACCTGTACACAGTGGTCGGACTAGCTCCACACTGACCCCGTGTCAGATATCGTCACACCTATACAATGAGCAATGCATGGACTCTAATGTTACCATACTAAATCCTATTTAATAAGCGCATTTAACAACTGGATTAAGCGCCAGAAAAAATGGCCGGGGGGGTAGGGGGGGGGGGGGTAGCAGTACGTCCAGAATTCGGATCCGCGAGCCCTCTTGAGCAGGGCGAAAGGATGTCCACGTTCCGTGTGCGTGTTCGTGATCTTACATAGCACTAAGTCTGACGGCATGTGGCATCATGCACTATTACTGTTCAGGCGCAGCTATGTATAGGTGATTATTTCCTAGAAGCACAACGCGCCCGCATGCCCGAGAGTGCCATGGTCACCCGAGAGTTGGCGCCTCTAAGAGAGATGGCACCACCGCGAGATAAAAAATCAAAAACGAGACGATTTGATTGCGCGCTCGAACGGGGATCGGAGAGATCGTACTTTAGCTCATGCCGGTTTCCAGAACACATACCCACCACCTCAGAAGGTCTGATCTTATTGAATACGACGAACTGCTGCTGCGTCATCTTAATAGCGCGCAGGCAAAAAAAAGAAAAGAAACACAATACAACCAAAACGGAAACAAAATCTATTCTGGACACACCTGTGGCACGGGCACCATAACCCCGTCGCTTGGGCCCCGGATCGCGGTACGCAGGACCAGTCTCACCGCTTCGCTAGCGCCGTTGGTGAGGAAAATGTTGTCCGGGCTGGTGCGGTGGCCATCGCGGCGCTCGATAAAATCGCACACCTGTTTGGTGTTGTTCGCCAGTCGGAAACCCACGGAACGCGGCGGTGGGACATCGGTTGGGGTGGGGTGGGGGCGGTTGCCGTGTGCTGCTGTCGTGCATATTTGACTGAGGGTGTGGCAGAGGCGGTGACACGCTAAATACGTGTATATTTTCTGCAGCATCTGCAGCATCGGGGGCCGAGGTAGGTAACATGATGCCTAGAGGCAGAGCACGATGCCAACACGGTAGACCTGGAGCGTCCTGACGCCCGTGCGGTATGTACGATGAAAAACCATGGGAGGAGTGGAAAACCGTAAAATGCGGAGTACGTAGAGCGCAGAGGTGCGGGCGTTTTCAAAATTTTCGGTGCACAGTATAGGCTGAAATAGACTCCAAATAAGCCCAGTACCCAGCCGGTTTCCCTCCATTCACTATAAGAGACTCCAACACATCCCGTTCGACTGTGGTCATATCTCGAATGGGCAATCTTTTTGTGTTTGTATTATGTTTCCCAAACTAGCCACCTATTCCAGCTGCCATAAGGCCAACGAGATGGGAACTGGAAGAACTGCGAGAAAAATATCTCTCGGTTGAGGGAGCCCGAGGGCTCGCCCACGTTGTGACATTTTTTTTTTTTTCAGCAAACATGATGCGGCCCGTGGGCAGATATCACAAGGTGGTCGTGCCCGTGTCTTATCTCGTGATTATCTTCCAAAAGAAGAGCTCAGGCAGAATAATCCCGAGGTGTGACATACTGCTGTATGCATAGAACACGTTGAAAGCTGTTGAACTGATGCCATCCAATAAGCAACAACTACTACCGTCGGTGTGTTTCCAGCAAGTGAACGGGGGTGAAAGCGCGCCGGACAATCCGGGAGAAAGGCAAAACTGGCAACTTTACCCGGCCTGAGAACAAACCTGGCGTGACTGCGCCATGTCGTCTATGCTGAATGACCTCACAACTACACCTGCCGTTGTGTGTCACACAGAAGAAGCCACGGCGGATGGATAGACTGCTGTGCAGCTGCTGTGACGTATGATGACGCGAGGTCTGCCGGTAAATTGCGTTTCGATGGTGTATCCGTGCTGCAGGTATCTACGATCTAGACCATGTAGGCAAGAGACCAGTTCAACACACCACGTTTTCCCCGTGGATATATACACGTACCTCCTGCCGGACGTAAGGGTTGCCCTTCGAGTCGCTGTAGGCGCCGAAGCCCCCCTTGACGTGGACGAGGTATTCGCGTGCTCTGGCGATCGCGTCACCGGGGAACATGTCGCTCACGCGAGGATCCTCGAGCAAAAACGGAGCCATGACGAGGGCCATCACCTGATGCGACAACGGTGTCATCACACCCATAGAATCGAACGGCGAGTGAGCGAGCGCTACGTTGCAGCCGACGATGCGGTGGGAACCAGAGCAAGGCACCAACCGCCCTTACACCGCCCAGCGTGAGATGTGCGGGCAAACGTCATCGTCGCGTCCGTCCACGACACACAGCAGCAGCAGCAGCAGCAGCAGCAGCATCGCAAATGGTCCGACCGACCGTGCATGCACAATTGCATGTCCAACACACAAGCCCACAGCTCGACCTCACAAGCCACCCAAAAACGTCCACCCTCTTATCTCTCACCTGACGCAGGAACGTGAGGGGCTTCTGCCCCAGGCCGTGGGGGTTGCCCACGTTGGTGAAGATGACCTCCTTGCCCGCCTTGATGCGCTCGGTTGCGGCAAGGTAGATCTCCCCGCGGACAGCGTACTGGCAGTCCTTGACGCATTCGGCGATTGTGTCGTATGTCAAGACCTTCCCTCTGCGAGCGCGAAGAGCCGGGGCATGGGCAGGGCATGGCAGAGCAACAAGGGCCATCGTACGGCGCAGCACCATGAGAGTCTCATGGGATTATCACTGCTAGGCTGCAACTATCTCAGCTAGCTCTCTCTGCGGGGCCTTTCGGACATGCAGTGTGGACATGTTGGGCTTCTGTTGCATCACGCAGCATTACTCACCCTGAAGCAGCCATCTTTCAGTCGTGCCCTCTTGTCGCTTATGGATCCCTGCGTTGATTACTAACTTGTGTTGGGACTTCGTGACCTCGTGCTACAGACCAGACACGGCGTTGTTCGACAGGAGAAAGAGGTAGCACACGCACAGCGCGAGCGAGGCAGGAGGCGGGCTATTTTCCATTTTCTCGACTCGGTCACACCAACCCCCGACATTTTTTTCCCTTCACGGACCCCCCCAGGGTTCACTTGGGGTTCACCGCCGGGACGGCGCACGTGAGCGGCGATACCTACTGATATCAGAGCTCTCTCGCGGGGAAAACTAGGCTTTCAATGGGGCGTAGATCGTAGCCCTTTGTGTGTGTACAAAATGCCTACCTGTATGTACGAAAAGTATGAAAGCAAGGCATTTTACTTCAGTGTATTATAGCTGTGTGTTCATGAATGTCTTCCAGAGTGGAACCGCATTGTTCATGTTGGCGGTTTCTGAGGTGCGAAAGCATGGCGACCAGGGTTACTTCAGCTTATGCCGCTCGAGTATCACCCGGTGTTTCTTCCACTTCAAACTAGGAGCGCGCCCCAACAGCAGTGACGACTATTGGCAACAAATTATAACACTTTGCGAACATCTATCTACAGAACAACGAGCCGGCGAGAGTCTCCTTGGTGAGGCATGTTTCAACCTAGCCCGAATACTGTAACGACAGCAGTAGTACACTGTCGTTCACCTCCTGGCTATCCGAGTGTCACGATACACCACAACAACAGAAGGCTCAATATCCAACGTGCGGCTGCGTTTGGGAAGCCGCAGCGTGGCAAACTTTTGCCTCCTATCCTACTTACTTTACAAGATACGTCCGTTACCTTAGTGGATCTACGAAAAACTTAAGAAGACTACACTTACAGTAGTACACACATGACACGCACTCACGAGACAGAGCATCTACGAGAGGTAGACTAACCTCTCACTCGTTCGTTTGCCACCAACAAATCGTGATACAACGCTTCCAACAACACGATGCCCGTGCCGACGCGTGCCGCGATGACATAATTACGGGCTCGCCCTGCGCATGTGGCAGCACAAATCAAAATCCATCGTTGGTTAGCCTTGCCTTCTCATGCCAACCGCTTCCCTTGCCCCTTCCGCCACTTTTCGGTCATTCACTGCCCAAACGGCAGCAAAACGTAGGCGTGGGCACCATCCCCACCCTCTCGACTACATACTACCAGCTCAGCTTGAACGCCGAAAACTCCAGCAAGAAGAATCGGTGAGGACGGAACTTACGGGCCATACTGGGGCCGGTCATCAATTTGCGGGGGTCATGCGCCCTCCTCCGCGGTACCGCCCTTCTTGCACACGTAGAGGTAGTGGACGCTCTCTGCATCCCGTGTGTCGGGCACAGCCGCGGCGGAAATGGTGGGCTTGGGGATGGTGTGCACCGTGACGGTCCAGCTGTAGTCGTCATTTTCCAAGTACTGCGATAGAGGGGCCGCGCGGATAACAGGTAGTTCACGGAGGCACGAGACGCGAAGAATAAGAAAACGATGTCTAAAAATCAAGCGCTTTCGACTAGGTTGCACCAACGCATCAAGAGTATCTGCATGTCCTCAACGTGTTGCAGGATCGTCATTGCCGTAAGGTACAGCGAATTCTCGAGAGGTGTTGTTCATGCAGAGGTTGGAGTTGCTCGTGAGCGAGCGGCAAAGAGGGCCTCTCCCTGCCATCATTGTAGCTGACCCAACCGTGTTTTGCATGGGGAGTCCACCTCCTCCATGGCTGGCGCCACTAAACCCTCACACCTGAAGGCGGTTGTCCGGCACGCCGTAGGAGCAGATGAAGTAGACGCCGTTGGGCTTGAGCACTCGCGAGATCTCCATGCACATCTTGGCGACGTTCGCGGTGGAGCCCTCTCCGCACAGCACCGAGTCTAGGGTGCCTTTGTCGATCACGGCGTTGAAAGATTCGTCCGGGTAGTCCAGGGCGCACACGTTCATCATCGACCACATGAGAGCTGGTTTGTCCCTGCGGGGGTGCGTGAAGCGGAGGGGGCAACCAGGGAAACAGGCATCCTTCCCGTTAAATCCGAACCCTGACAAAGAATAAAATGGAAAATTTACCTCCCTGGGATTGTACACTCGGCTTTACACACAACAAACGCACAGAGTGTGTGCAGGCGCATGCGGAATTCCTCTTTGGAGCCACAAAAAAAGTTGAACCCACATGTAGTTTTAGCTGACCAGTTCCTATCGACAGAGACTACATATATATAGCGTCTCGCATGATATGGAGTATGTATGCCCCAACGAGTTTTGGACAATTTTCGATGCCAACAAGGCGTGTGGAGTAATCAACGCGAAATACAACAAAAGATCATCAACGAGGGATCAGGCGCACAATACCACACCTGTATCGAGCGATCATCTGCTCGACTACCACCCTCGAGACGTCGATATTTGTGAGTGTCGTGAAGCCGTCGTCGAACATATCTTCGCTCAGCCGAGAGTTGCCGCAGCCCACCATGAGAATGTTGTCATCCTTACGAACGTACTGCGATATCCAATCCTTCAGCCCGGAGTAGCGCTGGGAAACGAGAGTAAAAACCCACAGAGTGGGCGTGTACATGCCACGTGTTGAAGTTACGAAAGCCCTCGTGCTCGGCGTACTGCTTCTTCAGCGTTTAATCCGGAAAGAAGGAAAGATGAACCAGCCATCAAACACTACAAACTGTGGATACACTTCGAATGTACTTTAATTGCTCTGCATGCCCAACGATATTAAGATTTCAATGGTGGAAATCGAGCGCAATATATCGTGCGTCGGTCGGCAACCATCAAGCATTCGCACTGCTTACGGTATTGCAGCACTACTGCTGTAATCCTGTATGCGTGGAAGTATCACATGCACATGTACAACAGACTGCTACACGTCATACCAACTATACCATCACACCTAGAGGTGAGTGAATTAAACAGACCACAGCTACGATAGCATGATAGCATCCGTCGACATACAAACAGTCTAAATAGCGATCTACCGTACGGCGGCACGCTGTGAATGAGATGCCATCGCACCTGGTACCAGTCGAAGATCTCCGGGTCCTTGGTGTACCGGTCGTCCCAGTAGGACGCCTTGCCGTATTGCTGATGTGACATTGCTCCTCCAAAGCGTGGCCGGCGAGCTCGGCTGCTAGAAACTGCAGGTTTAGACAAGGAGTCGAGGCAGCAGAAGACAGGCGACAGTAGTAAATGTTGCGCACACAGAGAGCCGACGGGTTTGGGCGTTCGCCGAAGGAACATGCAAGCACCAGCGGTTCCAGAAATCGTTCCTCGTAAAATTTAAAAAAAACGAAACGGAAATGCGGCGGGCTTTCCTTGCTGGCTAGGCATTCAAACCCCACGCGGACCGGCTGAGCGGAGAGATTATAGGCACTGCAAGCTCATAAGAAGTGCTGCCCACGCGATCGTGCTTAACATCGTAACACGAACCTTGGTAGAGACAACCACACAGCACAGATCCGGTGGAAGCCAGTGCAAGCTGAAGCGACTGCTGTGTGCTGCACTTTCACAACGCGGCGCTCCGTGGCGCACACCTGGTACTGTAAACTGGCTTGTAGACTTTGCGCACCCCCTTCCTCTGAGATTGCTGAGATTGTCGAGATTGGCAGCACCAGCCACTGCAGGCGGTTGTGGTACGTGTCGCCCCATCTGCTGCCCTTCAAATAATTCCTAGGCCATGAATCACGGAACATGCCCGGAGGGGATGGAGTGCGCATGCTGCTTCGATGACATCGAGGGTGGCACCGATGGAAACTATGTGGAGTACAGGACTGGCGAAGGTGAGGACCACTACTTTAAGTCTATAATGCGAACCATTGTACAACTACCCACTTTCAGCTGCTTTACCGCTGTAGGTGATACCACCCTCTCCCTCGCCCGATTTCCAAAGCTCATTTTCCCCGCAACGAAGAGGATGTTTCAGTGGATCCAAACATTTTTTTAATGCCTCTATTTTTTTCACACCGCCACTCCATCTGCGGAGTAATCGAGGTTTGAAAATCGATCCAGGGGGTGTGATATCTTGTGTCAACCTATGGTATTGTTGATGCGCATGAAGGGACCGCGGCGGAAATCAGGCAGCATGTCTATCACGCGGTCTTTGTACACGATAACCATCATTTTAAAAGTATTTCCGCCTGCCTGCCATACTCTAGAAGCGATCTCAAGTCAATGGTGTACCCGACTACCAGTCAGAGTAGTTCTGCACACAGCAGTTGCAACCTTGCAGCCACAACAGCAGCTGTCGTGGCGTCTGTGTGTGGGATGCCACCGAACACCTTGCCGATGCGGACATGACAGCATCACCTATTGCTTGCATGTGGCAGTATCTACCACAACGCTCGTACCGAATCACAGTTCAAGCACCGACCCCGCTGCACTCGCGAAACATGGAACCTCTCGGTGACGTAGGTATCCCACCCTCGCAGTCCTGTGCCCTCGCTGTTCTCTCAAACCGAACACGGAGAACCGATGTTTTCATGGTATTTGGAGGTCTAGAGATACTGCCGCCCACTCTCATTTCTCTCCCGCACACACGTCTCCCTCTCTTTTTCTCTCCCTGTCTTTGGTACTTGCTGGTCCGTCTGACGTTGCATGTGACTCCGTCTCTCCGCCAGGTGCATTCCTGTAATTCTTCCCCTGTCAATCAATTTTCGTTGTTGGCAAACCCATGTTTTTTGTCTCTGTCTGTCACGCAACGCAGGCAAGGAATGGCGCCCATCGTTCTTTTGCAAGATGTGCATCGGGGTTCTCATCAAGAGTCAGTGGTCCATCTACGAGGACACGTTGGCCAAGGCTACGTGCAAGGTGTGTTGTCGGCGGTCTGCCCTGTACTGAAAAGTTCTATATAGCCGGCTGCCCACAACATGCGCAGCTTTCTTCCAACCGCAAGAGCACACGTTGTTTGGCTTCCCTGTGGCAACTCCTTTCGTAGGTCGGAATATATCCTGAAAAGCGTCCATCCCTCCCCTCGTGTTCCGCAATGATCCAGGCGCAGCAGAAGCGAATGCTAGGGGAGGGGCCTCCAACGCACGTACACGTGAGTATCGCACTCGCGTCCACCGAGTACGGGAGTATTGGGGTGGTGGAGGGATGCGTTAAAAACGTGGGGATGCTCGCTCACGTTTCCCTGTGCGGCTTATCACTGCCCCCGTCATCTCGGAGGACGGCGTGCTGGCGTGGCGTTGTGCCGTCACAGAAAGAAAGTGTTACTGACGAAGGCTCGTGTGTTCTCTGGGTCCATGGGTCCAAGAATGTTGTGGCTGTGGCCTACGATGTTGAGACGTCGAGCTTTTGTCTTCGCGTACAGAGAAGGTGTGGTGCGGAGCTTGCCGGCATGGGAGCTTCAGAGTGGGTCTTGCGTCATGAGGACTCAGCACGTGGCCCGTGAGTATTGCAACACGTCTAAAGTGTCAACACGGTGAAACACCGTGGGCATACTTTCGCTTTGGCCCCAAGGAGGAGGTATGTCGCTTTGTTGCACAACGTGCCGCCCTAATGAGTGACGCATCGCCTTTTCCCCAACAGGACAAAACAGCTCTCAAGTGTGAAGAGGGCGAGAGCGTGCACTCGTTGTGGTTTGTTGGAGACGAGGGCGGCGAGCCCAAGGTAAGCTTTTCTGCAAGCCGCCTCTCTGCGTGGCGTTAATCAACAACATTTGAATGGATGCGGCGATCGAATGGCTCCCAACGATACTTGATTTTGAGTGATCTTGCTGGTGTTGCAGTTTTGGCCAAGAAGAGGAGCGTGGTTCCGGGCTTTCACCTGTTCAGAGAATCAAGACACGATCGTGGAATAGTCAGTGGTATGTTTATGAGAAAGACTCGATACAGGACCCTTGGTGTGGCGATTCTACCAGTCTGAACTGCTGCTTCGCTGCGCCTTCGTCCGTGTTGGCATACTGCTGTTGTTGACCACACCTCCAAGATTCAATCTGCGCTGTTAGAAGGGGCTCCGCAGGGTGAAGCCCGACAGATCTGGTGGGACGAGAAGCTAGCGTTTCAGTTCGACGAGGACGACGACGAAGACGAGGCGGGGGGAAACACCACCGCTGCGACGACCGTGGCTGCTTCGACACCACCCCCGGTGCCGGGTGCGCCATCTCCTGCCCCCGTTCCTCCCGCACCCGCTACTGATTCCCCTGCTGCTGCTTCGGCTACCAGCAACACTGCGCAAGCAGGAGATGGTGCAGAAACCGCGGCGGCGAGCCCACAAGCAGCGCGGGCGGCAACAGCAACAACACCGGTTGCTGCTGGCGCAGAGGTGACCGAGGCAGATGCGGCTCCCTCGAAGATGGACGTCGAGGGAGAGAAAGGGGTCTCGCCGCCTGCCGCGCCAGTGACCGCCTCTGCACCTGCGATTCCATTAGGCTAAGAATAGGGAACAGTAGTATTAGTCATTCCCACTGACTGGTCCGGCTGCTCGATGCATGTCGCTCCGAGTGATTGGCGGGATCTCTGTCGGGAACCCCAATAGCAGGGTGCGCAAAGGTTATTTGCAGCTGGGATGATTCCACCTGTAAGTTGTTTTCTGTGGTTTCGGAGGAGTCTGCGGGATGAACGTGGGCCACCCCGCTTGTGCTTGGGATGGATGGGGGCTTGATGACTTCTGGAGGCTGATGTTGCGTCCGTGCGGTGGGTCAAGCAAGCTGACACATTACTGGTGTTTTGTTGTTTCGGTGTTGTTTCCTGATGCATGACTGGAATGATTGGAAGGTCGCTTGTTGTGTCACAGCTTTCAATTTTACTCGCGTCCTTGGTGTGTTTGCATGTGTCGTTCTTGCGCATCCCGTCCGCAGCACGGCGTTTAGTACTCGGACTATACTTTGTACCGTTCAGTGGGAAAATCATAATATAGGAAGGCCGATGCGGTCGCGACTATTTGCCCGCTCATAGAGATCGTTATGGTTGGAATTCCTCTTGGCAAGGTGCACCTACAGTGAGGAACACCCCCAGCGTCTCGACACAAACGCTGCTGTACGATGCATTGCACCTGAGGAAGTGCCCATGCAAATATCCTGTGCACTCACAGACCGGGGGCACAAGACAATGCCCAATAAAACCCTGAAAAAATGAAAGTAGCTTGCGGGCCTAGCCAACGCAGCAATACACCTATTTAGAACTGGCGGGGGTGTGGTACAATAGAGGACCACGCCGGGCCACATCTGAGGGCGATGGGAGATCGGCTGCAAGGGGAACATGAAACAATGAGACAGACAGCTCCAACTTCTTACCCCTACCCCTACTCCTTCCTTCCAATACTATGCTTTCTTACAAGACAACATGTCTTTGAACACGCTTCTGTGTGTTTTTTCGCCCATCAAAGCTGGGCGTCGGTCTACACCTCTACGACATATTGACGCTCCAGCCGGGGTCTTCGAGGAGGAAGGCAAACATACGACCATGTGCTTTTTGTCGCTCTCCATTTGTTCCCCTGCGTTGCGGGCCTTCAACTCTTAACACGAAAAGGGTTCAGCGGTTCAGCCGCCCCTGCCCTCAATGTTGTGTGCACTCACGACTATGCACCGTCATTCAAAAATGCGACTATTTTCACTTACAGGGAGACTTAAACCAACGACCAAGGACCATACAGTTTTACGAGGGTACCAACTGAACAGCTGAACCACGGTTATGCGACCACTCCAGAATCCTACAAGAGGGGCAATTTTTGTCAACGTGGGCGTTGTCACCAGTTCGGTTATTTTCGGTCACTCGTCTTCGACCTTAAGCCCCACTCGGTGCCAGCTGTTGCTAAGCACGCCTCGGATGTTCCAGATAGGCTCCGGCCGTTCGGGCTGAGAATTGTACCCGGCGTCTACCGCCTTGCACACCAGCTTCATTTCGCCTTTGCCCTTCGGAACTGGCAGCGACGCTTCCCACAGTGTCCACGCCCAAGTCCTGCCCGAACACCCACCCAAGGCGAAACGTGTGGAATATTTCAGTTAGAATAAAAGGGGAGACCCCAATGCTAAAAACCAACAAGACGCATTTTCATGATCTATGGGCAGCTGTAAGCTGCAGGCTTTGTCGTTCCTCAGGACAGAACACAAACTACCGAAGACAAACGATTGATGAGCGTTGAGAGGGTTGCGGAAAATGGTTAATACCTCCGCACGTTCGAGGAGCCGAAACACGAACTGTCTTCCATGTGTTCCAACCATCACGCCTGCTTGCCCCTCCCTGTGATCACCTATACAACGGCTGCGACGTCGGCTTGAGTTCCGCAGAGGTCCAAGTCTCCCCCCCGTCCGCGCTTACGTCCACCCGTACCACCGCGCGACCGCCTCCAGCCACTGCGTACCCCTTAACCGTCACCTCGTCGTCGTATTGGGACACCGACGACCCATCGGCTGGTGACAGGATCGCCGAGTTGATCGGCAGTTGCTGGATTGCCGGAGACTGTTTTGTGTTTCGTTGCCGTCATAGCAAGAGGAGCGGGGCGGAGTTAAAATCCAAGACGTTTCGATTTTGATGCCAGGGTGGGGGGGGGGGGGGGGGGCGTGTCGTTTAAGGGTGCTGCTATTGCTGTTGTCACGACAGAAATAGCCGTGTAAACACACCTGTGATGCCGGAGACGGGTGACACTCTCGCCTTCTCCTCCAGCCTGTTGCAGCTATAACACCGTAAAATGGGGGCACCTTGCCAATGCTAAGTCCGCAACAGCGTCAGCAAGGTGAGCTATCCGCTGCGCGAACCTGACTTTGTAACGGGCCTACCTTATCGCGTACTTTCACACGTTGTGAACAAATACCGGGGGAACTGTGCAGAATCCTCTAGGCAACACGTCTTTTGATATACATCGCTTCTCAGAGGCTAGCTATTGCCGGCGTTTACTACGTCTTCAACCACCGCTTCACCGAAGCTCCACAAGACTTGCCTTGGAGAAGTCAGCAGTGTCCCAGTCAGTAGACGAGTTGAAACCCTTGTAGTCTTTTTGCTGCCAATGATTCTTGCTCTCCTCCTTCGAAGCGATCACCTAGGTATGTAATTCCGCAGAAATATCACAGCAGGGTGCGTTATCATAGGAGAGTGTCGAAGTTCTTCAGGTCCCTAGCACCTCGAGAAGGGTCATGAGATAAGTTCCTGCCGCCAACGCGCTCCCGAAAGACTTGCACACAAACCACACCTTCCACGCGTGCAGCGTGCGCGACCGGATCTTCGTGTCGGCAAACGAACACGAATATTTGTCTCTTCGCATCACGCAGGGTCAGTGCCACCGACAGCGATCCCGAAGAACGACGGTGCGAGACAAACGGCAGAAAAATTCCATGTACAGTTGGGGTTTGAATTAAGCGGTTCCCCGTTGCGGGATTCCATCTCAACGGGGGGGCAACACTCGCCCAACAGCAGCACACGGTACCAGCTTTGGCAATTTTACCACAGAAGGCAAACGGATAGCACCGTACCTTGTCTAGCCACTTTACGTTGCGCGCGCCCACGACGCCGGGCACGACCGCCCGGACGGGAAAGCCGTGGTCCCTCGGGATGGGTTCCCCGTTCATCTCGAACGCCAACAGGACGTCCCCCTTGGGGTCCACGGCCATGCCAGCCGGGATGGACGAGCCGTAGCACGTCGTCAGGTCGCGGTCAAGCCCTGCTCGGTCGATCGAACGTCGAGGTCGGGGCGGCGCAGATGAGAACGGGTGGCGACAGGGGTCTCGAAGGCCCAGCGGCCGGGAGGAGGACAAGGGGATCGGGAAGATGCATCTGCGCGACAAAAGACACTTTGGTATTGAGTGCTTCGCGATTGAGAGCGACAGCCGAGGGTCCGAAAGGCCTCTTACTTACAAAGTGAAGTGATGCCCGTGTCTGCCACCAACGGCGGTAACGATGGGAATGTTGTCTCTTCCCGTTACGAACGTGGTCGATACCCTCGCTGTCGAAACGTGCAAGGGGCCAGGGTGTGTGTACAATTGCTGTTTTTCGGTACGCGTGCTTTGTGCGGCGCCTGACCTTCGAATTGAACGTGCTCGATGCCGGAACTCTCTGGATCGTTGACGTTCACGCCGGCGTGCTCCAGCACATCTCTCAGCAGCACGCCCGTCCACTCCGAGTTGCTAATGGCGCCGCAACTCCACCCCAGCCCCTTGACCGGCTTGACATTCGTCATGTCCTCCCGCCGGTTGCCCGCGCACTGGATAGCAGTGACCACCTTAACCTGACGGTGTGTGGGGGGGGGGGGGGCGCTCGTTTGTTGTTTACCTGCGATGCTCAAACGTCCGTCAGGCGTCACCCCTTTTGATACGGAGAAAACGAGAAATGTTCCTACTCCGATCGAGACATCACCGACAGTCGGGAGCTCTTGACGTCCCTGCCATGCTTGACATCAGAATTGTTTGTTGTTTTCCTATCCTACACAACAGCGATCATTTTCTCGCCACGTATTCACTATTGCCCAATACCCCAAACTCAACCAGTCATATATATTCCTCCCACCCCTTGTTCGGGGGTGTGCCTCGTTTCGTCTATACTATGACATGAATCCCAGCTTGTGAGTGGGCCTGGCGATATAGGGATGGGCCAAGAGTATGTGCAGCAATAGTTATTTGTAAACCGCTCGCAACTACTCTCGGGGTGTTGTTGAAGTGCCTGTAAGGAGAGCGATGACGCGGACAGGGGCCGCACAATTCGCAACAAAATCGACAAACCAATATTTGCGTGTTGTTTATGCAGGGCACACGGGCATCTTACGTTCTCCCCGCCCTGTTTGCGACCCTCTAGCTTGCTAGACACATCTGGTTGATCGCGAGACGTGGCCTGAACAAAAAATCCGTCCGCACCTGGGGAAACTTGGTCTTGAGATCCGCCAGGGAGTACTGCACGCACCGTGCTCCCTTTCCTTCCACCTCTACGTGGAGGCGGTACTTGTCGGGGTCGACATCGGGTACTGGGAGGTGATTGCGCACGTAGTACAGGTCGTTGGGGGTAATGAACCCCGCGTCGAGCAGAAGCTCCGGGGGAGGCTCCGCGTTGAACGGCCGCGGGTTGTTCACGATGAAAAACGGATGCCTGGCAGGGTCCTGTCAACAAGAGTGCAAGAGGGAAGGTGCTCGTGTTTCTCCACAACTTCCAGGTGGCGCATAAAAAGCTAACCTCCGGCCAAAGCGAAACCGGGAACACCCTTCGTACAAAGGGTAAAAATACACTTAGGAGGACTGTGCCTAGATGTGATACCCCGCACAAGTCCTCAACAGAGATGGCAAGATTGGACGATAGGCACCGAAAAGGAACAAGGCACGGTGTCTTGTAGCCCGCTTGCTTTGCGATGTTGTCTGCGATGTTGTCTCTGGCGCTATCTAGTGTAGGTACTCGCGTAGTGACTCCCGGCGATTCTTCCTGCGGTTGTAAGCTGACAGAAGTGCAAGCCGACGTACCTTGGCGTAAGGGTCGTCGCTGTTCTTGTCCGCGTTGCTCTTGTTCTCCGCCATGTCTTCTAAGGATAGACTGCCTATTCGCAACGTCTTCAGGATGTCCAGGACCTGCGCGGTTCCAACGTCAGCGTGTCACAAGTGCCGGAGGGTCGGTCCTCCTTGCATTGTAGTAGTAATAGTGTACTTCTTCGCGCGTGTACAGCCGACTACACAAAAACCTACCTCGAAACCGGCCAGCGTGCAAACAGACGGCAGAGGCGACACATATTTCTTCAAGAGGAACCGTACCTCGTCCTTCATATGGAGGGCATAAAGCTTCCAGAACGGCTCCAGCGCGCCGCCAGCGGCCATGCTAATCCTAGACGCCCCGCCGGGGTGGCTGGCGATGAACTCCGTTATGTCGTACACGCCCCCGTCGTACGTTACCCATACACCGCCCGCCTCTGCGCTTTTGTGCTTAGCGACCTCGGCCTTGGAAATGATGGGGAAGCCGTCGCGCTTGCCGCCCGCCTTGGCAGCCCTTTTGCAGGCCGGGCGCTCTTGAGAGTCCTGCTGGGAGACTGCTGCGGCGGCGAGGCATGCTGCCGCAGCGAGCAGTCCCGCTGCACCCGCCATCGAGGATGATGCATCGTGGTGGTGGTTGGATGGTCGGGAGAGATGGGCGAGGGTGCCCTTGTGGCGCTCTGCCGCCGCCACTGCAGCTGCTCCTCGGACGACTGACCTGTGGGGTCGCGAGAAGGGACGTTGTGGCTCGTGCCATCACCTCATCATGTACTCAAATCTTTGGAGAGCGCATGTACATGATACCCATGGGCAATGTTCTACTTGCCGCATGTCACGTGCACATCGTGTGCCCATGTACATGTACACCTACAGCGGAAAGAGACTCGTGATTTCCAAAGCACTAAGACCATGTGCGGAGACTGTTACCCACGGGAGGAGTCGTGTAGACTAAAACACTAAAACTGGTGGACCAACTTGGCTGAACTGCATTCTGTACAACGGCTTTCTGCTGCCTACGGAGGGGCGAGCATCTTCGCCCCTGGAGCCAAAGTCAAACAAGGTCTACATGACTTGATTCTTCAGAGTAAGGTCACGGTATAATGCCGGTGCGATCCAGCCGCTTTCACCGGCATAATAGCACGCGACCGGCATTATTCAGAGTATGAACAACGTGAAGATTCCATCTGTGCCAGACGACTTCACCGGCATTTACAAAGAAACCGGCAGTGTAATTCGACCGCGTTATACCGGGACCACTGCTGCTGTACACTACTGCTGTACCTGTGGGTACATGAGTGAAGGGTGGATTTGCACTCACTATTATGCTACTCTATGATGCAGAGAAGACCCACTCTTCTTATAAGCGTTGTAGAAGTGCGACCAATCAAGTAGAACAAGTATACTGCAACACGGGCGTTACATGTACCACACGGGTCTGGACGTCTGGACTAAACTTAGCTCAAGTTGCAGTCAAGGAACGCTGTAACTGCACGCCGCCACCACATAGGAAGACCCATAAAACCTGGCGCCACCTACCTTTCAAAGCCGGCACGCTTCCCGGCTGATGCGACAAGGCTAGCCGCCCTCCTGCATACCATCATAGTGGTCTTGTTGATCGCCACGCACCACCAAGCAAGGCCTGAGGCTGCCGAGCTGCCGAGCGCCAAATGCACTCTCCAAAGGGGCATCGCAGAAAGCATCTCGGTGCCCCCCAACAGAATAACCAAGCAAGAGCGGGAATGGCTGTGCCCCCTTCGCCTGCTCTCTCACACACAGAGAGGACAGAAACCGGGAAGATAAGAAGAAGACAGCCAGCCTTTCCACGGGGGGCTCCCTCCGCCGAGCTCCGGCGCCATGGAGAACATGCCGGTTGTCATCGGCCGATATCGGCTCAGTAAGACCTTGGGAATCGGGGCCTTCGGGAAGGTCAAATGTGAGTTTAGAGGCCTTCCTTTTTTTCCTGCTGCGCCGGACCGAAAATGAACAAGAAAGCTGCTGTGCTGCTTAGACCTTGAGCAGTCGCAGCAGCGGACTAAGCCGTCGTCACGATTAGCGTTGTCACACGCGGCGTTCAATCGTGTGTGAAGTCGTGGCTACTGCCGTTTCTAGCGGCGATAGCAACTGCCTGCCTGTCTACGCTATTGCGTCCATGGGTTGGTTCTCTCTTCGAGAACCACGGTGGTGTCGACGCGCTTTTCTTGTAGACGAGGTTCCGTTCGCATGCGGGCCAGCCCCGGTGTATCCGTTGAGTCTCCGTAGCTCACGCCAGTAGCACCGAGACGGCATGAGTCGAGAGTCACAGCAGCTTCTTTTGCCCTCTTCGTCGCCCCTGCTGTGTACGCGTCTTCGTACTACCATGAACAATAAAAATGGTTTTGGTCGATCGATGTGATGTGTCCGAGTTTTTTTCATCAGGAAAATCACCCCAGGGATACACACACGAGCGTATATTGTAATATATTGTGTGCGTACAAGGATGCGCGTGTTCCTCCGTTGTTTTGGTGACATCTACTGCTGGATTTGAAATTTGGCTGCTGTCATTACAATATTGTTGCGAGCTAATCGATTCGTCCTCTGCCCTCTGCACCGTTGTTGCTGTCCGTCGCCCTCTACTGTTGCAGTGGGGGAGCACATGCTCACGGGACACCGAGTGGCAGTGAAAATTCTCAACAGAGGCAAGATCCAAGCCCTGGACATGGAGGACAAGGTCAAGCGCGAGATTAACATCCTCAAGCTTTGCCGGCATCCGCACATCGTCCGACTGCACGAGATCATCGACACACCGAGCGATATCTTCATGGTCATGGTGAGAGAGAGAGAGCTCTTGTGTTGTGCATATGTAAAGATGAAGAGAGATGAAAACGTGGGCATGTCGGACATTCAATTTAGGCCGCGTACCTCGAAAGAGGGGGACCCACACACACATTTGTGTTTTATTTACTTTACTTGCCACCGACACCACACGCGGGCGAGGGGTACGATCTGTTGTCATGGTAGCATGAGGTGCCGCTGGCGCACACGGAGCGTGCGTTTTGCTTGGCACACTCGCCTTAGCCATGGGACTGGACTTGAACGACACATTTCTTGTATTGAGCAGTGATAGGAGTGCGGAAGTTTACACGTATCGTACCACCGCACTCCTTGTCATCTGCCTCTTGCTCCGAAGTACAACACTTGTTTAGTGTGTGCATAGATTGGTTCGGAACGGTTCCACCCTCCGGGCAGCGAAGGACTGCCGCCATCTCTCTCTCTACATGTCTCTCCCTGTTCCCCTCGTGGGCCGGAAGGAAACATGCCTGCCTCGGCCTGCTGTGTCTGTCTGTCTGTCTGTATGTCTGTCTGTCTGTCTGTCTGTCCCGCACAACCCCGCACTCCTGTATATGCGTCCCCGTGACGACGCAAACGAAGGTAAGCACCGTCCCATCGTGCAAAGATTTTAGCAGCGGGCCCTCTCTTTTTTTTTTGTTCCCGAGTGTTGTTGTTGATGATGTCTTGTTGTGGCTGTTGTTGTTGTTGCTGTTGTGGTCGTGGTGGTCATTATTGTTGCTGGTGGCGGTGGTGGTGGTGGTGGTGGCTAGAGAAATAATGCAGGCCGAAACTACATACAGCATCGGCGTGGAGCTCCTGTTTGCATGCATAGCTATGTGTTTGAACAGAACACAGAGCCCTTGTACAGCTGGCGTTCAGACACCTGGTGCGGCATGTGACCTACAGCCTTATCGACGCGTGCAAACGATAAAAAAGACAACAGGTTTCTTTCGAGTCCCGACCGCGCACTCTACCTCGTAGACTCTAGAAGCTGACAAGAGCCGATTACCGCCACCGTTGAGGCAAAATGAAGCCCGAAATGTACGTAGCAGCGTGGGCTCCGATTCCGCGCGCCGCCCCCGAGACACGTGTGGGCGTTGATACCCAAGCGGAGCTAATTCCAGCACATCAAAGTGGAGCTTGGTTGGTGCTTGGAACCCGCGGGTTTTGGCCCGGTCACAGCAGTGAAGTCGGAGCCATCCCGACACTCGGATTTTTTTTACTCACGTGTTTGATGTTCCGGCCTTTCACGCGTCGAGTCGAATTTCCTCTTCACGCCAAGGATTTTATTCCCCTCTCTCCTGGACTTATCTCTCCCCCATGTAGAGATTTACCCGAACAATATTTTTTTCAATGTCACCGTTCGCGCACCGTCAACATCAGCAGTATCGGGTGCAATTTACTCCATTTTTTTTGTCTCAGGCTTTTTTTGATGATGATGTTTTTATCTTTCCGCAGAGACGACCTACAAGCGCAGCTTTCGTGTGACCCCTGACCCCGTCTTCCGTCATTAGGCAGCAACGCCTTTGTTCCTCCTACACGTCCCAGCATGATTGTGTGCTAATTGCGGGATTGTTGTGGGCTTGCCCTAGCGTAGGGGGGCTTGTCCTGCCAAAAACAAAAGAAAGCAAAAAGAGCTACTATGGACGGTTTCGACACGGTTTGGTGTCCAGTTCCTGAGGGAAAATATAAATCAGCTGGCTCTTTCCGGGATTGTATTTCTTTCATGTATTGCCGGACGTGAAAAAACCGTGAATGGCACCACATGACGTAGCACCGGGCACTTGGGCGTATCATGGATAAGTATAGTGGTAGCGAGGGGGTTTGCGTGTGATTGACCTTTTGATCGTCACGCACCCATCGTGTGTTGTCTACATAGTAAGCCGACAATGACAGCAGTTTTATATATACTTGATGAGACGTGGTCTAGCCCCCGCCGCAATGCCCGGTAAGCATCCAGTGCCCCCACGCCAATGTTTCCGTGTCGATTTTGGCAGCAAGCTGACCTGCTGCTTTTCGTGCTTTCTCTTTCGAACGCCGCGTGTGTTGAGGCCACGCCGCCACCACCACCCCCGAAACGGTTACATAGTTCGGTTCTGTTACATTTTACACGCAACGGCCTGCTTGACGCATGCATGCATGCATGCATACGCTGCTTGCTGCAGGAGTACGCGCCCAACGGAGAGTTGTTCGACTACATCGTCTCCAAAGGGAGGCCTACAACAGAGGAGGCGCAGCGTCTGTTCCAGCAAATCGTCACCGCAGTGGAGTACTGCCACTTCCACAACATAGTACACCGGTACGCCAAAATTTTGCGCAACACCGGCAGTTTTGCACGTGTTGGTAGAGCGAGCCTTGCGGCATTGCGTGTCAGGTTTCGACATGAGAGAAGCCGCGACAAGCCAGGCTAGTTTGCTTTCGCCGTTTTGCGTCGGGCAAGGAATCCCCGGTTGGCCTCCCCTCCCCTCCTCCTATGTCCGTGCTTTCCCCTTTTCCTGTGAAGCTCGGGTAACGAAGCCTGTTTTCCCCGCTCCGATCCCTGCACGGACGTGTCGCGGTTGTGTTGTGACAGCGACTTGAAACCGGAGAATTTGCTCCTGGACCAGGACAACAACCTCAAGATCGCTGATTTCGGGCTGTCGAATATGATGAGGGACGGGGAGTTCTTGCGAACATCTTGCGGTGAGCGAGAGAGGCATGTTTGCACGGGCCGGAAGAGAGCCCCCGTGTGGTCAGGCTGGCACCACCGTGCTGGGTGTCCCGAACTTTGCGCCCGTGTGTCCGTCTCTTGTAGGATTGCGTCGGGGGCCTGGCGCGCTGGACACGACGAATTGAACCGTTTGCCGGTCTTGTCTTGGAGCGGACCGCTATAAGCAGCCATGTTTAAAAATCAAAACTGCACGAATGCTTCCAGCAATGCGCTCGCTCTCTGCTCCAGACCTCCTTCCCCTGCACATTGTCCCGGGATTTTTTTTGACGGCGTTCCGTGTAGTGTATCTCAACGCCAATCCGCACCGCTTACGCAGGGTCCCCCAACTACGCGGCGCCGGAGGTGATCATGGGCACACTCTACGCTGGCCCGGAGGTAGACGTGTGGTCGTGCGGCGTGATACTGTACGCGTTGTTGTGCGGCAGCCTGCCCTTCGACGACGAGAGCATTCCGTCTCTCTTCAAGAAGATCAAATCCGGGATGTACTCCCTCCCGAGCCACCTGAGCGCCTTGACCCGAGACCTGGTGCCACGGATGCTGGTGGTGGATCCGATGAAGCGCATCACGATCGCCGAGATCAAGCAGCACCCGTGGTTCCAGCAGAGCATCCCGCTGTACCTGACGCTCACGCCGGCGCAGCTGGAGGACCAGGCCAGCAAGGTCGATGAAGACGTGAGTCAAGGCGGCCTTGGTTTTCGCAAGAAAACAATATTATAGTACAAGATGTGTTCATGTTCCGTCTCTCTGTTCCCAGATCAAAGTCCGGGTCAGGTTGGTTTTGGTTCTCGCAGGACAAACTTAGCAAGATGCTGCTCTTTTTAGTGGAGGTGGGTAGCCGTACACGGAGCACCAGCCCTAGCCCTTGCCGCCGTTGAGATAACCTCTTTCTGCTACCCTTGTGGATGGTCACGCCTGTTGAAATTTCACTATTGTGCGTCTTGACTCGCATCTCAAGCGTAACAAATGGTTACTCGCACCTGGCGGATACCCGCATACCCGCGCCTCTGTTGCGGCAGGTGGTGGCGATGCTGTGCGAGCTACCTTTCAAGGGCATTACGCGAGAGCGAATTTTGTTGGCCCTGGCTCACAAGGGGTACAAGAAGAAGGGCGAGTTCGAGCACGAGCTGAGAGTAGTGTACGAGCTCTTGCAGGGGAACAAGCTTCACAAGGCGCGGCTGAAGGTGCGTGGGCTCCCTTAGCTCCTCTCTTGGTTGTGTACCTCCGTACCGCTGCTTCGAGACGCTGCTGTACGCGGCTTAGGCCGCACCTGTGTGTGGCACCGTATCAAGCTAGGACGTCGGCGTGCTGGACAACACAGCCCTTGCGTTGGTTCGTTTCGGACTACAGAACGGGCCCGAATTTTAGAAACGTCAACATCGGGTTGAGGCTCGGTTTCGTATTTTATCGCCGCGATCGAGCACACGTTTTCATTTAGTCTATAGGATCCACCGCTGAGCTGCATTTCCTACCCTTATTTTCTTGTTCCTCGTGAAAAATTTGAGCCCCTGTTTCTTAGCGAAATACCACAATATTTTTCTCAACTGCGGGCCCGTTGTGTATGCATATAACTGGCACTTGGAAGTGGGCCGCCTTCGTCAAAAATTAAGTTTATTGGGGAAATAAAACAGGGAGGGGGTACGCAGACCCTATCCCTAACCCCAACCTTAACCCAACTTCTTCACCGATTGCGTGCTTTATCCAACATGTTTACTTACTGGAAAACCCTGCGGAGGCTACTGTCGGAAGTACACCCCATCCCCCCTTGACCAAGGGCAAATCCTGGCTGCGTAATCTGCCTCACCCGCTCTCCGTTACCGACGCTACTACACGTTTCCTTTGTGTTAAGAACCCCCCTCTTGCTTTCTCATGCACTGTACCGCACACCGGGTCACCAACAGCAATGCGTGTCGGAGAACAAGCTGCACATGCAAACGCCGCCCACCTTCGTGGGGACCAATCGGGCGCGCGGGGGGAGTTCTCCGAGCCGGGGGGGGGGGCGGAATTCGGGGTCGCTGCCGAAGCAGATGACGGACACCCCACGGGAGGCTGCTGCAGCACTCATCAGAAAGGTGGGTGGGCTCTATTGGCGTGGTAGGCAGCAGGGGGTGACGCAGGGTGTGTGTGCCGGAGGTAGGCGGCGGAATCCGGCAGTGTCATATATATGGCTTTGGATTTTGCTCCCGTCAGCGCGTATACTGCGGAGCTGAATTTGGCTGAAAGGCATGAAATTTGCGTCCAACTCAGGGTTGGTCGAGATGCAACGCATGCCTTGTTTCGTTGGGGATGAGAAAGTTTGACACGGCTTCTTGTGTGTTGTGATGGGATACCCTAGGACATGTCTGGTACCAACGAGGAGGAAACCGACGGCTTCGCGGTTCGCACGGCATCGCAAAAGCTTGAGGCCAATCGATTTTCGATTCAGCGATCTTCCATCCTAGTGTCCCTCTCATAACGGGAAAGCAACTGCAAGTGGAAATCACGTACGTTTGGGTGATGTCGTATGAAGCCCGGTAGTCATGTAATAGCTGGTTCAGACGTGCCAAGTATCACGCGCTCTAGATGAGGCGAACTTGTCTTCCTGCGATTACGGCTGCGGCCCCCCTTTCGAGAGTATCGACTCCCCCCAACCAACTTGGTTGTTATCCTGCCAAGCCAACATTCATAGCAGCAGGGCAAGGTAGCTCATGTTTTGTTGGAACTTGGACCACTCGCGGGCGTTGACAAATCGTCTTCGTCTCTTGGTTCTACCCCGCCCCTCGAGGTAGTGAGTACAACCGGGCGCTGATCTCCCCCTACTGTGCTTAGTGCCTCGGGAATGCTCTTGTCGTTACCCCGCTGCCTTCCCGAGAGCAACAGTGACGCCGGCTCCCACTTGTGTTCTGTTCCTTTTATCCCACAGGGGTATGCGCAAGGCGGCAGCAGCAGCCGTCCAGGACAACCTGCTTCAGGTGGGACGGGGGGGACGGGGGGTGCAGCGGCGGCGGGGGCACCGATGAAGCGAAGGCGATGGTACCTGGGCATCCAGTCCAAGAAGGACCCGGCGCATGTCATGACGGAGGTGAGTGAGCGAAAGCGGCAGCAATGTCGGGCCGGACATCCTGGTGCCGCGAGCGGGTGGTGGCGATGCCGTTCTGTGGCCTCGAGTGTGACGTAAGGGTAGCGTGCGTATGTGCGGCCAGAGGCTGGAAGGAGGGAGGCTACCGAAGTTGCCGCAGGATTCTGCGTCTGTTAAATCAAAGGAGACTCCGGGCCGGGGGGGCTATCTGGCATACCTGTGGCTCGAGTGTGGGACACGTTTGTGCCTGGCCTTTTACCGGCGAAAGCGGGACGATGCATCTCGTAGAGGTGTCCATTTATCGTGGATCACCGCTGCGCACGGGGTTCCTGAATATTTCGTTGGCAGCAGTGTTTTGAGTGTTCTTCTGCGCTAGGGTCTATCAATCGCTGTAGGCGGTGGTGATGTTTTGCTGGGGTGTTTCCTGGCTGCGTGGGCTAAAAGCTGACAGCCAAGCATGAAAAAACAAATGAATGTCAGCTCGACTTCTCTTTCCTGCTGCGTGCTGCATCCGCCACCTCGGGCTACTATAATAGGGCTGTATTCGTGCAGGGTCACCGGCTGGTTGACACAGCAGTTCGCGCAAGAGTGACGGCGATGTCATGCGGATATGTATTCGGTACAGGGCAAACTGCTGCTGCTGCTGTTGATGGTGAATTTGTGAGAGGAAGCTGGGGTGGCTTGGCAGCACTACTATAGCCGAGTTGTGATGGATACGTACACGATCCACAAGAATTACAAACGACCCGGTTGCATACGCCCACACATCCAGGTGTATCGGGCGTTGCTGCAGCTGGGGTGCGAGTGGCACCTGCACTCGTCGTACCGAATCCAGTGCATGTGGAAACCAGACGCCGAGCCGGTGATGCCGAGAGGGGGCTTGAAACGGCCGGGGGGGCTTAGAACACCTCCAGGAGGGGCGGGGCAGGGGGGCTACTTGGGCGGGGGCGGCGGCGGGCTGTCGAAGAGGGAGGGGGGGCAGGGGACGGGAGGGGACAGGCTGGGGGCGGTCGGGCCGGGGGGGAGGGCGGAGGAATACAGAGTCGTCGCGGGGTTGACGCTGTACAAGGTCCAGACGAACATCTACCTGCTGGACTTCCACAAACGAGAAGGAGACCAGTTCACCTTCATGGTAAGCCTCTTGCTCCCCACCCGTTCCTAACGAACTGGTTGTTTCACGATTTTTGTTTTTCGTGTTGCGTTTTCTGGGGTTGTTGGTTGCCTGATGCGTAGCAGGTTGTTTTACGCACGTGCTTGATGACTGATGCACGTGTCGCCTCCACCGACCGCATGCTCTCCACCCCGTCTTGGTTCGACCTCTAGACGGACAGACCCTACCGTAAGGCCAAGCCCCACGACTTGTCGCTTGACGCAACCGCCGTTTAGCCCAGTTGCCCAAAGGCCACTCAAACCGACCGTAGCATGCCACTGGGCAATCGTGGTCTTGGGGGGTATGAACTGCTGCTGCTGCCGCTGGACTTGTTGTCATTGCTCTTTTACAAGCGCACACGCTTGTTTCCTGCTGTTCCGTTGGTGTGTCGGTGGTGCTTGTTCGGGACCCGCTAATATACCAATGTTTACGCCTACATGTTTGATACACTGCACCGCTCTTCACGCGTTGACATTTTCTAATAACTCGCATGTTTCACGTCCATTCCTCGCATGCTCCGCAAAAATGTTGCAGACGCTGTGCGCGAAAATCATCATCCAGCTCAAGACTCTCAGCGCTCAAAGTAAAATGCAGGTCACCGGCCGCCTGCAGGTAATACATCGGCTTCTTGGATGCGATCGTAGGGGATATGTTTTCGAGCTGTGATGTACGTAGCGTACCATGCCACCGGACCGGTGGGATGTAACACTGCTTGCAAGGTTTGGCGACTTCGAGGTCCCTTGTCCTGTATTTGATGTAGAGAGGAGACAAAAAAACAAATTCATTGGGACACAGCGTCGTCCATGAGTTAGTTTCGCAGTCGGCAACGACGTATACAGCGCGACACAGGCGTTTGGGAAGACAGCAGCAACACGCACAGTAGTGCACGCGCGCAGCCGTGGCGACATCGGTCTTGACCTTTTCATCATACAAAGAACGCCTCTCGTGTGAAGGAAAACGTGAATTGTGTAAGGATGTCGATGTTGCCGTTATCTTGGGTATATCGAGAACTGTGTCCCGGCTGCCCGTGTATTCCGGACCCGTGATGGGTGATCCTGACCATCACGACGAAATATTGATGCTTGAGCGGGGACGCGTCATGTCGATGTAGGGCTGACATTCGATTTTTTGCGCTGGGCACGCCGTGGACAGTCAATATGGTGCATGTTGTGTGCAGATCTCTGATGTTACCGCCAACCGCTGCCGCCGCTGCTGTCCCTGCTAACGCATCTCAGCAAGTGAGCCCTCAGGCCATGGCACCACAACCTCAAGGGCAGGCAATGGCCATCCCGCACATGCACGGCCAGCAGCAGCAACAGCAGCAGTACCGCCAAGCACAGGTGTCTCCCACAGCAGGACAGCAGCAGCAGCATCAACACCATCCGCAGCAGCAGCAGCAGCAGCAGCAGCAGCAGCAGCAGCAACAACAACAACAACAACAACAACAACAACGTGGCGGTGGCGGTGGCGGTGGCGTCGCGGCGGGTTTCCACCATCCTGGTGGCGTGCAGCCGATACCACAATACCGCATACCAACCCATCAGCAGCAACAACAAGCACGAGGGGCACCGATGCTGCAACCGCCGGTCATGGCGCCGACGCACCAGCGGATGCAACAGCACGGGTACGGCGGGCCAGGGGCGGCGGCGCCGCCACCACCACCACAGCAGCAGCAGCAGCAGCAGCAGCAGCAGCAGAGATCCTCACCACACCAATACGACTGAGGGTCTCGCGACTGCCAATGCGAGCAGGGAACAACACGAGGACAGCACTGTTCTTGGAGATGGTTGGTGGTGTAGTTCGTTTTTTCCCGCATTTTGTAATGGATGTGTTTTGTCTTCTTCCGTGGGGTTTGCTCGTTGAGGTGCATAGCCTGACACGGCGTTGTGATTTTCCAACAGGGTTCGTAGGGGGGGGGGGGGGGGAGCGACAGATGGGGAAGGGGGGGCAATTGTCTGGAGCAACATACCCAACGATGGTCAGGAGGGCATGGGATTTTGAGAGGACCACCTGCAATAATGTTTTCATGTGGCCGCCGGCCGTTATTCGTGTTTTTCGAATACTGCTGTGAAAGTGTAGCGCAAACGCGCAAACACAAGATGAGGGAAAAGGGCGCGGGATGATGCAACGACGTGTTTCTTTTTTGTGGAGGTAGCGAATGAAGTTGTTTTTTGCGCGGCGTTGTTGCAATTGTGGACGGAGTCGCGTGTTAACGGCAGCTACAATACGGAAGGATGTTTTTGAGTGTTGTGGAGCGCGTGGAGCGATTGGTGCCATGTTTCCCGCCAAGCCTCACGCACCTGCTGTGTTCTTTTCGAACCAATATGAAGTGAGGAAGAATCCTTTTGCGAGGTAAACAGTGAGGCTGGCGGCGGGATGCAGTGCGCGCTAAGCGAGATGCAGTGCGACGCGTGGGAGCTACCCCGTTGCGCTCCGTCTAGAGGGAACCAGTAACACATCATACTACACATTTTGAACATAGATAACAGTCGGAGCCATCCATCGATCGGTGAGTTGTTGTTTCTGATGGAAGAGCGTCTGGTGCACTTGGTGCCCAGTCGCCCCGCCGGAAACGCTGCTGCGAACGTCTTGCGGCGTTCCGTGTAGCAACAGCTCTACGACCAATCGTGTTCCATCGGACACCCGAGGCGTGTAGGGGGTTTGAGGATGGCCAGCATTCGGGAGTGACGACACCGATCGTGTTTGCCTGTATTTTGGCGGCACCGTGCGCTGTCAAGGCATTGGGCGGGATGGTTTGGTCCTGGGATATTTCCTTGAGGCAGACGGGGAGGATGTGGGTATTCAGACCTCAGGGGGGACAGACAAGCAAAAGGAGTGTTACCACAGAAGGGAAGTGTGTTTCAGGGTGGTGGTGTTTTTGTTTGTTTTCCGTCAGGTTTGTGGCGTACTTGTGCTTGTGCTCCACCCTGCCACGCCACGATTTGACCCGACCACCACCAGAGTGCACTGGTCTTGTATCAGAGGGATGCGAAGTGTGTAGCGCTGTAGGGGTAAGCGAGGCGTCATATATGTGGAGCAAGTGGACCCTGATGGTTCGGTCTGGAACAGTGTGGTAGTCCGCGACGTGGCGTGAGGACGAGCATCGACCCTGAACCGGATGTTTATTGTGTCTCGAAACAGGCGTCCTCAGTCTGTAGCAGCCCCGTTGTATCAAGTATCATGGTGAGATTTATGGTATCGACCAGCGGTAATGTTTTTTTGCCAAAAGCAGCGGCATTGTACGGCCAAGAGGTGGCAGCGAGCGTACGATCTATCGCAGTCAAACGGTACAACGTTAGTGAGTGCGGATGCGAAGCAATCGTGTGTGCCCGCCCTGCTGCTTCCGTTGGCTACTTGTGTTGGAAGTTGGAAAAAGACGAGGAACAGAACCCCGGTGTTGCTAACCGGGCACGTTCCGTTTTGTATGTATTTCGGGGGTGGTGGTGGGGCTGCGTAGTTGCCATAGCGTTAACGTTTGCTACTACTGACATGAGACACGGTTGGTTTGGTGAGAGTAGAGCAAAATGCGGAATACACCGCAAGGCAGCGATGTGAGAACCCCCCGGACGCATATGCGAGAAATATAATTGCAAAGCGAAGGAGATTCCATTCTTAAGGAGGGATTACGTGCGGCTCACGCGCACGGCGGTAACTGCTGCTGGTGATGTCGGTTTTGTGCTGCCGGCGAAGGAGAAGGCGTTCCGTGCCGTAGAAAAACAGCCAAATCTAGAGACCTCCTCGCGACGGGCAGTGACTGGTCGTCGCAAGCAAGACAGACGGGTCTTTTTATAACACAACAAAGAAAGACGAAGTTCGTGCGATCTTGTATTCAGAAAACGTGGATCGTTCCGTGTGTGCCATGTAGACTCTAGCTGTGCCATAACCTCCATGCAGAATCAATGCAAGAGTGCAAACGTCATGCGTGCGATCGATGTTGAAGCTCGACTGGTGCACAACCAAAGAGGGGCTTTTGGGTAGAAGGGTGTTTTTCTTGGTATATGCCGTCGTCGACAGCTACATGTACATTTTCCTGCACTTTTTAGAGTTGTCGGTCGACGTTCGCACCCTCTTGTTGGTGCAGCACTCCGTAGCGGCCGTGGATGACTGAGCAAGAGGTGTACCTAACACTCGCCTGCGTGCCGGATTCTTTCGTCCACTGTCCGACCGAGATCATTAACTCATGAACGCAATACACTCTCGCCATGGCACTTCGAAACAAATACGTTATTGGGTTGATTTCGCCACTGTGCGTGCGCCCGCACGTTTTCGGCACCCTGCCTCCCGCCAGCGCACGGTTGGGCTGACCATATCCATCCAGTCGTTAATATGTATATTCCTGTGCTTCGGCAGCATACTGTTTCCCTGCTTTTACACATTTGAGTCGTGACCTAGATGAACCTCGCTGTCTCATCTGTCTTCTCTCGGTAGATCTATTCGGTGCGAAGCGTCAACCTCACAACTAACCAAAACCGGGTGAGCATGGTGACGACTTTTGACTGGTCACAACGAACAGCTGCCGTTGCGATGCTTCGCGCAAACAGCAATAATGCAACTGCCGCGGTGGTCGTGGTGCCCTCTCATGAAACGGTAGATTTATTTCCAACAAAAAGCGACAGGTGGTATGCGACGAAAAGACAAACTTGATGTAGACTACCCTCAGAGCTCCAGGGTTTGCAACGCATATATCTAGCTAGACTTCCATTGGAGACATGAACGCGGGTCCTGCAAAGGCACTTTTTGTCGATACAGTAGTGGTTTTCGAAGTCTGAACTACAGTAGCACATAAAGTCCGAAAGCGACGAAAGGAGACCCATGGGCGGACAGAGTGGAACATCGGCTGCCCTTGGGTCCCTATTGTACGTGCCCCGACGTGCTCGGCACCGCACACACCCGCAGAAAGCCGGCGCCTCGGTACTAGCTCATGTCCTTCTTGGTCAGGGTTAAGCTCTAGAAGAAACGGGGTCTGGCAAGCGAGAGAAACCGACATGGGTGAAAGGAATGGGGGAGGAGGAAGTGAGGCCTGAAATCAGGTCCGAGGACCTGTCGAAGGATTGAAGGAACGGTGCCGATTCCGTGGGTTTAGCAGGTACAAATCAAAGTTTGAAACCACGAGGGGCGGGATAAAATATGCCATCCGTAGAGTGGAAGGAGAACGCTCTCACGGCATGAGTTGGCTGGGGCTGAACGGCGGCCGCCGAACGTGTGAGTATCTAGCGTGGAGGCAACAGCAGCAGCAGCAGCAACAACGACAACATCAACAATGTCAACAAAGAATGTGGTAACAGCACATCGCTTTCGGGTGGAAGGAGGCTCGCCACTGGCAGCACGCGGAGATGGGGGTTGCAAGGAAGATCTGAGAGCAAAACAGCTTGCAAGTCCCCATTTATCTACTAAGTGTACATGATTTTGGCGTAGTGTAGTCGTGCATACCGTCGCAAAAGCCACCAACAGATCAGCACTCATGCACTTGTAGTTTACCACCGCAACCAGCCACAAAGAAACCGCCTTGGCAGTAACCTCCACATCACCCGTCTTCACTTAAGCCAGCGTGTTCTATTGGAAACATTCGAGGGCCTCGGTATGTAAGCAGCAGTTGTATGTAGATCACAAATATCCCACGCTTGTCTGGAACACGCCAGCACCAACCTTAGCACCTAAGATACCACGGCGGTCTAGTCACGAGCAATTCGGTCATCATCGTCAACAGGGCGATCCCCGATGGCCGTGCTCGCCTCCACTTTTGTCAGCTTGCCACGGCCGCAGCTTCCCCATTTTGTGTCCAAGTCGGTCGCCATTTTGCTGCCCGCAGCTGTAACCTGGTTGGGGTGAGCTCGGCGTGAGACCAGATAGTTGCGGCAAACCGGTGCCTTGTCAGGCGGCGTTGTTCGAGATCTCGATCACATCCGCCGTTTTTTTCTCATCGATTGTCTCGCCCGCTCCTGGCCTCAGCAGACATCAGATCCATCATAACTGCAGCTCAATATTTCAACTCCGCATGGGGTGGCTGCATCGTGGATGGAAGCGCTGTGTTTGTTGTCCTCCCCATCTTGTACCTTGACACCTTCACCGTTGTACCAAACGCGGGTTGACGAGGACCGAATCGGGAAACACGGCCCACGGCCGGCGTTAGGAACACGGTAACGCCACTCGTTCATTGTTGCGATGTTTTCTCTAACGTTGATGAGCATACCGAACGCTCCCGCCCTGTATCATAACCCGCGAGTTGAAGGGGTACGGTGCCGACAGCACGTGTGCCCACTTGTTTTTATTGCTCCGCGCTGAATGCATACTGTAGTCCAATTCGAATACGCCTACGTGGCCGTCCATGTACATAAGACAGCTCTGTTTTGACCGCGACAGACAACGTGGAAGCAGGGTGTTGTTTGGGCTCCGTTGAACAACAAAAGGCTACTCAAATAGTTTTTCGGTACCCTCGCCTACCTCATGTTCAGCAGGAGGCGCGATAATATGAACAAGACGGTTCACCGTGCTTGGCGCCTGCGGACGCTCCATTCTGGAGCGAATGTCCATGAGCTCTTCATGGCCACACCGAACGGAGTCATGCAAGGCGTCCTCGGTCTCTTCCCCGGCCCCCACGACTTTCAATTGGGCCTCATGTAGACCCCGATCTCGTTGATGGAGGGGCGCCTCCACGTGTGTCCTTCACTTCGGCAACCCGATCCCCCTGTGTCATGGGTGAAGGCTTCGGATTGCAGGTCTAAGAGTTCCTCTTCTGCTTCTCGAGATGCGGGCTTCTTCCTCTCTATCTCTCTCTGGTGCCGTCCGTTGTTTCAAACAGCAGTACACGACCTCACACTATTACTGCACGATCTACTCTATCTCGTCTCCAGTTGCTGACCTCGCCGCCCCATGACTTTGGTGCGTCATGGTCGTAGACACGTCGTGCCAGAACTTTATCGGTCTGTTCGGGTAACATGGTTGCATGTTCCTTCACACCCCAAGCTACGCCATAGCTTGACAGCCTCGCTAGACCATGGGACCAGATGATTGGATGGATCAGGCTTTACACATACATGCGGGATGCGGGACATTACGCGGACGGGACTGTTGAAAACAGCCAACGGGCAGGCAACGTGAAAACCAGAGATTCGAAGGTGTGAAGGTGTGCTTGCTTTGCGGTACCCTCTGGTACGCTTCGTGGTTGTCATCGTCGCCGGTGCCACGCACTGCGCACGGCACGACACCACAATATACCCAGCAGCTTACTCTCCCCTTCAAAACACCGCATCGAGGAGGTAGGGCATTTTTACCCTTCACCGTTGGACCCAAGGTGACCTAGTTTTTTGTCATGGTGTACAGCAGTAGACTATTGCTGCACTGGTGCTCGGAAATAAACCTGCAACATGGCAAACCAAGGCCAGCAACAGCAACAACAGCAGCAAAGGGCCCCAAAATCCAGCAACCAGCTCAGTTTTAGGGCGAACCTGCAGGGGACGGAGAAAATCATCTTCGATCTCGTCTGTGCTGGGACAAGCAGAAGGCAGTGGGCGGAATGGCTGCGAACTCCGCCGCCGGTGCGGGCAACCTTGATCTCGTGACTAAGCTCCAGGGAGCTGGGGCGGGCGGGAGTGCTCTCCATCTGGCGCTGAGAGCAGGCCAGGACGCACTCGCGCGAGATCTGTTGAGGCTGGGAGCTCCCACGAAGGCGAAAAGCAGCAACGGCGACACACCTCTCCACCTTGCTGCCGCCAGTGGCCTCGGCGATGTCGTGTCCTTGCTTCTTCGTGACGGGGCTGAAGTGGATGTGCTAGACAGCAAGGGCCGGGCGCCAATTCATCTCTCAGCGAAGCGTGGATCTCCATCTGCCGTTGAAGCTCTGTTGGCGGCCGGTGGAGACCCGAGCTTGCGGTGCGGGAAGGACGAGGCGTTTTCGACGTTGGGTCTGGCTGCTAGAGGTGGGCATGTTGAGGTCATGCAAGCGTTGATTCGGCACGGAGCGGACGTGAATGCCCCTGACTCGAACGGCTGCACGGCCTTGCACACTGACTCGAACGGCTGCACGACCTTGCACTCGGCTGCGATCGGGGATAAGGTGGGAGCCATAGATACACTCATCGAAGCTGGGGCAAATATCAACGTTCAGGGTGGCAAGTATGATGACGCACGGTCCACACCTCTGCACATGGCGAGCAAGAAGGGTTCATCCGAAGCCGCATTGTCGCTTGTGAAACACAGAGCGGACGTGCACAGGTTAAAAGGCTATGAGCGCTACTCCGCCCTTCGCCTGGCAGCTTGCAGTGGCCACATCGCGATCGTGAAAACGCTCCTGGCCGCAGGTGCGAACGTCAATCTTCGTCCCGCAGCCTTATGCGAGTCAGCGTTGGACTCAGCGCGTTCGGGAGGGAACGCCAACGTCGTGACGACCTTGATCCAGCACGGAGCGATAGTCGATGCTACAGACTCACGTGGGCGCACGGCCCTGTTCAACGTCAGCCGGGAAAACACCGTGGCTGTGATCGACAAGCTTGTGGCAGCCTGGGCTTCTGTCAACGGCATAGTGGACCATTACGGTAGAACACCCCTCCATCACGCATGCTTGGATGATTACCCTGGAGCTGTTGTCTCGATGTTGCGGCACGGGGCTCGTGTCGAGGTGAAAGCTAATAATGGTGAGACACCTCTTCATGCGGCATCCGCGTCGGGATGCTCCGAAGGGATTCGCGCGCTTGTACAGCATGGGGCAGATATCAACACGATTACCGCCGAAGGCCTCACGCCGCTCTCCTTGGCTGCCGAGAACAACTGGGATGGCTCTACGAAACTCTTGTTGGACGCTGGGGCAGACGTCAACGCTCCCGCTAGAATCACCGATGAATCACAGGCTCTATCCTTAGCCGCCTCTCGCGGGTGCGTGGACGCCATAAAAGTCTTGATCCAGCACGGAGCGGACGCAAACGCAAGGGACACGGATGGGTATTCCGCTCTAAACCATGCCGCTTTGAGCTACCAGGTTGACGCTATCGATGCTCTCGTCTCGGCCGGGGCTATCATCGACGCACAGGAGAATCATATGAGTGCACCTCTAGCCATCGCGTTTCGATCGGCTTTTCATGGTGGCAAGAAGAAGGACAACCGTGGTTCTGAGGGGTTCGCAGCTATGATCGCCTTGTTGAAGCACGGGGCCGACCCCAACGTCCGGAATGTACAAGAAGGCTCTCAGCAAACGTTGCTCTATACTGCCTAGGCTCCGAGTGTCCAAGTTCCGTGCTCCGGGAGTTTATTGCTGCCGGTCCGAATCTTGACCCCCGTGACGATGAAGGATGCACTGCGCTGCATGCAACCCGACACCACCCCGAAGCGCTGTCAGCACTACTTCGGAGCGGGGCGGATATGGAAGCGCAAGATTCTATGGGTCAGACCGCGGTGCACGAGGCTGCCGAGAGCGGGAACGTGCTCTGTATCGATGTCCTCGTCAGTGCCGCAGCCGTCACAGATGTGAAAGACATGAGAGGTTGCACGCCTTTTCACATCGCCGCTTGGAACCGTCATCGAACCGCCACGTTGGCCCTCCTACGAACCGGTGCAGATATTGCTTCGGTGGACAACGACGGTCGCTCATCGTTGCACCTAGCGGTGACTGACAGGCTTTGACCTGAATTCTTCCGACGTTGCCTCAACTGTGGACCTGCTGTTGAGATGGGGGTGCCGACGAGAATGCTGTCGACTCTACCGGCGACACGCCGGCCTTCAAATGGGCGATAAATGCGCCAGAACACCATGTTTCGTGGAAGAACAACAAATCTGTGCGTAAGCTGTTTAAACGGGCACCGAGAGGGACAAAGCGTGGCGCCGACGCGGCTGGTTGGTCCTATGCCGAGCGTTTCGAACCAGGGTGCAGCTGAAGTCGGAGACTGCTCGGACTTGCCCTTCGTTGGTCCGGCGTGTTCGAGCGCGGAACGCTGGTGCTGAGGAGTGGCTTGGCAGTGGAAATGTTCCCGCTCCTGAAAAAGCTGATGTACACACGGCAGACGCATTGACACTTGAGGGACGGCTTGAGTGCGTTGGTGGCGAAGGTGGTGGGTCTGCACGAGGAAGGCGTGTTCCGGGCCATCGTGGAGTTTGTTTGACATCCGTCGGTGAGTGGTAACTGATACCGACTTTTGCATGTTTTCCGGCATCCCAGAAGCCTAACTGCCAGAGCATTTCGTTCTCGAGAAAATCAAACTCGTGCCTTGGATCGTCTTGTTGTATTGTGAAAGAAACGCATGTTAGTGATGGGGTCAAAATATGCGTTTTGCTATCCACCAGCCCGGCGTTGTCTTTTCGCTTTAGCCGTTGTCGAAGCAAATTCAAAATTTCAGCCAAAAAATGTGTATTCCCATCGAAAATACAAAACATTCTGTGTGTCTCACGACACTTCCTTGGCGCAGTCGAGGTTCTTGCACCGACTACGGAACGCGGTCGTTTAAACTGTTGCTACAAATCATCACCGGTTTGGTTTTTCAGGGATTTCTCTGCACTGGCTTGAACAACAGTAATATGAAAGCCACCCGCCCGAAACGTGCATAGGGTGCCTGTTAAGGTGTACAGCATGTCCACTATGCTATGAGAAGACTGTATGCCTTAACAAAAGTACAACCAGGATCCTTCAGCTTGCTAGAGCTGTTAGACCTCGGAACTAACCCCAGGGTCGTAATCCCTGTAAATCAGCGCTGCCCCATGCGGTTCATCGACATACAGGCGGGAATATGTGTCTTCACTTGGACGTCTGGAATGTATACCGTCTTTCAGGCGTATCCCAGACTTTTTTCCCGGAAAAGTCGTCACAAATGGTCCACGAGGGATTCGAACCCCGGTTGTACTTGTAGCGTAGTGGATATGCTGTATACCTTAACAGTGCCTCTTGTGGAGTGGTTGTTAGAGACCGTGAGTTGCTGGGAGGTTGAGAATGGAATTTGGAAAGAGGGTCGACTGCTGTTCGAAAAGACCACCGGCACACCTCTCTGCCAGGTTTTTGCCCCCGTCACCGGTCTTGGAGAAACTGCACGAATCAATAGGTTAGCCAAAGAGACTCGCCCGTAGCTGTGTGTGTGGTGGCTCTTGTGTTGTGGTTGACATGAGACCACGACGCGCTGGGAGGGTGAGAAACGAACTTGGCAAAGTTCGACTCCTATTCGAAAAATGACATCTGCTTGTTGCTGGATGGGCAGGTTTGTTGCCGTGTCACTGGCATTTTTTAGCTATCCCTCTCAACTGACCCAAGCAACAGTAATGGCACAGCCCGTCCGACCGACAACAATTGATGGACGTCACTTCTTCGCAAGTTTTAGCAGGAGGGCAATCTAGCGAGCGAGAAAATGAACCCTTTGTCCATCGATGCGTGTGTATGTGTTGGAATGATGTTTTTTTGTGGGTTTGAACAAGCGGTGTGTGTGTGAACATATCAGCGTCTGGGATGGCAGCAAAGTAGTGCTCGTAGCTCTTGATGAGCTCGCTACGACCAGTACTTGCTACGCAATCGATGGTTTTGCCCGTATGGAGACCATTTCCAAACGCGAAATACGAACAGGCAATCCGCTAAGAAATTGTCATCATTCCGAATGGATGCCCGCTTGAACACGTGAAATCAGAGATGTGCGGCCGAAAATGAGTAATTTCCGGTAGCGGAAGAAAACATTGTTGTCCGAAATCGGAAATGGCACACTATTATAGACTATTTACCTGCGGTTTCCGGACGCTTTAGAAACCGCCTTACCACGGCGACTTGACAAAACCGGATAATGCACTGCTTTTGTGAACGGATCTCAGGAAGAGGACGCGACATGTTTGAAAAATGCCGATGCCACAGCGAAAGAGTCACCATAACCTCAAACCCCCTTCCAGGTGAAGGTCGTTCATCCTTCAAGGATCCTGAGGCAGACGCCCTCGGTCTTTGCCTATTCACAGCGTTTGATCAAATATCCCAGTGTCGTAAATTCGACGAGGTGATGTCTTTCACCTCCGGACGGCTGCCGCATAAAAGAGCATCCTGGCATGCGACTCCGTTAGTACGTCCTAAACTCCTACTGTCTATAAGTCACCTTGTGGTTTCCCTCTCTTACAGTGTAGTACCATGCCGCGGCCGGAGGGTGATGGATGTACACACGCTGTGGTGCCGCCGCCATCAGTTAATCAGATTACAACGTGCGCCCACCTGTAGTTTCGCGCGCATCACCCAGACTTTGATCCACCCCTTTGCTGCAGGTTACATTGTCTGCTTGAGGTATCGCTATGTCATTTGGGGTGCAGCACCCGATTCTACTTCCGCCTCCAGCCTCTCTGAGTATGTAGCATGTCAAAGCACCGCGCGCTGGCGAGGAGGGAGAAACTACTCGAGGGGAATAGTTTGCAGCCTCAATTGTCTGACATGATCACCTTGCGTTCCTTGCTCGTGCGAATCCTCCGTCCGCAGTGCCTCGTGTTCGCGTGGTGAGCTGGAACAGCTGTACTTCATGCTCACTCATTCTCTCTCGCGAAAATGCTTCAGACTACCAATGGACACGCGGTGAAACACATATATCTGGGATCTACTAGGGGCGGCCACCACGCACAAATCGGGCTTCTTGTGGGTCAGGATGCTGTATCAGCCCGTACGGCGACTCTTCTTGGCGAACGTACGGGATTGAACGACCTTCCGCCGTGATTTTGTCCGTCCGCTTTCCACCTGTCGACCGTGTGCTCGTATATCATGACTGACTGCGGTCGGTCGTCGTTTTGCGCCCACGATTATCGTTGTGGGAGGGTGCGCTTGGGTTGCTCACATGGTGTTCTGGCAGCAAACATTTTGATCGAGGTTTGAGCACAAGTAGGTGTGCAATGCCAGCACTTCAAATGGGATCAAAATTAGGACGATTGGACTATAACAGTCCACATCGCCGTGTGCCTACGGAGGCGGTCGAACTGTGTACAACGGCTCAAACAGCGAAACAAGGTGCATGCCAATCGATACCTGGTACATGCGGGGCGGGCCAAGTGGGATATGCGTAGCTTGTTTCACCGACGGAGGAAATAAGAAAATCAATACAGGGCTAGAGAGAGCGACAGCTGAATCAGACGCGGATCGGAGAACCATGTTGCAACCCGTAACCGTGGGAATGAGCACATGCTCCCGCGATTTGCCTCAGATTGGAATTCACTGCTGCTGTACCTCGCTTGTCAGAGCAGGTATGCCTGAAAGGGCACACAAAAAGTGTTCTCGTTTCACGCCCACCTCAATCTACAAGTTTCCCAGTGTATGGTGGAAGGTGGTGAGTGCTTCAGCCTTCAATCAGGGCAAGAGGCGTCAAGGGCAATGAATGCCGGAATTGTGCAGTACGTGGCAATCACATCAGGGATGAGTGTGTGGAGGTAAAGGGCGGAAGTCAGACGCTTGCTGCTGCAGACACGGCGTAACACGTGTTATTTTCACCCACTTTCCGCCTGCCCCTTGTCGTGCAGTGGGTGTGTCGAAGCAAATGCTCACCCGAGGCAGGACAAGCGCACCCGGTAGTCACTAGGGTTAACCCCCTCTCCCTCTCCCAGCAAGAGGCGACCTCACTATTTAATTTCCGACGTCATTCGATCGACGGCAGAGACAGGCGATTCGCCCACAATAACGCATACAACACGTGTTTCGATCGTGCAAGCTAAGGTAGCACATGCCGCAAGAAGAGGTGCTGCGCCCGGCTCTCGCCCAAAAATCACCGGTCTCCGGACGCAAGGAACAACATCAAACCCAAAAGGCTATACAACCGGCGGCTCTGAGTCCGGGTCCGCCTCCTCCAATCCCAAGTTCTCCTCCTGCGCTATCAGCACCCGAACTGCTGCCGCAAGCTCCTCCGGCCGGTATACCACCGCCAGCACAAGCGCGGCCAAGCCCATCATCGGGATGACCGTAAGCGTTAGGGCCAGCGCGGTCCGTACCAACCAAGATATCGCCTTAAATACGAAGACTACTAACGACCACAGGAACACCTGGTGAGGAGATCATAGATAGATGCGGTCGGCGGCCGAGAACGGGGGAAGCAAGCACGCGCGGCGAGGGATATGTTTGCGGTCATACTGTAACCTTGAACAGAGGCGGGTGAACGCAGGTCCCTCGGACTACTTGGAAAGGGATGGGGGCATTCCCGAGGTGGGGTTCAAGTCACTTGGCGAATTAGTTTTCAGCTCAAAGGGAGCGCGCGCGCCAGTAGAAACTTGTATCTCTGGCTGTTACCGGTATTTGAGAGCCGGCTGCACACCCAAATCAGCACTTCAGTCACAAGAGCAGTGGCGTGTCTTTGTCGAGGAGATATTTTGTAATTTTCAGCCCCAACACGGGTGTGAGGTATGCCATGTTGTAGAACAGTTGCGACGCAAATCAGGGTCCTATCGCTGCCGCCCCGTTTTGCAGTCCATCGAAAAATCGCCAAAAAATAAAAATGTCTTCAACAATCTTGGAAGCACGTCCCCTCATGAATAATGCTCACAGGAATGGCCGTAGCTTCGTAAGAGCTCTGGCTGTAGTGGCGATCCAAAACTACGCACACTCGATCAAGAAGGCGATTGTATCAGCCGCAACATGCAAAAGCGGCAGAGCTGTCGGTGCATCCTACGGGCCACACCAACGACCTCGCGTTCGACCTTTCGGCTTGTTCAAGACGAAATCGGAGGTGATTTCATGCGGTGAGCTGGTCTCCCTGATTCCTCCGCTGATGAACCTTTTACTGCTGTTGGGCGTTCATGTCGATTGTGATCCTCGTGATGGCCATCTAGAATTACGCAATCCGATGCGTCCCATATGCCTATCTGCAATACAATCTAAAGGCCTATCGCCAACCGCTGGGTGGCTACCTTCTTTCCTTGGCCCACACCAAAAGCGCCAACTTCGTCGTTTGGAAGCTGCGCGTGGGCATTTTTCAAACGGATTGCCGAGATGTCATCACGCAGCATTTCTTCAGATGAAAGCAACGCAACTACATGTACATGAAAAGTGTTATCTGATGAAGAATAGGACCATGTGTGAGAGCTTCTCTGTCATTGTGCTCGTCCACCACCTCTGCAAGGGCCATGGCGACGATGAAACTGATGCCCTCTTGGGCGTAGCCGGATATAAAATCGGGAGAGATTGAAAACAGTATTTTTCCGGGAAAAGCTAGCAAAGCTTTCGAATTCGAAGACATGAGTTTTTCAATTTCCCACAGACGGAAACACGTCTATATGGACCGAGGGTAACCAGTCGCACTCACCATCATTTGCCGAACCGCTAGCTTGGTGGCACTCCCTGAGGAACGCGATCGTCCGTCGACCAATTGAGGAACAAATGATAATTGTCGAGGAAACGAAAATCGGGTCCGTGGCGAGCAAAGGCATCGCGGACACCGGAGGGAAGGTCGGTTTAGAGCAGGCGACGATCATGCCGAAGAAAGAACGAAAGTGCCACACACTTGTAGTAAAATGAGCCTGGTGAACGCCCGGAAGGTTGCAGCCAGAACGGGTTTGTCACCTGGTAGGCACATACAGCAACAAGTGCTTGCAGGTGACAAAAACAACGTTGGACGAAAAATATTACCTTCACGAAACACTCTAAAATACTATAAATACCCACGTTCACGTCTCGTGGTCATGCCACGCACTAATCTTCGACATCGTCTACATGGCGACTAAGGACTACACGACAACCTGTATCCTCACCCTGAGACTTGAAGAGGCTTATCTTGTAGTCTGCCGAGCCGGCAAGCAAGTCGTATCCCCCAAGCGCTGCCCCCACCTCCCTCGACGCAAACCCCAGGCCCGTCACTGGCAGGTCGTGGGCAGGATACTCCATGACCTTGTGTCAAAGGTGGCATGAAATGTTGGTAGGCGTTGGGACGGAGGACCGGATGGGCCACACGGCGAAGGTAGAACGAGGACTATTTTACAATAGAAGGTTTGGAGTCAAGAGGAGGTGTACCGACTACACGGAGCGCCCGAGGTGGCCGGAGGACGGCACACGCTCTCGAGGCAACTTACACCCAAACGTTTGGAGGTCACGTGTGCCCCTGGTAGGTTGTATGGCAACTTGAACCGCGGGTTGTACGTCTGTGGTGGCGTTAGCCGGTGTATTCCCGTGTAATGCTTGCTTCTCCGCGGACCCACCCACCCACCCTACCCTACCCTACCTCATGCCTACACCGCACAGCCCGGATCATACGCACTCCTCTCTCTTTCTGGGGAACATCAAATCACACAAGGCATGCATTACCTTCGCAAACCCGGGTAGCCGGTAGACGAGCACCGTCCCCTCCACGTTCCCCACCGCTAGGCGAGCGCCGTCGCTCCGGACGGACAGCGAAGTCGCCGGGTGCGGCGACACGAGCGACACCTTGACCGGCTTGACCTCACAAGCGACCCCCCTGCCCCCGGGGGCGTCGTCGTCCGGCCGCACCGAGTACCTCCACTCAGTGACGTAGGCGTTGCCACGCCCCCCGCTCTGCACAGAGAATATCGCGTCTGGCTTGTCGGGAGAGAAGCAGCAGGAGCGGCACATGATCACCGGGGCCTTCGCGGTTGATGCGGTCGGAGGCAGGCCGGACGTGGTGGGCAACAAAGCCGCTTCGGAGCCTCGCTCGCAGTCCCACAACCTTTGCCAAACAGGGGGTTGAAAAGACAACGAGTTACCGTTAAGGTGGCAATGGGACAGAGTCGACGTTGCGGCGAAACCCTCGTGGAGTTGAGAGGACACGGAAAACGGCTCCCTTCGTCAATGAAACACCGAGAACCGATGGGCGGCTGCGCGTGTGCGCCTGCACGCCTCATGTTGTCCTCTGCATACATGGATCAAATGGACGGCCAAGGTACGCATGAACCGAACACACCAAACAGATCCCAAGCGGATAAATCGAACCATCAGCTACAACGTGCAACCCCTTTTGTAACGCTTACATGAACTTTTCGGGGGGGTGTTTACACAAGTGCGCATCGAAAACACAAAAACGGTGGCACGGCAGCAGGACACGCGTGTTCGAGCAGCACACCTGCAGGTACCGTCTTTCGAGGCAGTGAGCACCAACGCCCCTGAAGGGTGGAATCTCACGCACGTCACCGGCTTTTCGTGCCCTTTGCATGCGTGCACCATATGTACCGAAAGCGACGGTGGTCTTTCGCCCTCTCTCCCATCGCCGCTACCTGCTGCTGAAAGGGCAAATACGTGTGAGAGAAAAAAACAGGAGCGAGTAGGGTCAGCGTGAGGAGAGCACCGGTGTGTCTCGTGGTTCCGCCATCCCAAACACCCAGAACAAGATGAGCTATTTAGCTCAGTCGCAAGGTACACCGAAATATTATCTCGAGTTGGGCCCCCTCCTAGCAAACATGGGGTTCGGGTAAACATGAACGTGCCCGGATAGGTGGGTCCACACTTTCCAGCACCATTAGGACAAGCAACATGCTCCATGTCGTTCACTGCTGTTCTGTCACAAGGGAGCTTTTCCCCAATCACGAAGAGTAGTTGACCTGTGGGAGAGGGTTGTCAAGGCCGCCCTGTAGTCTTCCCGAAAAATATGTTCTGGGAGTATTCCACCCAAAACTCATGTTATTTCCAAAACAGAGCAAAGCACTTGCTGGAAGCTGATGATTTCGGCTAGGCCCACGGGAACAACGACGGAGCCCCCTACGTTCAACCGTTCTCGGGGTCGTTTTGGGCCTTTTAATATGGTAAGGCCGTACCGGGTACCTACACCTGGGCCCTCGATTCATCCTTCGCGGCTCTACCAGCTACTCTCGGTCGGGCCGAACCCGTCGATTTGGGAGTACCCGGTGGCGTCGCGCATAAAGAGCTAGATCTCCGGGCCGTTTTCTTTGGTCGCGCTGCTAACATGTAAACTTGCAGCATGCTCCGATCCACTACCAATTCATTTGCAAGTCGTTTCTGAATGTTCATTACTGCGGCCTGCCGCTTCCTTCACCCTCGGCAAGGAGCGTGCCCCGATTTCGAGGGCTGTGGTTCCTTGTGAGGGGCTCTGGCGATGCGTAACTGAACACCTCAAGCTCCAGTTCGGGTTGTACAAACGTGCCAACAGGACTGCTGTGCGCCAAAATGAACGTTTGGAGTTCGAGTTTCACCACCGCTAGTTAGAAGCCGTCGCCAGCCAAGTCGTGGAGGGGGAGCTCAAGCAGCTGCCAACGAAACACCAAGCATCCAGATTTGTTCTCTGATCAGAGTTCTGCCAGAAGAGACTTGATCGTGTTTTGCACATGCGGTGTCTCGCCAACAATGTACAGCAGTACTGTAGAGGACCACACCGATGCTTCGTGTCTCGGAATTTAACGGAGGTGTATGTGCTATCGACAGCTCAATAGCTTAAGAGAGGACCGGAGAAACACACGGGACTCTTCGAGTGCAAGTACTACCTTCAAGAGTCATGTTTAGACAACAAGGTACGGGTAGCTATTATGCATATTGTAGCACATACAGGGCTAGAGTCAAACATCTGCTGCCGCACTCACTTCGCGCGTCGGCGTGAAGCTCCCACACCCTCAAGACCCCGTCTTCCCCCCCGGTAGCCAAGAGCGTAACGCCTCCGTCCGGTTCTCGGCTACCGTCCCTGCCGCCGTTATTTCTGTCCAGGAACGCCATGGAAAGTACACCGCTCTCCTTCGTCGCAAAATCGGCCTGTCGTCGCCGTGGCGGAGCGGTGTAGCAACATTAACATCGTTGAGAATTAATGACCCTGAAAAACGAGCGGAAAGGTTTTTTTACGAGGCGAATCCTATCCAAACCGTTTCGGAACGGCGTTTGCATTCCCACAACTCTTGTTGATGTAAATCAACCCTGGGCAGCCTCAAAAACGCCGCCAAGCGATGTGTTGTGGGCTAGTCATTCGCGAGCCCGCATCTCGCGCAAACAACGGGGGAAATAACCCGTGAGGCGTGGGTACACAAACAACGCGCACTCGCAAAAGCGCATCACGCGGATGCCAGGGTGCCACGTGTACACCGTCTTAATCCCCGACAACGGACCCTAGCTCACACTGCTGTTGTGGCAGCGAGTGCCTTCGGAGCACTTGGGCGTTTCAACGAGTTTAATCAGCACGTTTTGATGAGGTAACTCAGATGGGCAGTCAAGCTCTCTAAGTGCAACAACACGCAGGGGATATTTGCTCTCTGATGGTCCATCAGGCAATGCCTACGCTGACCGAACACGTTCTACAGCGCAACCCCAGGTGCAGCAACAAATTCGCGTTTTTTAGTGGTGGGATGCCCGACTGCTGCTTTGTCTCACTTACCTCGACTTCCGCCAGCTGGTGGAAGCCTGAGGGGTTGCTGGCGTAGATGCGAACGTTCTTTCCGAACGCAGCGGCCAGGAGCTGACCGTTACCGCTAGCCGCGACGCAGTTGCACGTCTCGGGCGACGTCTCCAGCTCGTGCGCGATGGCATGGGAGGGTTGCTGGGCGCCCCCCTTGAAGGCAATCGAGGACTGCCGCGTAACAGACAGCCGTTCAGTTCAAAGGAACGACAAAAAGGATGGTTGTTATTGTAGAGAGCACTGCTGGTATCAACTGTCCTTCTTGATGCCTGTACATAGCTGTTTCTTGTTTCACTTTGATGTATTAGTTGCTTGTGTTTGGTTTCATTGGCGGGTGAAGCAATCGACTTGGCTTGTGACGAGTAAGTGAATGCATTTTGCACAACCTACAGCAGTTGAGGGTCACACAGGAGAGACGGTGAAATTACGGAGAAGCACGCGAAACCCGCACCGACAGGCGGCAGCTTGTTCCGCGATACCCCCTTGCGTGCACGTGTGCACATCTCTCAGACGATGCACAGAATGGGTATATGTAATACTGTAGCCTCACACCATTATGCAGCATCGTTGATCCTACAGGGATTTGGACGCGTGTCTTCGCAGGTCGTCACTTGCTCCGTGTGCTTATGCATAACAAGAACAGTTATTTCACGACCGAGGACAACCACGCCACCACTCAAACAAAGCCAAGGGTACGGCTACTGCTCCAACTTCGAAAGAATCACAACTGGCTGGGGCCGAGCAACCTGCTGCGCTGTGTTGCACACCAAAACGGCAACAACGTTCCGAGCACCTAACGGGTGTGTGCAAGTGCCCTCGGCAGAACAAACGGCTTGTGAACGACCCCCGGAATATACACACTAAACTCCCTCCTGTTCTCCTAGCACACCACGCAACGAACGCTGCTACGCCTAATGGGCAAGCAAGAGCACTCACAATCTTGTTCCCGACTCCCGTGTTACCAGCACCCCCGCCGCCCGCCGCGAGCACCGCTGGAGAAGAGGCGCCATTAGAATCCGTTGACTCCGACCATACCACCGAGAAGACCGGGAAGTTTACTATCGGAGGTTGATACATTTTATATCAGCAAAGCGACAACAAAGCTTCCGGCCTTTCCTTCCCGTTGGTGCCACCTTGTCACCAAGCGTGTGCAGCATGCGATGCGCGTGTCACGCAGATGAAAGGGGTGTGCGGCTGCCCATGGACGCCCAGCCATGGCCAACAGCAGCGAAGACAGAGGGGGCCTGCAGAGGGCGGTCGGCGAACAGGTCACTGAGAGCGGTACATTCGAGGTGCTGAGGGCAGTCAAGTCTGAGGGGCCTCTCAGTTGCTGCGGTGATGTCGCGGGATCTTTCCCGCAAGAGGTTTGGGGTTGAGGTTTGGTCTTGGAACTGGTCCAGTGCTGCTGCTGTGCACAGGGATACGGAAAGATCTGCATGATCGTACACGACGTATCCGGCGGGTTGCGCTTCTTCACTCGCCACCTATCGCCTCGCATCACGGGAGGCAAACGATGTCTGCGTCGAAAATTGAGTTCTACGTGTCGTGCAAGGTATGTATGTACAATGTACGATGCACTGACTGACCATGAAATCATCCTTCTAGACTTGAGTACGTATGAATTGCGTTTGTTGTCCGTGCATTGAGTGTCTCCGCTTGTCTGTCGTGCGTTCGCCTTGGAGAGGTATTGCTGTGGTGTTGCGTGTGGAGTATTCAAGGACTTCGAACGGCGGGCTTGTCTGTCGGCATCTTCACAGAGGAGGGACGTTTTTACCGTCTGCGTGAAGGGGGCCCGTCTGGAACTGGATATATTTCTGCTACACACGCCCGACCTTGAATGTCTATCTAAGTCGCAATTTGATGAAAAATATACGCGTAAATTCTGACACCCTTTGCAGTGGTTTTTATACCTCTATGCATAGGAGGAAGCGCACCCACAAAGGTCGTTTGCGGCGTGGTTATTATTGCGGATGGTCTTGTGTCTCCTACTGCTGTAGTCTGTAGCAGCACGACGGTTTGCGACGACAATGGTTGGTTGGATCGTGTATGCATGCATGTGCTTCTGATCGGAGCCCGGTCGGTCCGGAGACAGGGGGCAGGCGGGCGAACTCTCTGGCATCTCTCTCCAACAAGACCCGGATGCTCTCACGTAGTAGAGGACATACATACGTCACGCGATTGAATAGTGATCACGAGTTCGGCCGCGCGGCCCTGGACATAGCAGTGTGGTCTATTCACGCGCGCACACCACATGGTTGATGATGTTTGGCGTATGTTCGCCATGTGTACATACTGCATACGTCCATCACTTGTTGCTTGTTTTCGACCGTAATGCTTCGATTCATGTCCACACAGGGTCTCAAGAAAGCCGACGTTCTGAGCAAGTCGGACCCGTTTGCCGTCGTCAAGCTCGGGCATACCAATGAGGATGGCAAAGTCAAGTACACGTGAGTGACCTCGCTTCACAGCAGCGTGCATTCTCTCGTTGTGGATGTACATTGCTTGAAAGAAAGAGTTCGGAAGTCGTTCGTTGTTCATGGTGTGCAGGGAGAGCACGACCACGTAGCAGGCAAAGGTAGCACACTCATGTGAGCACATGGAGCGGAGCAGTGCGGATGTACAGGCAGTGTACGTACCACAACATAATCACGTTGCCTCGCCCGCAAAAACGCAACATCCAAACGATGGTTGATTTTCGGGCGTGATTTTTTTTTCATTCTGTTCTTGCCCGCTGCTGCTGCAACTGCTGGACGAGAACGGTAACATGAAATCATGACATCGACAATCCGAGGCAGCGCGACAAAATAAATTCCTCCGCTTTGGGCAGGGGCGGCGCGGGAAACAAGCGGGCCCGCCCCTGTCCTTAGCTTGAATCCTCACTTCGCTGGTCGCCATTAGCGCCGTCGCGACCCGTCTACATACAGATGAAACAGATCGATGGAGAGACACGTGATAAACTCCTTAGAAATTTCTGGTGGGCGCTTGAGCCATGACTGTTGCTGTGAGCCATTTACTTCCTGTGTGTATCTCCGCATCATCTCCGGATCATCTCCGCATCTCCGCATCTCCGCGTCTCGGAAATCTCGTCGTCAAGTCATGAGTTTCTGTCGCCCAAACCCCAAGACGTCAACAACGCTACAGCAGCAGTACCAAACGGTCACATCAGTCAACAGACACACGTAGTGTATGCTGCAGGCCACTTGCAAAAGGCGCGTGCGCGGCAGAGATAATTTTGGCCAATTTGTCAGTTTATCCATGTGTCCATGCCTGCTTGCTTGTGAGTCGCATGGAAATTTCTCGGCAAGCACATTTCTTTAGTTGTCTACAGACTGCATCCAAATCTTGCCAAGTTCCCCCGCTGCTGTATATACATGGCATGCCTGGATAGAGAAGAATTGGTTGTGTTGTGTGTTTCCGTCTCTTTCGTTACTTTTCCGCGAACGGCACGCGCAACACAAAACCGCCGCATCCCCCCCCACAACAACAGCAGCTGGGGTGTGGAAGAAGACATTACGGAATTACGGAATTACCATATTTTCTCCTCCGCCGGACGTCGACCATTCCCAGGATTCTTCGGAGGAACATGTCATGTTGCCAGGGATCGGAAGAACCGCAAGTCCTGCTCTCCCCCCCCCCCCCCCAGCCGGTAGATAAATATCTGAAGACGAGGATGTTTTCTTGGCATGTATGTCCTGCGTTAACGACCCCGTCGCGGCCATCACCGAGTAAGTGTCGCTGACGGCGCCGACGAGGTCGTCCGCGCAGGACATGCCCATGTGCTAAGCCTAAATTAACAACCAACTGCACCGCTGATGACAACATCCACCAACAAGCCGCCGATCCCGTTGTAACCGCCACAACCGTCCTCGGCGTGATGTTCTCAGAGAGATCGGTCGCACGGAGACGATCGGAAACACGTCGGACCCAGAGTTCACCAAGCAGTTCATCTTGGAGTTCTTCTTCAACGAGATCCAGTACGTCAAGGCAAGCGATCCCCATGTGATTTTGACAAGAAGAGTGGCAAGCTGAGATTTCAAGGCATGCTTGGGTGGAGTACTCCGTGCGCGCGCAGATTTGTTGTGTGTGTCCGGAGGATCTGGTTTGCGTTGTTGAGATCTAGTCATGCCTAGGGCAAGCGTGGTGTAGTCCCTTGAAGAGTACGTCGATGATAAGGGTGAGAACATGATCTGAGTGCTGGAAAAAGTAAAAGTGCGAAAGATTTTGTGCGAGGCGCATAGACATGACGCCTTCTGTCGGCGTTTGTGTGCTATCATGCAGGCAGATTATTACGTCTGTTGTTTCGTTCACACGTTCGTTATTTCGATCCATATCGGCTTGTGAAAAACGCATGTATGTACTTCGCTCTGTTCATTGGAGATAATTATAGCGTGTACACAGGTGTTGACTGCATCGATAGCTCCGCTTCGCCAAAAATCCGCTCATTACGACGATGCTGAGAGGTCGCCCGGTGTATCTGACTATGATATCCGTTGCTGCTCGCACGGCGAACGATGCCGTACACAACGCGCTCGGAGATCAGGTCAAGATCTACGACAGTGATCAGGTGTCCGATGATGACGGCCTCGGCAAGGCTGACTTCACCTTGGGCGCGCTCATGTCGGCGCCGGGGAGGAGCATCACCGAAGCCCTGAAGGACAGGTCAGGACGATTGGCCAAGTAAGTAGGGCGGGTAGGGAAAAAAACTCGTCGTATTGTTGACGTTAATGTTTTGTAGAAGGTACCTGGTTCGTGTTTGAGGGCTGGTCGGGGCTGTTAAACACGTTTACTGCCGTGCATGGGACAGACGGATCTGGTCTGATTTTTTTATTATATTGTGTTCTGGCGTTCAGTTTTGTTGGTCAGTTCCAAGGACGAGGCCGGGCGGTTGGCCGAAACAGCTTTGTATGTGACAGTGCAAAGCGATTGTTGCTGTGTGATAGGTTGAAAGCAGGGGTAAGCGGGCGATGTTAAACGTTGTGTTTGATGTTGTTGAACATCAGGAAATCAGGGTCGTGACGGGCGTTATTTTCCCGGGGTAAAGAACAGGTGTTGCAGGTCAATGACTCGTGCCAGGGCTTCTTGGTGTCTTGGGAGTTTTGTTTTGAGATTTGGTGTTTCTCTTCGGAAGCGGTCGTGAAAGAGACAGGACAAGCCAAAATTGGTCAGACACAACAAACTCACATCGACACTCGGCCGAGGGGCAACAGGACGAACATCGTTGCCGGGAGTCAGTGTCGCCAACTGTGCATCAAGACCAAGCAACAGCAGTAGAAACGCCGGATGACTTCGACACTTACAACCCTTCGTCGCCTCTCGCAAACTATTCGATTTTGTGTGTGTTTTTTGTCGCGTTATTTCTACCTAATAATAGCAAGACTCCTCGCAACCCACTCGCTTGCAAACCATGATCCACCCACACAGTTGAAGCTCATGACGTCAACTCTCCCCTCGTGCCATTGTATTATTTTTCCCTTTGCGGGGGCTCCGCAAATGGGCTTCCGTGCACCACCCCCAAAGAGGCGTCATGATAATCCGGGCAGAGGAAGTGGCGTCCTGTGCGGATCGCTGCAAGCTCTCCCTCCGCGGCATCAAGCTCAAGAACAAGGACGGCATGTTCGGGAAGAGCGACCCTTTCTTCACTGTCTCGAGACTACGAGAGGACGAAAAGTGGCAGCAGGTGACTTCTTTCGTGTGTGCGGGAGGGGGGGGGCGTACTCATGTGGTTCTGTTGTTCTCGTCCTTGCACCGTTTGGAGCGATTGACGACGCACGGAAGGCGAACGATCTTCCTACTCTTTGATTCATACCAACACAGGCACCTCCAAAACATGCTTGCGTCGTTCATGTCGTTCATGTTTTGTGTGCTTTCGTGGGGAGGAGAGGTAGACCTGTTTTGGCTTGCTCGGGCCCGTTTTTCGGTAGACCCGCAATGGTTCGTCGAATCACGGAAATTTTGTCTTTTTTTTTTTTCCCGAGGGAATTGTCGGAGGCGGGGTATGGTTGTTCGCGTCCCCCAGTTCTGTTTGCGCTTTTTTGTTCATCATATGTAGCGGGTCCCTGTGGACAACCCAGTTGTTTCTGCCGATGGTGATGATGGTGATGGTTCCCGTCGGTTCTGCACGACCACAACTGTTGTGCTCTCCGGCGCTGAAGGACGCGGTTGGCTTTGATACTGATACGGCATTGGAGATGCTGACGTGTTCCAACCTCAAAAAGATAAAAAGATGAGGACGGGACGCGATGTTATGCTCCCCACCCCTCCAAGCGAGAGGAGGGAAAAACGAAAATGCCGTATTGGGGTGTGGTGTTTTTTCCTGCCGGACAAATTCATCGCTCGAGGCGGGAGCTGCTGCCTCACTGACTGCTGTTGGTGACCTGATGGTCGACCTGTGTCGACCTGTGTTTATCCCCGGATACCATTTTTTCACTTTTCGCCGATTTCCTTCCCCCTGATGTTCCGTCCAGTCCATGCCCCCGTCGAGATTTCTCCCCCCCCCCCCGTAAGCACCCCATTCCATGCGGTGCCTTTCTCGTGTATTTCCCGTCATGATTGTACCGTTTCGCTCTTGTCCCAGGTCCACAAGAGCGAGGTCATCATGAACGACCTCAGCCCCGTTTGGCAGCCCCAAGACATGTCGGTCCAGGTGAGTGAGAGTGAGAGAGAGAGTCGCGACGGTTGTCGGGGGGGCGCCTCGCGTTACGCCGTAAGCCTTATCCAGGCAGCGCAGGCCGGACCTCTGTGTTGGCGGTGTCGATCAACGGCTATGTTTTGTGTGTGTGCCCGCTGGGTGGAGAATGGTTTTTTCGACGAAATATCACAAAGCTCGTCGCTTGGAGTCTGGATGAGATTTCTTGCTTGGGGTCTGGGTATACGATGCGGGTGGTGTAGGAGGGGGTGCGGTGGATTGGGAGTTGGTCTGGGCATGGAAACGATGTCAATGCCAAGAGCGACTTCCGCGAGAGCCCGGTGCGGAGATAAGAGGCTTTGGATCATCGCCTGTCGTTGTGATGGCGAGAGGTGGTCGTGGTTGCGGTTGGACGTGACGAGCGAAGCTTTGTGCTCCATTGCTCTCTCGAAGCCGGATACGGATAGAATCGGATGGAATGGGGTGGGGTTGGACGGGGACAGAATGGGATGGGATGAAATGGAATGGAACGGGGTGGGGTTGGTCGAGATGGGATGGAATCGGGTGGGGTTGGACGGGGACAGAATGGGACGGGATGGAATGGAATGGAACGGGGTGGGGTTGGTCGAGATGGAATGGAACGGAACGGGGTTAGTCGAGATGGAATGGAACGGAACGGGGTTAGTCGAGATGGGATGGGATGGGATGGGGTGGGGTTGGGCGGGATGGGATGGGATGGATGACGATTTCCTGACACTCGGTCGTCCGAAGTTGTGGAGTATCGCGCGCAAGGAGGTAGGCACGGAAGATGGCCGCGGTTGGATGTGTCGGACAACGAAGTCGACAGTGGCCCAAGCCCGTTCCGTGCCGTTGGTCTTTACCACGTGACCCCATGCACAACGGAGACCGCTGGCACACACACAGCTAGTCATATTCACCGTCTTGTAGGAGTGATGGTAGCTGTCGAGCTTTATTGCACGCGACCACAGGTATGCCATGGTATGGTGCACTGCTGCTTTGTGGAACGTCTATGCCCCCTCTGCCCCGACATGATATGACAGCTATTTCAATATTGCCCCCGACGCCCTTTACTTGAATCCGACAACAAACAATACAAAAACAATAACAACGATGGCGACGACGATAATGGGAATGGTCCGCCAGGCTCTATGCAACGGCGACTACTTGCGGCCGCTGCAGCTGGAAGTCTGGGACTGGGATCGTGACGGAGGCCACGACTGCATGGGCCGGCTCACGACCAGCCTTCAGGGGTTGCTGGAAGGCCAGGGGCGCGAGATGGACCTCGAGGTACGGCGTGGCGCCACAAAACAGCAGCAGCTCTTTCGTCTTTTAGAGTTTTTGGTTTGGTTTGTATGGGCGAATAAGGTTAACGTTGTTGACCGTGCTCCCTTTGGATCTCGGCGTGATTTTTATTACTATCCGAGTGCTCGGTTCTGTTAGGTATATGCTGTTCGTTCGTTGTTGCATGTGCGTCGTTAGTGTGGTTTTGTAGCTGGCGAGGCAAGAGCGTGTACACCAGCAGTGCATGTGTGGAACAGCGGATTTGATGCCGACGGCTCCGCCACCCCTCGCTGATTATTTAACTACTTTACTATGTGGCCCGGTCAAATGCACAAAGTTCGTTGAACAGAACGGCGACGAACGCTACCCCCCCTCCCCCTCCCTGCCGGGTGCGGATGGCGTCGTGCTCGT